CAAAGCTACAATAGGTGAGAAATCTTCCAGTTCAGGAGAGTAAAGCCCTGGGGGATGTTTGGCCATAAGTGTTTCATGAGGTGTACAAGAGCCACCTTTTTCTTTTGCATAGCGTCAGATGCCGCTGCAGAAGCAGAATGCTCTAAACACATGTGTGCACATCCTGAGATTGATGTCATTCATTCTTTTTTCCAAAACAACCTCCCTCCCTCCCTCCCTCCCTTCAAGGCTTTGAAGTGCAAGAGGAAGGTTACTTGGCAAAAATCCTGGTGTCAGAAGGCACGAGAGATGTGCCCTTGGGAACGCCACTCTGCATCATTGTGGAAAAGGAATCTGACATCCCTGCATTCGCAGACTACAGAGATGCTGGAGTGGCGGAAATCAAGCCCCCGGTGGCGCCGTTGCCATCGCCGCCCAGTCCTGTATGTACAGCCTTGGGGTGTCTGTGAAGGGGCGGGGGTGCTGGAGAGCCGATTGCATCCACATTAAACGCGGACTCGTTCATTAGACGCTTGCTCGACCCATACGGGAGGCCCTTGCAGCTACAAATGTCCCCCTTTGCGAGATGCAGGGCTTTTCAGTGACATTTCCCCCCGTGTGGTGTCTTCTTTCTAATAACGCCACGGAAAGGGACTGCATGTCCGTTTACAGGGAAGGCTTTTCTGTTCGGCTCTCTCAGTTGCCTGCTAAGCTTGTTTACACAGCCGCTTCTCATCTCCTGTGCCTCTTTCACGTAGGATGCGTTCCTTGCCCTGGCCCCATTAGGCCCTCTCAGGCCACGCCAGCGTTGGCACAATTCTTGCACCCCGTGCCACTGCCTGCGCCGTAGAGCAAGTTGCGGGAGCACGGGGGGCGGGGTTGGATGCATCTGTGAGCCAGCCTCCAGCTAACTGCTGTGCCTGCCTTTCCTCTCAAGACGGCAGCGGCGGCAGCACCTTCCCCTGCACCGCAGCCAGCGGCCCCCCCTTCAGCCAGGGTCCCCATGCACAAGGAGAGGGTCGTGGCCAGCCCCCTGGCAAAGAAGCTGGCGGCAGAGAAAGGAATCGATCTGGCGCAGGTGAAAGGTGAGTGCCTGCCCTCGGTGAGCTGTCAGCACCCCACCCCCGGTTGGCTTGGTCAGCTGTTACACGAAGGGTTTCCCCTTTGGTGTCTCCACCAGGTACAGGGCCAGAGGGACGGATAACGAAGAAGGACATCGAGTCGTTTGTGCCGTCTAGGGCTGCCCCAGTGAGTACCGCGTGGGTCTGCTGCAGCATGCTGCTTCTGCCTTAGCTGCACTGAAGTTACGTCCCATTTGACAAACCTGAGCACTTCTCGGGCTGCCTCCCAACTGCTCTTTCAGCCAGTGCTCCGTATTAGGACCCGGCTTTAGTGTCCAGGTGAAAAATGCAATTGAAGATGTTCCAGCTGTCTGTCCTTCACCACCAGGTAATCAAACAGCTCCAGGGGTGTTGAGTTCGGAAGCCTTTGTTCTGGATATCTAGAACTGGCCTCACTTCCCTTGCCAGGAGGACGTCCTTTCAGAGGTCCTTGACCAGCACCATGATGTGAAGATATTTTTTCGTCTCCCTTCCTAAACATTAGACGCTGTTGGATCCTCACAAGGATTGGCTTCTCACCAGTGCGCCTGATGCATTTTTGAGAGCACTGTGGGTGCGCACGGACATGTGCTGAGCAGTGCCTGTGGGCCACGGTGTGATGGGCACAGGCTGGCAGGCAGAGTGTGCGTCTTCACCACCACAGCCCTCTAACTTGCTTTTTGTGGCCTCCCTTGGCATCGCTGCAGGACTAGCTCTGCAGCCTAGAGAGCAAAGCGGGGACGCAGGGCTGTGGTCTTTTGCAGCATGATAATGGCAATGCTGTGAAACTTCCCCCCACCCCGCCTCCTCCCCCAGGCCTTGACAGCACTTGAGCTCCCTCTTCACAGTCCTTGTAACAAAACATGATTCTCTAGGTGCAGCCCAGAGCGGCAGAACCGGCAGCTCCCCTGGCTCCATCACCACCAGCAGCTGCTCCCGGCCTCCCCACTGGCGTCTTCACAGATGTTCCAGTTAGCAATATTCGCAAGGTAAGGCACAGTCTGTCCCACTTGAAAGATACTGCTGCTGAAAGGCCACAGTCTTGCCTGGAATCATTAAAATGTAAGGGCCGGAGAAGAAGACTTCAAAGGCTGTCAGAGGCAGGAAATGCCGACAAGGAGCTCGTGTGAGCAAAGGGCTTTGTCTTTCGGCTTTGTTCCCGCTGAGCATGAGGGTGAAGGCTGGGCTTCAGGGAGGGGGCAGCGTCTGTGTGGTACTTTTGAGTTTTTATGTTCCACGAGGCTTCACCAAAGGCCAGTTGTTCAGACTAACACTTTCTTAGCAGAATGCCTTGTGCTGACGTCTTTGCGCTGCTGTCTTTGCCTACAGGTGATCGCCCAGCGTTTGATGCAGTCTAAGCAAACAATACCTCACTATTATCTCTCTGTTGATGTAGACATGGGAGAAATACTGGTGCTACGAAAAGAACTCAACCAGGTAACCCACAGCGTGGAAGAGGACTGGGGGAAGTGCATGCAAGAGCACTGTGCCCTTTTTGTGTCGTTTTAGAGACTTGAGTTTTTCCTTTGAAACAAGCTCTGTGTTTGAGCAAATTGTGTATTTTGCCTGCTCCCCATGGAGATCGCAGCAGTGTGAAAATTCACTCCATTTCTGTTTTCTTACTGCTTTGCATTTGCAGTCAAGATCACAGGATGTGTACGTAACTTGCGCTTGGAGGCCGTAAAGGAAAAATCACTAATTTCACACTCTTTCCTGTATTTGCAGGAGATGCCACAAAACACTAAGCTTTCTGTCAACGATTTCATTATTAAGGCTTCAGCTCTGGCTTGCTTGAAGGTCCCCGAAGCAAATTCCTCTTGGATGGACACAGTCATTAGGCAGTAAGGTCTTCCTAATCTAAGCGTGTGCTGGTGTTTTTGGTGGAAAGAGAGTCGAGTGCGGACCATCTGGGGCTATTGTTTGACACTTTTTAAAATAAAGTCAAAGGGAAAGGCGTCAGAAATGGGAGGCTTTTTGATGTATAAAGCATTCATTCTGCAAGTGTAAGAAGTGCCTTTCCATTTGTGTTTACATCTGAATTTATTTTCAGTCTTGCTTGCCTTTTTATGTAAATAACTCGCCCCCTTCTTTCTTCCAGGAACCACGTAGTCGATGTGAGTGTCGCAGTCAGTACTCAGACAGGGCTCATCACTCCAATTGTATTTAATGCACACATAAAGGGGTTGGCTTCCATTAACAAAGATGTTGTGACGCTGGCATCCAAAGCTCGCGAAGGCAAACTACAGCCACATGAATTTCAGGTGAGAAGCTTGGAGCAGGACTGGGTCCCGAAGCCGTGGCTGTGCTCTGCATTTGCAGAGACTGGATCCTGAAGTGCCTGATCCTGCCTCACCTTGAAAGCTGAGCAGGGTCAGGCCTGGTTGAAATCTGGATGGATGACCTAAAATGCTGCGAACTGACCAGAGAGCTTTGGCTTTATAGAAACATACTGATGATGATGATGGTTGGTTGGTTGTTGTGCAACACCTTTTTTCAGAGGGATGCTTTTCCTTTTCATCTGTGAACACCTTGCTCAGTAATTTGTGCAACAGCTTTAATGAATATGCTTTCTCACAGGGAGGAACTTTCACAGTGTCAAATTTAGGAATGTACGGCATTAAGAATTTCTCTGCGATCATCAATCCACCACAGGCCTGTATTTTGGCAGTTGGTGCTTCTGAAAAAAGGCTGGTTCCAGCAGAGAATGAAAAAGGGTAAGTCAAGTGGGCTTGTTTCTTAGGTTGCTCCTTTAGGACAGCCTTCCCCAGCCTGGTGCCTACCAGAGGTTTTGGACCAGAGCTTCCAGGATTCCTGACCATTAAAGACAAACACGTCCAGAAGGCACCAGGCTAGAGCAGAAATTACTGTAGGGAATAAGTGGTTGCTTCAGCTGATCAGCTTGTAGCTTGGTGAAGTCGTAATACTTACATATATAATTAACCAATGCAGAGGCTTCACACTTGCTGCGTTTATTTTATGTTTCAGTGCGAACTCCACATTCCCCCAGTGAGAAGAGCCCTAACCCTGAGGCAGTGCATTTGTGTCGTGTGCCAGCGGTGCCCAGTTCAATCTTTGGGGTGTCCATGTAGGACTCGGAAAGGCAGGAAAATACAGGTCATTGCGCCCTTCAGATGTGTTGGACTTCAGCTCCTGGCAGCCCCAGCCAGCATAGCCAATGGTTAGGAATGCTGGGAGCTCCAGTCCAAAGAATGTGGTAGGTTCCAGGCTAGGAATGACTGGTGTGGATGAGTTGAATGGCTATCATGGAGTTTCATGCATGCATCCCCCCTCAACCAGGAACAGGTGTTTTCCGCTGGCACTGCCTGGGGCACTCCTGACCCAAAGCTCTTTCCCCCTTTACCCTAGTGGGAGTGAACGCTTCAGGACAAGGCGCGGGGCCCTATGTGGCTACCCTTCATAGTTCTTCGTAGTCACCTGCTGCATGTCAGGACAGCCCTAACGCAGTGCTTTTTATCAATGCTTATGGACACCTCGTTACAAATACTATTTTAATTCTTGTCAAGCATCACTGAATGCAGTTCATCTTTATTCTGCTTTAAAAATAAATCCTTTGCTGGAGGAATTAAAATAGATTGAATGACCTTCGTATTGGATACCATAGAACTGGCACTGCACGAGAGGCTGAATTAGAGGATGTCCAAGGTACCTTTCAACTCTGGCTCCATGAAATGTTAGTTCAGCTGACTGATTTGCAGCGGGTTCAGCAACTGGGACGGTTTTCTTTTCCCAGGTTTGATGTGGCCAGTGTGATGTCCGTTACGCTCAGCTGTGACCACCGCGTTGTGGACGGAGCGGTTGGAGCCCAGTGGCTTGCAGAGTTCAAGAAGTTCCTTGAGAAGCCAGCCACGATGTTGCTATAATCTCCTGAGGACGCAAGGACTTTCTTAGGTCACATCACTTAATTCTAAAGAAGCTATTTATATATCTAGACTCTTAAACAAATGTTTCTTTAATTTTAAAAAAAATCTTTAAAAATATAGTCGCTGGTAATTTATATTACCCATTGTACAGATTTAAATGGTTTGCAAGAGGCTTTTTGGAGCCGAGTACAGCTATACTGTATTTTATACAGTGAATGAATGTGCAAACTTTCCTCCCTCTAAATAGTCCAGTGTTTTAAAATCCTAAGAAGCTCATGTTTCTGATTAAGGGGACATAATTTCACTCAACAACCTGAATGTGTTGTCAAAAACAAGCAAGCCAGACTGTAAAAGCAAAGAAAACAGAGATGGGAGTTGACTATCTGGTGGCTGAAATCTCCAGTCCAGCAAAGAAGGTGAACCTGTTTGTGTATTCTGTTCTCCTGTCCTCTACAGTAGCAAGTCCTTGTGAGGGATAGAATGGAACAAACTTCCTAAGAGTTCACATTCCAACATATTTTCTTAATTCAGTTATTCAGACTTTTAGCCACAGGAATTTTTAGGCACTTTAATTCAAAAAGGAAGTTTCAGTCAGATCACCAATTGTATGTCAGCATTTCTTTTTGAAATGCTTTTGAAATAACATGTCCCTTCATTGAATTTTCATGACTTCAGCATGATTTTTTTTTTGTATTAAGAACTCATTTTAAGAGGGTGCTTCCCTCTAGTTTAGTCAATACAGCTTCACTCCAAGCAGGAGTCATTGTTCAGGAAACTGCTGAATTTCTGTACAAACTGAAACACATAAAACAGTGTAGCCTCGTTATCTGATTTCCAGGGTGAATTCCTAGAAAGCTCTGAGGGGTGTTCAGAAGGAATGCAATCCAACAAGTACTTGTCCTGGCATTGAAATTAATGTGAGCTCAGTCTACCTTCATTTAAACAAGGATTGTTTGGGAAGAAGGCACTGGTGAATGGTGACCACCGGCCCTAATTCATAGCCAATTGAATGGATTCTCAAAGTCCTTTTTATTTCAAATTAGGCACCATTAACTTTTTCTGGATTGGTGCCACCTATCTGTAACAAAATTGTTGTCTTGCCCACCTTAACCTTGTGGGAGCAGCAGAATTTCTTCAGTCCTGTAAATAGTGTAAAAAAAAAAAATTGCTTGAGATGGTTTTGTTCAAAATTGTGCCCCAGGCCATTTATGACTGTGTTAGTAATGAGCAGGATACACTAGTGCAAAACACTCCCACATTTGCTTTTCAAAGGACATTTTAATTTAAAATGAAGGATCATGTGATTGCTAAGTGACGTGACCTGGAGAGCCAAGTTAAATACGCCCCAGATGATTCTGTACCATATGCATTGCACTGCATTGAGTATTGTCTCTTGTAAAGTTGTGCTACCAAATCCACTAAAAATAATATTCAAGACTATACTGTGGAAATTAAAGATTTTTCTGAAACCAAATGAATGTACTCTTGATTTGGCTGCAGTTATGCCTCAGAAGTTTACCATTTTAGTAAGGCGCAGGTTGCACTTAATGTCCTGACTCAGTTCCAGACTGGCTGCTAAAGCCAGCTGTGTCCGGTTAAATGTTTGAAAGTGATTAGACTGCTTTCCCTTGTCACTGGTGCATTTTCTTTGCTGAGGGATGTCAGGTGCTGACCCAGTGGTACTAGAGACAGGTAGGGATGCTTTGCAGCAAAAGCATCCCTGGACTCTTGTCCTACTTGACTGTCTTGTTGGCAGGGAATGATCAGTCTCTGCCTTGGTCAAGCACTTGTCTGGTATCATGGGAAAATCTGTTCTTGCATCTGCTGCCTTCGGTTGAGGCCCCGAGCTTAAAGAAGAGTGGTGTTGGGACACAATTTAAATACATAAATCATTGAAAGCAATAGAACTGAGTTGTTTTGTATTTTTCAGTTAATTAAGAAACCAGAATGAAATTAATGCTTTATAAAGTTTTATCAATTGGATGGTTGCTTAGAGTTTTCATAAATAGTGGAAACTCCATGCAATAAGAGCAAAATTTAAAGTACTGAAACACTTTCTGTCAGTGTCGTATTTCAGTTCTGTACGTAGGAACATATTCTATTTTATGTCAGCAGCTGCCTGTCCAAAGGGCATCTAGGATTCTAATCCCAAGGCACAGAAAAGTAAAACACAGGCAAGCAGCCAGCACACTTAATATTAACCAAGTACAAAATCTTTAGATGTGCTGGTGAGCGTATTATAAATATAGAACTCAGGCAAGCTTTGCTCGTATCACTTTGAGCGCCACACGGGCATTGTGACATGCAAGACTCCCTTCCTCTTGTAAAATGTTGCTGCTGTAGCTTCTTCATTCACAGGCTGCGGCAGATCCAGCTGCAATCTGTATTTGTCAGGGCATTCAATCAAGATGTCATCCTAAAATGGAATAGAAAGTTCATTCTAAAAGAGCTATGTGCGGTTCCTGCAAGTGAAGTATGCCAGATGGATATGGGATTACCTGAAGGGAGGGCTGTGAATTCATGACTGACTGACCTTAGAAACACTCAAGTTACACTCGGAGATGCAGTGAACCTCCGGCAATTCAACTCTCAGCTCAATCTGTAGAGCGTTCCCATCTGCATCCTTCCTTGTGGAGACTGCATAGGCTGGTGTGCGCAACTCCTCTGGTGCCTCCGTACTGGAAATCTCTTCGATGATGCACGGTTTGGAAGGGGCGACGTCCTTCAGCAGCAGAGTAAGCTCACTACTCTCTTCCTTGGCTATAAGGTTCCTTGACTGACCAGGTGTTGCTTCTTTCCATAGTACTTTCAGACATGGGTTTAAAAATAATCAAGTGGATTGTGCCATTTCAGAACAACTCGCAATGTTCTGTCCTGCCTCCCTTCACACACTAGCAGCAAACTTCCATGAGGCTTACTTGAGTAAGACATGAATAGGATTTTACTATAATTGTATGTGTGTTAATACAACTGCCCAGAGAGCTTTGCAGTGCAGAAATAAAATGACCGTAAACCACGGTAAACAATCGTTTTGAATCAAGGCAATGCATCAGTTAAAGCAGGTATCTTAGAAGACAGATTTCCCCCTTCCTTTCTTGAGATGGTGTTCACTGTCTGCAGTTTAACAGTTGTATTAATGTCTTCTTTAAGGAAGGCATTTCAGTCCATTAAAAGTTTTTAAACCTATTTAACATTAATTAAAAGAGGAATGTACTAAGACATGCTCAGGCTAGGATGGCTTTTGTCACTGTTTAACATGATATAACCTGCATCCCAGACAACAGTGTGAGTGTATCACAGCCTCCCTTTCAATCTCAGTATTGAGTCGTGCGGTTACTCACCTTTATTTGTGCTTCCCTGGGATGAAAGCACAGGTGCCTGCTCTCTTCTGAAGCTCTGCCTCATCCTTTCAAGCTTTCCTTTCAGTTTAAAGTTTGCACTGCTGTAGGAGTGGGACAGAGTAACGTCGTAATGTTCCTCAATGTATTTGAGTGACAGACATATCAACTGGTCCTTTTCTACTGGATCATCCTTTCCCCTTTCAAGAACAGATGGATTGTATGCAATATCAAGGACACTGTAGACCTCTAGAAGAACAAATAGAGTATTTTACATCCTGTTGCAGGATACAGTGTGGGTATACCCAAATGTGAGTAAAACAAACCTTGTTTTTTAAGCATAAATTTAAGTCTGCATTTCTCAACAAGTAAGATAATACTTGATTTTTGTTCTTTTGGTTGGAGGACTTATTATCTTGCTATTATGTCAGCAAAGTCTGGTCAACATACAGTGTTCATTGCAGAAGGCAGTCAGAAAACCCACCCACCTGCAGCAGAACACCGCCTTTTGTCTTGTGTCTTTTTAGATTCTAAGTCTGAGAGTAGTGACTATGTAATTGTTGATTTATGTATGCTCCTCTGGGTGTCTTCACTGAGACAGAAGTCATTTGAAGAAAGAGTAAATATTGTTGCCACCTTCAGCCCTCCTAGTATCTCTTTGTAGGGGAACAATGTTCATTATAATACCCTGGCGTAGATTTTACGCGGAAGGAACAACTGTGCTACCTAGCAAGCTAAATCTTCTCCAACAAGCTGACCTGATTCATCAGACACCTCCTCCATTTTGCCTGCACTTAATGGCACAGGCTCAGATGGTGACTGGGGTGCTGGGACCTTACTCCAACTACAGATGTTAACGAACAATAATTTTTCAGTAGGATCCTGAAAAACAACAACAACAAAGCAATTACCAAAGCAGGATAGCTCGTTTCATTAACAGACAAGGACTTCCTTTGCATGATAGCAGAAATAGCTGGTTTGCATTCTCTCATGCATATTTGTGGTCTTGCATTTTTGTATTAACTAAAAAGACAAAAAGTGCATCTCTTACACTTCAGTTCCTGATGTAAATAAGTAAGATATACCTCTCAGAAATTAAATTCAGCAGCTTATACCTAGTCAGTCTAATGCAAAAAAAAAAAATACTTGCTTATGCCTATCACATCTGCATAATATGTTTTGCTATTCAAGCAAAGCTTTGTGCCCAGAAGGAACGGCTGATAACAGAGCTCTGGGGGACGCGCACTCTTTGCTGCACAACCTACCACGATGCGAGCCTCCAGGCAGAGGAACGGCTCCGGGGGTGCATAATACTGCTTTACGTCCTTCAGCTGCTCCCGCATGAACTGGCGGTAGCCTTCCGGATTGCTCTCGGCCATGTCGTCCAGCATTGTCCAGAGCTGGGTCACCTTGGCCAGCATGTCCTCCGAGTCACGACGCGTCTCCATCGCTGCTCTTATACACTGTCAACGCCGCTTTAAAAAGCGCATGCTGCAGAAGATGCAGGAGGGCTGCAAGATCCCCGGTCTCCCGAGCGGCTGCCTTTGCTCTCCCCTCGGGTGTGGCGTGCAATCTAGTGGAAGAAAGCAGGAAGCGCTGCGGCTCTGCTGGAGACCCCACCGCCTCCGGTCCCTGCCCGGACTCCCCGTTCCCCCCGGTCCTTACCATGGCTCTGGCTTTCACTGGCGACCATTTACGTGTTCAGGCTGCCTCTGACGGCGCATTTTCTGATGTGATCGTACGGGCGCCGTTGCGAGCCTCTCGGGGAGCTGCGGCCACTGGGCGCACGAAGACAGACGAAGTAAACGGACGCGAGGAGCGCGCTCTTGCCGCAGAGGCGAGCGCACCTGCCGCAGCCCGCGCGGCGCCCAAGCCGTTTCCCGGGCAACGGCCGGAAGCGCGCTCCGCCGGAAGCGGAAGCGCGGCACCCGAGCTCCCCCGGCGCGCTCGCCCGCGCTCGCGGGTTCCGCGCCTCGCGAGTCTCTTCCGTGGCGCCGCCGCCGCCTCCGCCCTTGCGAGGTGGGCCGCCTCCCGAGGGAGGCTGCGGAGCCGGGTGCCGGAGGAGGCGCGTGTGAACGCGTGACGGGGCCGTGCAGCGCGCCCGGGGGCGAGGCGCTGCTCGCCGGTGAGCGCGGGCTGCTCGGCGTGCGCCGAAAGCTCCTGCCTGCCTCGGCGAGCACTTCGGGGACCCGCGGCCCGCCCAGTCCTCACGAGAGCCCTGCGAGGTAGGCCGGGCGGGGAGGGCTGGCGACGCGGACCGCACGGCCGAGCCGGCACCCGAGCGAGCTCCGCGAGGGCCCCCAGGGCGAGCGGCCCGCATCGCCCTCGCGCGAGGAAGGTCGTGCCCGCCTGGCCGGGGCTGCTCAGCCTCGGGATGGGCTTCGCAACGGGAACGGCGCTGCCTTTCGGAATGGGATGGGGCACTCGCGGGATCGCAGCAAGAGTAAGAGAAGTGGGTAGGGCAGCGGCATCCTTAAAGGGCAGCGGATTAGCTTGAAAGGGGCTGGGATTTCTGGCGACCGAGGGGACTTTGAGGCAGGACTTCTCTTCCAGCTTGGTTCCTTCTTTAATCCAGAGTCATAATGGGGGGTTAATGTTCTCAGTGCAAGAACAGCTGTCATTGGAGGAACCAGAGAGCACTAAAGATAGGAACAAGTGACGGAAACTAAATGGACAACAAATGATCAATTCAGAGAACCAACTCTGTAGCAACTTGTTGTGCATTTCCATATAAAATATGCTACCTATATATACAACTAAATACGCAACCTAACTTTATAAATATGTAGCCTTCCATCCCGTGATTTTTAAGTTGTCAAGTTTATAATGTAGGGGTTTCTCTGAATATGAACAGTGCTAGCTTGCTCATACTTTCCCTCCCATGTAAACGCAGGACAGGTTCTGAATGGCCTGAGCATTTGCATCTGTACAGAACTAATGACCTTTTTAAAGAAAAGAATATAATTGTTTGTAAGCAATTTATGTAGTGGCTTTCCTTTCTGAACAGCTGTTAAATGACTTTACATAGTTTGTGCTTCCAGTAGGTATTTTTCTGCTATGGAATATTTTACATAATTGTCTTTGACTTCTCTTAGGGTGCTTTGTTTGCTGTTTGTTGTAAGCCTCAGGTAAAGGATGTCTCGTGTCCCTTTGGGCAAAGTTCTACTGCGAAATGTCATTCGTCACACAGATGCACATAACAAGGTACAGAAAAGTCTGTGTTATTGTCTGGACTGGGCCATTAAATTGGGATATGCTGCATGTCATTCCTGGAGAAATGTCATTTTATCAGGTGCTTTCTTTAATGTATTCCTTTATGTATCTCAGATTCAAGAGGAGTCAGAAATGTGGAAAATACGGGAGATGGAAAAGCAGAGTGAAGATGTCTATTGGGGCAAGCAAAAGAGAGTGTTTCCTAATAGTTCCAGGTGGGACTTCAATATGCCAGGAAATGTTCTTGCTTTTTCTTTAGCAAGAGATATCTGTTAGTACCTTGCCTTTCACTGCTGATATAGGAGCTACCTTGTATTACTCAGGCATCTATGCCTGTTTCAATCAACTTTTAAGATTTAGAAGATGCTTAGCTGGGCATCTGAACTTGGAAGATGCTTAGCTGCTGGTCCTTCAGCTATTCGGTAGCCCTTTTCCTTACCAATAGCCAGTCCCCCATGCTATGACATGGCAGCCTGACCCTGGCAGAAGTACGGAGAAGGGAGGGTCAGGGCTTCTGCTAAACAGAAACTGCAGCTATTCCTGGGCCAGAGGGTGACCATCCTATCTTAGGAAAGAATACCAATTCTCATCCTTTATTGCCATTTCATCAGGAAGAAGTTTGGGATGTGCACATTTTCTCTTCTGTTTCAGGGAAAGATGCACAAGTGGATTAGCTCTTATTTATCCTAGCAGATGTAAACTGCATGTGAGCAGGGCAACTAGACTAAGAAATCAACAGAACCACACATGGATCTTTGTGTGGGCAAGAGCTGTGTTGAAATTCAGCTTAGCATTTGCAAGACATTGTCTCCGGCCTCACCTATGAATTCCTTCTACAGCACTCTAAATATTCTGGCCGTCAAGCCCCATCCGTTCTGGCTAGCTTTGGCAATGGTGAAGGATGACAGAAGGTGTTGGCCAGAACATTTGGAGAGTCCCGTGTAGCCCACCCTTGCTCAGGAGAAAGCTTTTGCCTTAGAGATGTCAAAAAGACTCCTCTCTCGGTCCCTGCAGCAGCCGAATGCGTAGTGATGGGTTTGATGAAGAGAGCCAGCAAGCAAACTGGAAGGCAAGGAACTTGGCTCCTGTGTCTGTAACGATGGAAGATGACCTTCGGCATGCCCGATATTGGAACAAGAAGCTCTATGAATGTGAAGCTAACATGCCAGACAGGTTTCAAATATTATTCTTTATTGGTAATAATGGAATGCTATCAGTGAGGAGAAGGATGATTTATTGAGAGAAATTAGATAGGAACCTGCCCTGGGGAGTTTATGGTCTAAATGGCAATTTTGAGAAAGCTGAGTTGGGAGGCAAGGATTACAAGGGAGGCACACGCACATCCTGGCAACATCGAAAGCCGTCTTTTACTAAGCAGGTCTTCAGGACTGACCAGCTAAGATTTGGCAGCACTGTGGGGTTTCAGAGAGTCTTTCCTGGTCCTACCAAGCATTTCACTCTTGCAGCTTTCTTGCAAAGGTGGTGCCAGAGCGCGGTCCTCCCTGCCGCCACCTGCAGCCTGGGCTGGAACAGTCCAGCAAGGTTGCATCTTGTAGCTTTGTGGAGTGGTTCATCTCTGTATTCAGTTCGCTTGCATGCTCCCGGCTGTCTTAACATGGTTTTGGTGTTTTCTTGCAGGTGGGGTCACAGTGGATACAAAGAGTTATATCCGGAAGAATTTGATACGGACAGGTAAAACAAATTTCCAAAAGAACCCCCCAACTTCCTAAAAAAATAAACTTTTTTAGATGTAATGCTGCTAGCATTCAGCCTTAGACTGGCACATTTCCCCAGTCCTCAATTCCTCTGGGACGGGTGCAGGGCTATCAGGTATGATATTTCCTTACACCAGTTCACACCAGTGCTCTGTCTAGCTCAGTTTGCCCCAAGGTGGAGACCTTCCAGCCCTGCCAGTCTGACTGACCACCTTTCCCACCAGGCCGTCCCTCTTGCATGTCGCTTTTCCAGTGACCTGGCAACACAGACAGATACTGGTATTTTCTTCCATTGCTGGTTTCCTGCATTCCTCTCACTACAGCAACAAAGAGACAGCCCTTTTCTCCACACACAGAGAAGTAGCAGTGTGTGGTTTGAGGCAGGGGGACAAGGGAGAGGTGGCAAGGTAGGAGTCAGGGCTAAAGGCTACTTTGGCCATGCTCGCTTTTGGATCTGGCTGTGGCCACCTCTGGTGTATGTCCCCCAAGGGTTGTGTAGAAATCAACATGCCCCTCATGCTGAAAACGGTTCCTTATTCCTGTAAGACCGATTAACGTTCCATGTCCCAGCACTATTCTCTTCCTGCTGCCAAGATGTCAGGGACTGAACTGGAGACCTTTGGCATGCAACGCTTGGAGTCTCTTTATTGAACCGCCTGGCTAACCCAGGATGAAAGGACTGGGCAGGTCACCACACAGTTGCCAGGGTGAATAATCCCATTTGACATGATACTGTCCAGGGCGGTTTAAAGCTGAGTCCTATCAAAGAAATGAGTTGCGCTCAAGTATTTGCGACTCTTCTTAGTGACACTAGTTTAGCTGTTGGGAGTCTGAAAAATATGCCACCAAGTATTTAGAACAGCCTTCCCCAACCTAGACAAGTTGGATTACAGGTCCCATTATCTCCAGCCATCCCATGGCCACTGAGGATGTCTGATTGAGATGCTCGATAATATGCCCCGAACTTTAATCCTCACAATTCTTTTACAGTGACCAACAAGAGCAAGAGGAACAAAACTCTGTGAATGGAAAAAGAAAATCTCATCCTGGCAAGCAGGCTTCTCTTGAGCTGTCCAAAAGGAAAAAAGCCAAAAAGTCACACAAGAAGAAGCGGAAAAAGAAATCTCACAAGAAGCGGAAGAAGAAGAAACGGGAGCAGCTGAGCACAACGGCAGAGTCCTCCCAGGAGTCTGAATGCTCAGAGGGAGTTGCTGGCAGGAGGAAGCGGAAACGTCATAAAAAGGCCAAGAAGACAGCAGCAAGGACCCCTGTCTCTTCCTCAGGGCGAGACAGTAACTCCAGCAAGGCAAGCACTGGTGTCTCCAGTAGCTCTGAGGACAGTGATCCGGAGGAGAAGCAGGAAAGGCAGCCGAAGAAGAAGAGAAGGAAACACCGTGTTCCTGCATCAGAGAGATGCAGTGAGAGGGTGCAGGAGAAGCGCAGCAAGAGGAAGAACTGGAAAGTGGCGGCTGATGAGAATTCAGAGGATAGTTCTGATGAGGACTAGCAAAAAGGGACCCACTGGTTCTGTTTGTGCTTTGGCTTATCTTCAGCAAGAACAGATCTTACCTCCAGCTGCTGCCCCCTTGGAACAAACAGGTGCCTGAAGTGGCTGTGTGAGAGCTCTTACAAATGGGCCCTGCAAACCTTGGTAGCTTGCAAGGGACATCTTTCCCTCCCATGATTAGAAACTCAGTGAAAATCGAGATTTCTCAGCCAGAGGGCCTGTTTGTCCACTCGATTCTGGCTGGATCACTGTAACAATCTCAACTCTTAAATCAAGAAGTGCTAGTCTTAGAGACAGCACAGAAGGGACCTTGGTGACACCAGGTCCACTTTTTAAAAACCTGACTATTTTTAATGGCCAGTGCATACATTTTTCTTGCAATGAACAATGAAGGGAAAAGGTTAGACACTGCCCAGGTTGCCGACTTCCATGTGCTGCACACCATTATCGCTTGAGTGGTAAAGCAGGAGTTTGTGGACAAGGGATGGCAGCAGAAACACGGGTCAGGCAAGGAGAGAGCAGCACGGAGTGTGTGGCCTACCTAGGTTCACGCAAGACCTACTGCAATGTAGAACTATCACACAGTTGTCATTGTGAGCTTCAGCATAAACTGTCTCTGCTTGTCCTCTTGGGACAGAGGGAGCTCAGAGCCGAGCCAGGCCTGCAGAAGTACATCCCGTAAGTAACAGCTGTCATTTTTCTGGGGAGCAATGAACATTTAAGGTGCTCCTTCCCGAGTTTTTGCCATGCAGTTAAGGGTGTCTATTACCAAGCAAATGTTAGGACGTGAGTGACAGCAGGTGGGATGATGGAGCAGTAGTTCTCAGTGAACAGCACAGAAGCAGCCAGGACCTTTCTCTTGAGATGCTTCGCCCGGAAATTTAAACTAAGGACATAGACCTGTACCGACAGAGTGTAACCCATCAGGGATGGGTTGGCTTTCATGTAAAATTATTCCAAGCTCCCAAGTGACCATGTTGACTTTGTGTCTGGAGGCAGCAGGAGAGGTGGATTTGTTCAGAAGGCTGACTTAGCTCACCACAGCCCAAGGGCTGCGGAGGTAGCCTTTCCACCATACACTCAGTCATAACCTCCACTACCCCAATTTCTTGCTTTTTAATTCTCAGAGGTATATTCCTTCCATGGATCTAGTGTGGTTAAGTCTTCCTCAGAAGGGCTTGGTGCTCCAACACTGGGTTCTTCGCATGCTCAACAAATTGAAATTCCAACTTCCTTGGAGGAAACTGACAATCAGCTGTAAAACTGCTGTGTTTGCCAAATAGATAATGTCCATGCTTAATTTACAGAAGAGGACTGTTGCAAGCGCCAGGCACTAACTCAGGATAATGGGCTGGTTAGAACAGAGGCTCACGCCTGCCCCCACTCCCAATTCCTGGCTCGTCAGTTGTTTCCTATTAATGGTTCCACACCATATTCTTTAGCGCAATAATTTCCTGCAGGAGCGTTGCTTTTATCAGCCTTTTGACCACTTTTTTCCCTCTTGGCCCAGAGAAACCAGTGTCTGGCATCCCATGCCTATGGAACACGATCCAGAGATTAGAATGCCAGACTTTTCTGTTCTGTGTTGTGGTACCAGCATATACAGTTTATTTTTGAAAGTAATTCTAATATGTTGATATAAAAAGCAAAGCAACAGACGTACTTTTTACAAAACGGAACTATTTTTTATATGTGTAAAATACTGGCATGAGTCTGTTCAGAGAGTATGTTGTATGTTTACAACAATAAACTGTTGATTTCAGCCATCAATATGGTGAGCGTGGTGCAGCATTAGGAAACAATATGCAGAGATTACTTGGTGTAATGGGAGGCACTCGGGGTCATGTCCCAGGCAAATTTATTTGTAGGGTGGGTGGAGCCCAGGGTACTTTTCTTTGCCCCGTTCCGTGGCTTGCATTTGAATTTGCAGGATGGGTATTGTGGGCTCTTAACCTCTGTTGAAGAACTAGAAAGTGATAAGTGAAAATGGAGGTTATATGGTTGGCAGTGGTTCTGCTTTTTCCCAGTACTCTCCAAATGCCTACCGCAATTAGGCCAGAATGTGTAGCTTGCAGGGAAAAAAATGTGCCAAGTAGGCTCACTGGTACTGATTAGGAAAGAAATGGGTTTCAGTGCCGGATTGTCACTTTAAAACAGACTTGCAGCCCAATCCTAGATGTGGTTATTGAGAAGTAAATCCCACTGCTTTTACTGAGGCTTACTGCTAGGTAAGAGGGTACGGAATTGCAGCCTATGGGAATGCCACACCTGAATGGATTTAGCTTTTGGTTCTTTACCCAAAGAAGGGATTACATAGGCAGCATGTTTAATTTCTAAGCTTTGAAATCAAGGGACATTTCAGTAGCAAGTTCGCAAACTCTTCAAGTAAACAGCAGTTTGCAATAATTTCCTGAAAACAAAGTTTTTTACTTTGAATTTAAAAAGCAAATGACTTACAGGAAGAATGCAAAACACCCAGAATTTCTAATACAGAATCAATTTGTTTAGCAACTCTTTATTAGCTTGCATGTAGGCAAGAGATAATTTTACATGGCCCTGTTCAATACCACACAGGAAAGAGCAGTTAGACTTGCCTAAGTGACTGGTTAGCCATTTCTACACTGAGGTAGGACTTATGACCAGGAACAAATCCAAAGAATACGGGTTACTGCCAAGTCCATAACCGAAGTAGGCCTCTGTACCACCATCAGTGCTTGCCTTTCTGAACTATCTGTGCAAAGCGATTGGTGATCGTCAGTGTTGTGTCTATGAAGCAATTGACACAGTTGGTCAGACAGGTTTCAGTCCTGGAGTCCAGCTTAGAGCCTGGTTTGTTGACACATTTTTCCCAGCAGACTTCCATGAAATTGTGAACCTGGAAAAGATACAATCAACTGTAATCAGGAACAGGTCTTGGCCATCACTAATGTTGGGTAGGCTAATAGTTGGAGATCCCTTGAGTAGGTCAATGGAAAGAACAATTTGAGATCAGCCTTAAAGAAGGGCATACCACAGGGCAGGCCCCTCAAGATAGTGCGCTGGGGAGAAGAGAGGAAAATGGTACAAGGCCAGACTACGTACAAAGGCTATCAATGGCTACTTATTTCCAGTAGTGGCGGCAGGAAACAAGGCTACCACGGCGCTCCCACCGCCCCACCGGTGGGCTTCCCACGGGCAGTCGGCTGGCCGTTGTGGCAACAGGATGGTGGGCAACGGGGCCCTTCTGCACGGCTCGGATGCTCTCACCGCCAAATCTGGGGCGGCGGGGGGGGGCGCTGTCCATGCCAGGGTCGCCTCCCAAAGCAAGGGCGGCGGCGAGGGGCTCCACGGGGCATGCCAGGGTCGCCTCCCAAGGCAGGCTCCGAGCCTCCGCCCGGGCGGAGCGGCAGGGAAGCTGGCCCGGGGCGGCCCTGGCTGGGCCCCCGCGGAGGCACCGCGCCGCTGCCGCCGGTACCTGGGCCGTGAGGCGGGCGCGCTGCTCCTCGGCCGCCACCAGACGCTGCAGCTCCGCCGCGTCGGCCTCCCGCTGCAGCTCCTCCATGTCGGCGCGCCGGAGGGCAGGGCGGGGGCGTCCTCGCGCGCAGGCCGGAAGCGCCGCCGGCACGTGGCGCGCCGCGCACTTCCGCTTCCGGGTCGCCCTCGCGCCCTTGAGGGCCGGGGGCAGACGGAGGGGAGACGCGGCAAGATGGCTGCGGCGCTGCTGCTGTTCCGGGCGGGGCTGGGCCGGCCCCGAGGCGGGAGCGCCGGTGAGACGGGTGGGACGCGCTTGCCGGGCGGCGGCGGGGCTCCGTCCCGCCCCCGGGGAGGAGGGGCTGGCTGCCCCGGCCTCCTGCCCCCTCCGGCCGGCAGCCCCGTGCGCCCTTCGCCCCTTCCCCTTCCCCGTGCGCGGGGATGTTCCCGGAGGGGGGGCGAGTCCGCGTCGCCGACTGGAGGCGCGGCCCCCCCCTCCTCGCGGCCCCTACAGCAGGCGTGAAGCGCGAGTGTGGCGACCCGGAGCCGCCCCCTCTTGCTTCCTCCGTCTTCACCTTGTGCGGTGCAGCGTTTCTGGGCGCGGGCTCTTCGAAAGCCCGGCCTCGGGCCGGCGCTTGGTCCCTGGCCCGCCTGGTCCTGGTCGGCCTGCAACGGCCTTCCCCACTTGCGCGTTTCCCCGCCTCATCTGTTGCATTGCAAGTGGATAGGGGGCTTCCTCGCCTTATCCTGGAGATGCTGGCAGCAATTGAACCCGGGACCTTTTGCATGCCCAGTGTGTGCTCAGCTCTTTCCTTTGGGTAGTCTTTGGTAACCCCCCCCCCCCGGCTTCGGTGGTTTTGCTTACATGGCCGCCTTCTGCCCCCAGCCCAATTGAGGGTGGAAGCTGCTAAGAGGTGTCCTTACTTACCATGCAATGAGGGTGGTGAGTTTGTTTCTCTTTCCTCCACCGTGATTCTTAAACCTAGCCTCTTCTATTTGCATAAAGTTAAATACATCATTTCCAAGGGTGCTCATGAGCCAGTGTGTAAGAGTGCAGGACTGGGACTCGGGAGTCAGGGTCTCTAGTCGCCACTCATCCATTGGGCCAGTCACAGACTTTCAGCCCAACCTATTTCACCGGGTAGTTGTCATTGTGAGGAAAAAGTAGATCAGGAGGAAGCGATTTACATAAGCCTCCTTGACAGGAAAAGGTGTCAGATATAGCTATACTAGATAATACATTTTGGTAGACGTGGAAAGATTTACAAGCTCATGGTTTTATTCCTCCTAGCAACAAAAACAGTAGTAGTAAATTAGCAAACGGTGTGCAGTCTTTGCATGTTACCAATGTTAGCTCCCCAGGCAACTGCCTGACTTTGCCTAATGATCGCTCAGCCTTGATGTATCACCTGCAGGCAGGCAGCTGTCTTCCAGGTTTTCCTCCCACGCTTCGGTTCAGTTGAGAGACCTTGCTGCTTTAAACACTTGCTTTACCATATGGAGCAACAGCTTTATTCTTTTGGAGGTGATATTTTTGGAGGCTTGAGGTGGGACATTCTCTCCATGTAGGGTAGGGCTCTTCCATCATCATGGGTTGTTTTTGAGGCTACATTTCTCCATGTGTACAGCTTTGCAGGCGAAGCTGTTAAGGGGCAGGGCATGTCCTGCTGCTTTCTGAATGAGTTGGTTTGAAAAAAGGCTGATGGCCCTTTCTCTGTGCACCTCCCTCTGCTATTTGTAAAACATATTTTCATTTGGTATATCTTTGAACGATGGGTTAAGCTTGCTCTTTCCCAGAGATGTGAGAGCATGGCACTTAACAGCCCAGTTTAAAACCACCTAACCTTTTTGAAAATTTACTTCTAATTACATACATCAGCTTATGAACATGATCGCCTCAAAGCACAGAACATTTAGCAGGTTGAGAATCCTTGCAGCCTTGGTGAAACATGCAATAGCCTGTCGGGTTCTCTGTCACCCTGAGATATGCCACTGCCCTGCAATTTACCATAATTAAAGTGGTTGTGCGATTGAAAGGAGAGCAGTTTAGTATTACTGCAGTGCATGGAAATAAGTGTGTTTACACTGGATGTGTACAGGCCTATTATTCATTTTCTTTCTCTCACAGAAATGCTTATGCACACCAACCATATGTCTCTGAACAAAAGTAATGGCCTATGGTTCTGAAATACTTCCATAATTCCTGCAAAATTGTGTGGCGTGGAGGTGGTCTACTTAAATCCTATTGTCCTGCACCCCATCCACAATAACACCTGGGCTGTGTCAATCATGCATGCTGGTTGCTTGAATGTAGAAGTCCTGGGACCTCTCTCCTCTCCACTATGTCAAGTGGTCCTTAGAAAGTACTTTTCTTTATCTCCTTCATACCTTGATGCCCCTCAGTGCCTGAAGTTTGTAGGAGAAGCTTCTCTCGTTCAATGGCAGGGCAAGCTGGCATCTCTTTACTGTGTTAATGTTTATAGAGTGTGTCTTACTTATTAACAGCCTATTTTCCAAAGTCCTTTCCCTTTGTGACATGTGTCTGTTGGCACTTTTTAATTCATATAGAGTACTGAGTTAGCATGCATCTTCCTTGTGTAAAATGCCTCTGTTCTACCCACAGTTCTCCTGAGCAAGGTTCTTCTGGCAAGGCCGGCAGTTGCTTTTGCTACCACAGAAAAACACCGTCCTTTGGCATGCAGATTTCATACATCCCCCAGGAGTTTAGGTAAGTCCTTCTCAGGTTCCTGCTGGTTTGGTTTGGTTTGGTTTGTTTCATTTGTCTCTGCCATGTGTTTGCTACTAGCATTGCAATAATTGTTTTCACCTTGGCTAGGAGAAGACTGGGACACAGTGAGAGCAAAGTGCGTTCTTCTGCTCCTAGGTCATAGTCCTGCTTATGGGCCTTGTGCTTGCAGGGGGCAGTCTGGCAATATGAGGGGCGCACCAAAAAAGCCAGAAATTGAGAACAGCTTAATGGGAGTAATGCGTGTTCCTTTTCTCAGCATTCCCTTACCCATTGCCAGGAGAATGCTGTTCCCTCCAACAAACCCTGCCCCTTTCTGTCCTTTCCTTATTCTTGCTTTTCAGTTGTCACCAACAAATCTTGACATTTCTAAAACCAACATGTATCCAAGGTGTGTGTATTTTGTTGCGTTACAAATGACGTGCACAAAGTTCAGCATGCGTACTTTGCTTAATTTGCATCCCTTTATTCTGCACTCAGATGGTGCGGTGGACAAACGTAGGGCCTGGAATTGAATCCCTCCGGTTGTATGTCCAGTCCTCAGCCAGTCATGCCCTGGGGAGCTGCCAAGGGGGGGACCGGCTTCTTTGGGTTGAGAAGAAGAACACTTTGGGGATGTCCTGTCGGCAGGGCTGCTTCCTTGGGTGCCCTCCTAAAATTTTGGCTGTGGCAAACCTTGGTGTTTCTAGCCTGTTTGGGGTGGGACATAGAGGTGGACTTTTGACTTCCAGTTGTGATGAAAGATTTACATTAGCCTTGTTCACAAAATTTAATGGACTTCCTAGGCTCATGGGTTTGCTTTGCTCCTTCTGTGGAGTCTGATGCAGTGTTCTCGGCAATTCGACTAAGTTGTCTTAAGTAAAGGCTTTCTAGAAATGATATTAGGTTTCCCATTTAAATCACATCCACTATGTGATATGTGTCTTAATAAAAATAGTCCTACTGTACGTGCTTGGGATTTCCACATTCAGTTAATTTGCATCCTCTGTTCTGGGCTAAGTTGGTATCCTTTGTAGTGTGTGTATGTACTGTTCCTTTCTTTTTGAGTTCTGTATATTTTAGTTGTGGTATATTCCCCTCCCCACTCTTTGTTGCATCCTCAGAGCTGTTAATTTTCTGTATTTGGATGTATGCAGAATTCTAGCCCAAAGCTGGTGATTTGACTTAGGCGAAAAATTGGTTTTGTCGTTTCATTTCATTTTTTTAAAAAAAGCAAGTTTCTAGCCCTCATGGCTGTGGAGATGTGTATGGGCACATGCACATCGCTTTGATGTTCAGGGGGCCAAGTTTGTGTCCTCCCCCTCCCAAGGCTGCCTGCCCCTCCTTTCTGAGCTCCAGTCACGTTCCTCTGCCAAGACACCCTCTCTTCCCTGTACGTTCATTTCTGGCACCAACTTGCTCCAGCTCCAAAACAAGTGCGCAAGGTATGCAAACACGCTTTTGGGTTCAGAATAATGCATGCAAATGATAACAGAAATTGCATAAATTAATTCATGTGAATAATTTGGGCTTTTAATTTGGTGAAGGTGGGTGAGGGAAGAGGAGGCTTCTGTTACCCTCCCGGTACTCTTGGACACTTCTGCACAGACATGATATATGGATAATTTCTATATCATCCCCAAAGGGCTAGAAGATTAGAATTGCCTCTGTCTATTCTCCCCACTCAACACAACTGTTTAGGTGTGAGCAGTATATAATCATGTAAGGAAGTAAATCTGAGGTGGTAGCCCTGTGTCTCCCTAGGTTCCTGGTGCTGGAGGCCAGTGGGTTAATTCTCTGTTCCTTTCAGGAGTCCTAGAGGTATCTGGCTGCTTTTCTGGTGCAAAATGTCCTGTATTCTCTCTTCCCACCCATTTGCGTAGCCCAAGCCCTGGGGCAGCGAGTCACCTTGGTTAAATACCCTTCTGTTAGAGGTTTCGCTTAGTGAATTTGACCCTGGGTATAGCTCACAGTGTGGTGTTTTGGGAAGCCCTTTGGAGGGGCAGAGGGTCTTCTGTCATGCCTCAGTATTTCATACGTTTACAAACTTCAGGCGGTTAAAAGTGAAGTTGATTCCCAGTTCTCTAGCACCAGATTGAATTTTTTGAGCGTAAATATCAATGTAACAGTATAAATCTGGATGTGTCCCTTATACCTGTGCCTCTATAAAGACAAGTCAAAAATCCATGTCTATGTCTGTGTGTTTAAGTAGCAATGTTTAATTTGTTGGCTAGGACAAAACAGAGATCCCCTAAAATTTTTCATACGGATGCTAAAGCAACAGTGCTTCCCCTGAATAGGGCATTCCAATATCTGATTGCGTTCCTCCATTAGACCAGATGTGTCATATTTATTCATGATAATAGGTACACATGAATTGTGAGTCAGTGTAATTGATCAGGCTCCGTATTTCCCATAGTGGAGGTTATGGTGACGTGGAAGCTGCAGAAGCCAACCTAGGTTCTAACAAACGTTCTCCTTTCCGTAGCTGGCTCCAGCGCTGCATCTCTGCATTGGACAGCGGAGCGAGCAGTCAGTGTCCTCCTCCTCGGGCTCTTGCCCGCTGCTTACCTGTACCCCGGACCAGCCATGGACTACTCGCTGGCTGCAGTCCTCACACTGCACGGTCACTGGTAAGTCAGGAGAAAAGTAGCATGGGAAGCTGGCCCCACTGGGTCTGTCCAGCCCTGTACTGTCAGCACCAACTTGGCAGCAAAGGGCTCCAGGGTTTCAGGTCAGATGCTTCCTGAACTCTGCCTGGAGGTGCTGCCAGGGACGGAAGCTGGCACCTGCCCTGGGCCAAGGAGGCGCGTTAGCACTGAGCTTCAACCAGCCGGGCCTGCTGCCTGTTGCCTCTTCTACTCAGCTCAGAAGCCCACCTTTTCCCCCTTCATTGTGTTAGAATATGGGGTCATGCAGTGAATTTAAAGGATGGGAGATTCAGGATAGACAAGTATGGCATTAGCTACCACAACGTATATTGATGATCACTATTGTGGACTGAGTCTTTGCTGAGTGTTTTTGGACTGTCTTTTTAGTATTTAGGAGCCCTTTGGCTGCCAGTTAACTATAGCTGATTGGCAGCTTCAAATAAAGCATAAACCAAACTTGGTTCAATGTGGATTTAGTTTTAGTTTTTATTATAAAATATTTTGTTTTATTAGAAATAGATTTGTAACATCACATCAAAATGTAATGTGCATAAAATAAACACGTTGGTTTAAAATGAAGCTTTGTTAAAGATCCTTAGATCTTAAGAGGAACTAGAATTTGCTAAATATTTTTGCTTCTTAGATTTTAGTTCTAAGAGCTTAAAAAAATCTTGTTCTTAGTACTGACTTTCCAAATCTATTCTGAGTAGGCTGTTCAGCCGAAAAATAGGCAGGCCAGGTGAGCTTCTGATAAAAGAAGCTTTGCGGTTTCAAAACCAGCACATAGTTAGACTTCTTTGTGTAGAAATTACCAGATAAATAATCTTCGCCATACATTGGGGTTCACAGTCTTAAGGCACTATCCTATATGTGTTTAGACCAAAGGAAAAGGCTTACAGTGTCTAGCTTGCTCAAGCAATCATGTCAGACCGTGTGCATGTCTGTGTGTCAATATGCATAAGATTGTGCATAGGATAGTGCCTGAATCTTACTAAATATTCCTGGAAAGTAGAGCATAACAAAAAAAAAAAAAAAAAACCAAAACAAAACCCTTATACATGCACCTTTTAGGATAGAAAAGATTGATTCTTGAGATCAATGCTCCTTACAATTTACTTATGAATCCAAAACTACTACTTTCTAGATTGGCATACATCATCCTTTTTAAGGTGTGTAACTTAAACAATACTTGTTCTTTAACTGATAAACAGAAACTACTCAGTAAACGTTTGTCCTGGGAAACATTGTCTGACACCAGTTTATTGCTCAGATAAAGCTTAGCCCTAGAGATAAGGCTGTATTTCAGCATTTCCTGTTTGGATACCATCCAGTTCCTCTTAGCAACTGTTTTTTATGCCAGTTATCCAGAGTTCACTGTAATCTGTTTGTGTCCTCGCACCACTTTGCAGTTGTGTACAATCAGCGGCTGCCAGAGCACACGATCCTAACAGACTGCTTTCAAACAAATCCAATAAACACCAGCCTTGCTGGCTGGCTGCTGCCGCCTCTAGCAGAGCGCGCTTGCTTACCTGCGCTGTTTGCGGAGGGACTTGGGCCAAGGTCTTGTACCTGTCCTGAGGGATGCAGCTGGTTTGTCACTGTGTGGACTGGATGGGCCCATGGTGGTGATCCAGCATGGCTTTTCTTATGTACTAATTTTTATTTACAGTTACACCTTCTCAAGTCCTTCGAGTTAAAGCAGCAAGCATTTGCATGTTGTTATAAGAACTGCCAAGATACGCCTATAGAGAGAGGGGCGAGCAATTTGACAGTGGTCTTCCCAGGAAGTCCAAAGAAGCAAAATCAGCTGCGTCCCAAAAAGCAGGACACTGCTGCACATCTGTGGAGGCAGCGCTGGCAGTGGCTACTACTAGTCATGACGACTGTGCATAGGACTGCTGCTCTCCGAGGCGGCTGTGTGGGAGGAAGAGCGCGAGTCTTGCTTCTGGCTGGCCCTTGCTCTTGTGCCCTTGCCACCTTTTCCATGCCATTTCTTTAGCTTAACACTAGAGGGTGCTTGGCACTTAAAAATACCCAGTTTCCCCTGCATATATTTGTAGATCTATTTATTTAAAAATCATTTATATGCTGTCTTTCTGCCTGATTACCAGATATCCAGAAAGGCTAAAATTAAATCTTTACACTGCAAAATACTGCATTTTTTTTAAAACTAAGCAACAAAATAATATAAATATTACAACTTTATAGATGGTGATATCCTAGCATAGTGCAAGCAACCACTAACCACCCTCCCCATCATCTTTAAAGGCCTTAAAAAAACTTCCTCTAAAAGGGAGCAAAGAGTAGAAGTCCCCCAAGCTTTCCTGGCAACATCATCTCCTGAACAGGGCACCATGGAGAAGACTTTGTCCTGGTGACTCAACTGAGCTCCATACTTCAGAAGGCAAGAGAGCTTGGAACAGAACCTTTCCATGATGATTCAGACAGATATCTTTTTGAATAGGTTGTATTTCAGGTTGCCTGATCCCAGATTGTTTAAGACTTTGGAGATCAATAGCTGCATTTTGACTGGGTCTGGAAACTACTTACCCACTCGTGAAATCATTGCTTCATGTATGGGGTCCTTATTAGCATTTGCAATGCAACATTCTGGAGCAGCCGTAGTGTCTGATCAGTCCTAAAAGGCACTCCCATGTTAAGTGCACGTTGGAATGATCTTTGCTCCGGTTTTTCAGATAACGGAGCAAACAAATGAGACACTTGATTACATTCATGTGCCTTTGCCATGAGCAGGGGTTCAGCACTGTCAGGAAAATATATAAATTACAGGCAAGACATTGTGCCAATTTCCCAAGCTGTTCATCCACAAGGAGCCTTGGGAGCTTGGACAGCTGCTTTCCTCGTAAGGCAACGTGAAGCTGAGGCCATGTCAGCTGGGGTTGCTGAGGGGTGGAGTCCAACGACTTTGAGGGGCCACACTTTGCCCCCGCTTTAAATCGATCGGAATACTGAATGGTAATCCCTTGGGCTGGATCTGGGGAGGGTCCGTTTGCAGCATTCCTCTTTCCCTCTGTAAAAATGAGCACTCAGCTGGAGATACAGAAAAGCATTTGTGATGCTGCCCTTGTCTGCCCAGGTGTCAACAGAATGGGTCTTCGCTTGGGCTAGATAGGTAGGCTTGCGTTTTAGGTCACTTGTCCTCACACCTGAATAGCCACCCAGTTCTCCTTTGGTCTGGTTTAAGGCTGGAAATGCCTCTTCTGGTTTTCACAAGCTACTGGAGAAACTGCAGTTGTGGTGTTCTCGCTAGAGCAGGCCTGCCTAGGCAGGTGGGTGAGTGCAGGTGAGCTGTGGAGCCACTGGCCATGCTGAAAATTGGGCAGTGAGGTGGCAGACCGACACACCTGGAAAGCACCAGGTTGGAGAAAGCTGCAGGCAGGTAACCTCTTGAAACCTTTCCATCAGAGGGATGTGTCTTCTCTTTGCCTTGAATCGATACCATACGAGGACGGCATGTAGTGTTGGGCAGGAAGTTGGCCATCCCAGAGATGGAGGCAGGGCTCCCTTCAGCCCAGGCTGTTACCCTCAAATGCCCCATGGGAAGGGCCCTCCTGAGTCTGTTGCATCTCGCTCCTGCTGCTTTCTGCTGTGTCACCTTGGAAGGATTTCTGCCTTGCAGGTGGGGAGGTAAATCAGTTTAATAAACCAATAGTCAACCTGGAAATACTTGATGCTGGAAGTTAGAGGGTGGTGGACCTTCTCGCTGGTTAGAGGTGATGCAGCAGAACAAAGGGGACAGCATTTTAAGGCACGGGCATTTGGGATTTCCATTGCAAATGTGGCCTGCATGTCCTGGGCAGGTGTGGACAGGCCTCAGGCTTGTGGGGTCTAGTGTGGTGCGGTTGCTTTTCCTAGAATCCAGGGGTTCATCAGCCAGAGACGGGTCAGCAGTGTGTGTGCAGTGGTGTCTTGGGGCGCAGCCAGTTTCTTATCTTACCTGTCTTACCTTTTCCTCTCATCAGGGTCCTGCTGTGAGTGTCTGTTCATGGGTAGAGTACTCACCAGTTGTGCATAGTGTGGGTATTTTGTCCAGGCTCAGCATGTTCTCGGCACAGAACACGGGTGTTTCATTCATATTGCATATTGTTGATTTTGCAGTCAGGCTGGCCAAGGGAGTGTCCCGCTTTTCCTTTGTCACATTCCACTGAGACTTACTTGTTCTAGGGGAAGTTGCTAGTGGGATAGCCGTCCTGGGAGAGGGGATTTTTTTGCTCTCTGGAATTTCCTTTTGACTGTCTCTTGCTCAGCAGTGGGAAGATCAGGGCATCTTTCCCATGCAGGAAAGGCACGGGCATTTGCTAGCTTGCCGTGTGAGAGAAACTGGTGGAGTGGATGGCAGCAGGTGAGTCGTGTGGCTTCCTTGGCCAAATTTCTGCAGGCTGTAGAGCTCAGCAAGGCTTGGGGGCCTCCTTTCAGCCGTGGGTTTAAAACTTCTTTATAGAAGACATAATATTTAGCAAATGTGTGGCACTTTTCAAGCAACCCCATGCCTTATTTCAGAATTTAGCTATGACTGCCTCTTAAGGTAGGCCAGTGATCTCGTATCAGTCTGGCTAATTTAAGGCTGAGACTGGAAAAAGACGGGAAGGACCATGTGGCTGGGGAATCTGACCCAAAGAAGGTGCTGTCGAGCTCACGCCCGCAACCCCTTTGCACACTGGCATGGAACAGCTGTTCCCCGCAAGTTCCCTCCAGCTGCTCAACCAAGCTGGTGGCAGTCCAGCGCTAGCAAAAGCAGTAAGCCCATCTTCACCAGCCGGGTGCCTTCCAGGTACATTGGGCTGCAGCACTGTCACTCCCAGTCCACAGGGCCAGTCCAGCACACCTAGGCACCAGGTGCGGCATGCCAGACTATTTATACTCTGGTGGCATGACGCTGGGTCATCTTTGCTGAAGCCAAATTGGCCACCTCTCTGGAAATGAGCATTTGTTGCATATGAGCCAGCCCTGTGACGTGGCAGGACAACAGTCTGTAGGAAGAAGCATGCCACTCTGGGGAGTTTGGGTTTGCTTGTAATGATCCAGGATCCTGTAAGCTCTTTACCAATGCCATATGCTTCATTCCCTTTCTGGTTTCTGGTATTCTGAGAGATCCTAATCTTGCTGTGGTATAATTTCCTGGCCTTTCTCAGTGGATAACTGGTACTGTTCTTGCATCACCCCTGTCAGAGTAGGGGACTCTCCCTCCTGAAGGCAGAACAAAATTAGAGATATTCAGGATGACTAATCCTTTCCTAGGCTTACTTGCTTGGGTCCTGTTGATCAGCATGGTATGCTTGTAGGGAAACACCACACAGTTTCTAAAGGGAACTTGATGGGTCATGGCAACCTTGCCTTTTGAAACGGGAACGCTTTCTAGTGTGTGAACTTCTGGGTGCATGGCTTCCCTTCCATCTGGCAGCGGACACATTCGCATTTGAAATGTGTGAGGTTCCCCCACTCCCCTACCTGGTTTAAGAAAGAAAGATGTACTAAGATGGCTTTTCAGCGCAGTCTTTGTCTTTAGGTCACATCAAGGGGGAGGCACCTTAGCTCAGTGGTGGAGCCCCTGCCTTTCCATGCAAGGAGACCTGGGTTCAGCCCTCAGCATCACTACTTATGTGCACGGGGAAGCAGGTCAAGTGAAATTCTTCTAGGGATGTGGACAGTTGGAACAGCCCATGGTTGGCCTAGTGGTGGTACTTTTGTGGGTGAAGAATGGCATCAGAATTTCAAAACAGTTACTGTTCTCTTACCAGACATAGTGCTTTACAAAGTATAACAAGACAAGTCCCTGCCCCAATGAGCTTACAGTATAAAACTCAGCACAGAGTGTGAAAACCAAAGACCTTTGGAGTAAGACAGGCTCCAAAACTGTTGCATTCTTCAGAACCAGTTTATTGCCTCCTGTATCATTAAGCTATTTTATATACATGACAGGTGAGAGCCCTGGCTGTAACACATCCTGAGGAAGTTAAGTCCCTTTCCCAGAACTGCCTTTCAACTCCATTAAAAAATGGCTTCAGCTCAGCCTGGGCAAAGGAAGGAGTTTCTGGTTTCCGATAGAGCACATATATTTTTGATGTTGTAAGCCGCCCCGAGGCCTCGGCAAGGGGCGGCATAGAAAGGTTTTAATAATTAATAATAATAATATTTTGTGAACCAGCAAAAGAGTAATTCAGGAATGGTCATTTGGTTTTAAAATAAAAGGAAGCCTGTAATTAAATAACTAAAATGAATACTTTCTCATCAAAGCATCTTACAGTTATATGTGTTTGTGCAGCTAGGACAAAGCCCAGATGTGGCTGCCCAGCAGAAGAGCATCCATTTGTTGGCTGGCCAAAATTTTTCCGAATGAGCTGTTTCTTTGGGGAATGGGCAGCTCTCAAAAACCATTCAGGCTGGCCAGTGGAGGCTTGGGAGGACCTCTTCATAGAGATCAAAGGTGTCAGAGGTCTCCCCGTTCAAGGGCTAAGTCCAGTTCCTTGGAAGACTGGACTGCTAGAAGCAGCTGTGGGCTTTCGGAGTGGCTTGTCGCTGAAAAATAAGCCACCCTGCAAGAAGAGAGCTAGTCACCCATCGTTGGTTATTCTGTTATGTGAACCAGTTTGCTGCATTCCAGCTTTTTAGAACAGGAGAACGTGTGAATGCTGCGCATCCACTGGGCCAAGGCTGGGAGCGCAGGAGGCTGCACGGAGTGACCGCTCCGGCCCCCCAGCGTTCCTGTCGTGTCTGCATTAGCGACATCCTGGGGCCAGAGCCAGCCTTGGATGTAGAATGCTGGGGAGTCCTGACCATGCCTGGACATGTTCTGTGCTGAGTCATTTCTAGACCGTGCAGGGGCTCTGTGGTCGGCTCTGTCAGCCAGAAAAAGGTTTAGAGGAAGCGGAAGGGCAGTACCAGTGCTCGGTTTTTCCTCCCAGCCCAGCTGCATGGGAAGAAATCTGCTGATCTGGCATTAAGCAGCAGCTGATGCTCGAGCTCAGGTCAATCATTAGGGGCCTGGTTGGACATGAGGTTCACATTGGCCAGTTGCCTCCTGCCCCAGTGACATCCCCCCACCTGGTAAGGCAGAGCCATTAAACTGCGATTGGGTCGCACTCGCTCACTTTATTCAGGGAAGCGGTGCCCTTTCCCTCCAGAAATGGAGCCAGCGCACCAGCTTTCAGAAGCATCCCATCCCCCTGCTTCCATTGGCATTGGTTTAGAGGCCTCCTTGCCAACAACGGCCTCCTAGCTTGGTTGTAGGAAGCAAGCGCTGCGTCTGGAGTGGGCTGCCCACGTTTGAGGTCGGTGCCTGGGTTCCAGGGCCTCTAAGCCTTTGGCTCTTCTTGGTGGCTATGGAAGGGCCAGTGCCGCTTGACCTAAATGCACATATGGCCAGTTCTTTGACAAGCAGTGAAATGTGCTCGTGAAAGCAACTGCTTCTGGGTGTCTGCTGTCCTCCGTGACCCGAACTGTGCTCACTGTTAGGATTAGGAATGCTTTCTGGAGAAATGGGTCCGCCGTGATGCAGGGTGAAAATTCACCAGAGGGTGAATTTGATGAATTTCGGGATCAACCAGAGTTCCTTTCTTGCAGAGATCACCTAGAAACATTTGGAAATTGGTGGAGCTCAGATGCCTGAACCTTCTTGCCTCCTTCATCGTGTTTTCTTCCTTGCAGGGGCCTCGGGCAGGTTGTAACTGACTACGTTCATGGAGAGACACCTGTCAGACTCGCCAGCACCGGCCTCTACCTGCTGTCAGCGATCACCTTTGCTGGCCTGTGCTACTTCAACTACCATGATGTGGGCATCTGTAGAGCCGTGGCCATGCTGTGGAGCCTCTGAGACATGACACGGCCCACCGGCAAACCATCATGAATGTCCACTGCTGCCTCTGCTTCACTGTATTACTATGACATGAATGATCCTGTGGCCCCTGGGTAGCGTCTGAGGGGCCATAGGATACCTGGGGTTCCCAGCTCCAGCTGTGGAGCTAGGAACTGGCACTCCACCCCCTTTTTCTGCCCCTTCATAGCTGACCGGAAAAGAACTCTGCCAGCTACCTATCTAAGGTCGGAAATATGACCTCAGAGGGGGGAAAGGGGGCGTTTCAGTGTGTGGGGAGGGGAGGAGATTGGAGAGGCCAGGCCACAAGCTGCCTTGACTCCTCTCCAGTCTTCTTCCCTCCCTCTCCATACAGGGATTTCTTTGCCCATCTAGCAAAAATGCAAGGCAGAAGGATTGGGAGGTGGGGATCCCCTGTGCGGCTTCTCTGCTTTGCATGGGATGCTGGACCTAAGTTTTGAGGACTGCGCCCTGAGTCGTAAAGGAGGGAGAGACAGCTGCAGCGGGTCCCATGCAGCACACAGGTCGGCAGCTCCAGCCACTCGGCAAAATCTGGGCAGGAGGATGTTCATGAGGCTTGCTGACCATCAGAGACGTGCTTCCCGAACCTGGTTGCTTGGCAGAGTCGTGGGATCTCTCTGCCGTCTGGTTGTGCTCTTGGGATCTCGGAAGCATGTCTGGTTGTGCTGCAGGTTAACGGTCAGGCAGGGGTTTGCAAGATCAAAGGCATGGCCCATAGGATTGCACCCTAGCCAGCAGAGGAGGGAGAGATGGCCACCGAGAGAACAGCTTGAGGAAGGGGGCGTGCAAACCCAGGTCAGCCGTTCAGCAAAACCTGGATGTCTTGCCAGAATGAAAATGGGGCGTAGAACAGGTTAGAACTGAGGGCAGGCATGCAGAGGAGACTCCGGCATCACCTGAAGGAAAACAGTGATCTTAGGGTTGTGTGTCGCTAACCTTTCCCTCTCAAATGGCAGCTTCGGTTAAACCAGTGCAGCATGAATAGACTTTCGGTGCTAATATTGCAGTTGGTGAATCGTGTGTCGAGCATCTCATGGCAGTACTCAGTCGCAGAGCAAAAGGGAAGACTTTTCTTTAATGTATGTACAATAAAGAATTTACCGAACCCAGAATTGTTTGCACAATCCATTTCTCACCCTTTCAGCTGTCTCTGTTGTGAACTTTTAAAAACATCTATCTCTCTGTCACTCTCACTCAGAGCAAACAGGGCTGTTAACTTCCTTCCTTGGAAGGGCAATCAAGTAGTATTGTAGCTGATTGCTGGGATTGGGTGCTAAGAGCTGCTCTATTCCTTTCAGGATCTTTTGGTTCCAGTGTGTTGATATAATAGAGTTTAAAAAAATTGGTTTAAACTATTTCAAGCAAGTAACACCCTCAGCTGAGCCTGGAAATGAACAGGGCAGCTGCATCTTCCAGTGTCAGCCGAGTCATTTTCTGAGTGCTGCAAATCGGACAAGCTGACAGAGCCTAGCTGGGACAATTCAGCACCTACCCTCTTTTTGGTCTGCACCCCACAACCTGTCTGCCAAGCAAGCTCTTCTGCTGTGTTAGAAGCATAAGTTAGAATATGTGGCTGAGGTTTCTTCTTATCTGTCTGCTGCACATTTTCAGACATCTGGGGTCATCAGTGTGGAAATGAGGGACAAAACCGTCTCTTTACATAACACCTAAAAATGCATGTGGGTTAAATCTGATCCTGTTCTTGCACAGATAATGGGATTTTTGTCTCAAGATCTGTTTCAGGTGCAACAGCCTCAAGGACAAGTACCCACTCAGGTCGCAGAGCCTCTTCCCACCAACCGTTCGTCCAGATCCTGCCGCTCTGGTGCTCTCGGCTGAGTTCTGTATGAACTGGGGCTTCCCTGTGGTAATGCTTAAAACACCACGATGCTCTAGACTGCATTCCCAGCCTCTGTTATCTCATGCAGCTCCTTGATCATAAGGACTAGAAACTTGCTTTAAAAAATCAGATTTAGAGGAGTCTATACCAGGAGCCAAGCTTTTTATAGAATGCTTTGCTTGCACTGGATTTTTATCAAGCACTACTTAAACATGGCATTCTCTTTTGACTTCATTGGTTTTTAAATTTGCCTAATACTCAACCTATAGCTGAATTTCCCTTCTTGCTGCATTTTTTACTGTGATGTTGGAAAAGTGTTGTGAGTCTAATTTTATTTTTGTGGGTGCCAGTGCAGAAGTTCTAAGTTTTGAACACTTCTAACATGTTTAAAAACGCACCTTTTAAAACGCACGTTTTAAAAAGGTGGATAAACTGACCTTCAAACAAATGATTAAAGTCAGTGGTTCCTGAGGTGTTTCTTTTTTACTGGATAACTTGAACTTGGGGTGGACAACATGTGATCCTTCAGATGATGCTGGACTCCTCTCCAGTGACTGCTGGCTGGACATGACGAGGTTAGAGCCCAGCAATATCTGGAGAGCCAGACGGTTGTCACCACTGGTTTAAAAAAACCCCGCTTATTCGCCAGACAGAGCTAGCAAAGCGAGTGTGTTCATCTGCTGCAGAGCAAGAATTTCCACAATCTCACTTTTGCTGGGCTGATGTTTCTCAAGAAGAAATCCATTGTTGGTGTTTCTGCTGAAATGGACTGTGGTTTTTTGCATGCTGCTGTATGTCTCTACTTTTACAACAATAGTTGGGATATTTTTAGTGGCAAGATTGAGGCACGCTGTGCCGGGAAACTGTTTTCTTTTCTCGGCTGTGACACAATCGCATTCTCTCTCGCTGTTTCTTGATGAGGAGCAGATGTGTTTGAGTTACTAGAAATATATCTGCTGTTATAGAAAGAAAACACTTCCACCCAGCTGATGAATTTCCAGTTGTATGTGTGTTTGAGGGTGCCTGTGGAGATTTCTCTCGTAGACACTGTACTTGGTGCTGAACACGGTGGATAGTGTTTTGAGCCCTGGACTTTCTGTCCACCCTCTGTCTCCAGTAAAATTGGGCTAGGAAGGGAGATGATATCTTGGAGAACAGATGAAGCAGAACTAAATAGGCAGGAGATCTGATTTCGTAAATGATCGCTTCTGTATTTGCTCATATTGGCCAAGTGTGGTTGGGGGGCGGGGAAGGAAGCTGTACCTGGATGCAACAAGAAGGAAGAGTAAACTCTTAGAATGGAAAGATAGAAGGAATTTTAAAAAGAGTTTTGCGATATCCAGTACTTGTTGCTAGACTCTTTCCTCAAAGCGCTGAAAGAAAATGGTCTTTCACAGTACTCAATTCAGAACTCTATTTGCTCAAATTATATACAGCATCCACATGTATAGCCACACAGAAAATAGGAAAGATATGATCATACAAAACTGTTCTGTAATTTTGTATCTGCTTAGTTTCACTTGAGCAGGTGGGATTTTAAAATTCCATTATTACTGGTTTTGCTAGAATTGATCGCTTGTGTCCAGGTGCATATGTTCAGGAAATGGGGAGTGGTGTAGCTTTATGGATTCATCCACCTGATCCACAGCTTCCCGCCTCTTTACAATCAATCTTCCTTTATCTTTTTCAAAAGCAAGGAAGTAGCCTTGTTCCAGTGCAGTCTCGAACATGTAGTATTGCTCATCACCCTCAGAAAACGGGGTTTTGATGAAGATTACATTGCTGGTGGTTCCTTCAATGTTATTTGGAACATCTCCTTCCTGAAATGGAAAGAAATACAACTTGGATCGCTGAAGCTAAAAAGGGAATAGAAATGGGAGAAATTTTGGAACAGGCTGCAGAGCATTTCAGCCGGAGCCTAACCGTGTCTCCTTGCAGCCCGATTGCATGGCTCTTGTAAGCAGCCAGTCTGATTAAGTAGTTAGGAAGGCATTTTAACGTATGAATTAAATCAGCATCTCTCTCTGAGGTAGGTGACATTCTGCCCCACAGGCACTTTGGGGAATGTGTGAAAAGGTGGTGTTTTGGTTGAACGGGGCTGCCACGCATGGGCATGGCTGGCCGTAAATGACGGATAAACTGCCCAGAAGCATTCGTGGGAATTTAAGGTGGCCACAACTAGAGATTTTGCCTTCACTGTGAGGCAAGCCCAGCTGGCAGTTAGAAATATGAAGCTACTACTTAAATAAAAGTTGGGGCAGGTGGGCGCCTTGGTGAGCATCAAGGAGAGTGTTTGGGGCACTGTGCTACCTGCTCTTGATTTCGGTCAGTAAAGCCAGTTGTGGGCCAAGCGGTGGTGACAGTCTCTTGGTCCCCACCCAGGTGGAAATGCTCTGTGCTTGCTTGTGCCACGGCCGTAACAGTGACTTGCCAGAAAGCTCCACCGTGCTGCAGGCTGAAGGTGTGGACTTGGTCCAGCAGGTAGCAAAAGTCTGCCATTGCTTTGGACCGTGTTGGTCATCGTCTGTTGTATGCACTGAGATCTTTGACTGTAGTGCCGCACAGTGGTTTGCATTGCTGTCTGAACAGATGGCATCTGACAAGCCGTGCGTTCGAGTGGTCGCTGAAGCCAGATCGGAAACCTGGCTTGAGAAACAAACTACAGTCTGGGCAAGCCAGGTTGGTATGGTATGGAGACTGGCTCGGGACATGGCTCCCTCTTCACAGGCGGATGCTGAGGGCAGCTGCCAGGTTTTTTCAGGAAAGGCCGGGGAAGAGAAGCACCACGCAACTCATGGAGCCTAAATGAGGGTTAACATAAATCATAGTTTGACGTGACGGCTAAATCAGTTTATGGTGGGGTGGGAGGCATCCAGATTTAGCAAGAACTTTGAGTAGATCCACTGAAATCAGTTGAACTTATGCTAATTGCTATTTCCCCAAGATGGTGCTTTCTATAAGATGGTGCTAGACTATAATACAAAAGCCGTGCTGCTTGGGGATGATGGGAGTTGTAGTCTAATATCTGTAGGGCTCTAGTTTGCGGGAGGCTGTTCTACTCTGGTTAAATTTGACTAACTCAATGTGTATTATGGAGACAAGTAGGGCAATTTAATATTGATCTAGGGTTTGGGGGGGTTTTTTGTTTTTTTACTGGACTATTGCAAAAGCATCCAAGGTCCCTTACCCACTGTAAGCACACAGGGATAGAATCTGAATATGGCACAATTAAACTAAGTGCTAGAATTCACATGTCATTGCAGATTTTAGGTCTATATGGTTGACCTGTACCATCCTCCCCTGAAGGGTCAGGAGCTTCAAAACTTCGTTTACCTTAAATTGCACATTCAGGTTGCCGCCTCTTTTCTCAACACACATGTAGTAAGTTTTTTGGTGCCATTGGATGGTGAAGGCCACTGGCAATCCTTTTGGCTTCGTATCTTGGTAACTGTGGATGTCGAATTTGATCCCAGGGTCTGCATACAAAAGATAAGTTGTCAGCCTTCCTTTTGCCTCCCGCATCTTGGGTGCCAAGCCCGCCTGACTTCCCTAGAGGATGTTTGCCAATTATCAGTGGCATGTCCCCATCCCCTCGGCAGCGGTGGGGGCCTCTTTCAGCACGAGGGTCACAATCGACTTTGGAGACGCTCTCGGGAGTGATGTCCCAACGGTAGTTTGGAACAAATCAGGGTGGGAACAATGCCAGCACATTTTCACTTTAAACTCTCGCTATTGGTAAGGAACCCTTTTAGAATGTGGGGAGCCCTCTGCAAAAGCCAGGAAAACACCCCCTGGCCTGAAGGGTGCATGGCCTCCACAGGAAAAACAGAGGGGCAGACTTGTCCTCTGATCTGTGGTTGCAGCTGCCCAGGCCTACCTCCAGCTGTGCGGATGCTGGAGGTAGTCACTCCGGCCAGAGGGGTGTTGAGTGTCTGAGCCAAGAAATCGCAAAGAATCAAAGCACGAAGTACCCCTTGCATCAGAACTTCTATAACACATTTGACCAGCAGCAGAGATGAAGTGGCCTTCATGTGGTTAGAGAACAGGCTTCACAAGCAGTGGCCAGAACTAGAAAGCATGGGTGGGTGCTTTGCCCGAGGTGGGTGGATTCAGATGGAATTGGTGGGGGCGGCCGCAGCTGCCTGCCTCAATGCACCTTGCTTCTCAAGCTGGCAGATGACCGTTTGCATTTTGGCAAAGGAGAGTGTGGGAACTGGATGTATGAATGCTTGTATCTAAACGAGAATCCTATGATGGCTTGCTTTTTACTGTTTCTAATCCTTTGCTATAAAAGTTCAGGATACTCTGTGGAGTAGCCAGATGCCTTCACTTCCTTATTTTGCTGCCTTGAAATTCTGCATAAAAGGGGTTTCACAACTCACAGCACTTTGTTCCTTTACTAAGCTGCTCCATACTCCCCAAGTTATTTCCTGAGAAATTCTCACTGTTTAAACATCTTGCCTTTTGTCTGTCCCCCAGTGACTCGATTTGCAAACCTCCCACTCACTTTTTGGAAAAAGCTGTGTTAGATGGTTGCAAATCCAGCCCCTTCAGATCGGTTGGGAATGAATCTCCCCAAATTCCTTTCTAGCACAGTCATCAGTACAAATACTGGGTGATACAGGAATGTATTAAATTACGGCAATCCACGGCCATCGTGTTCCAAATACATTTCCCAAATGAATGAAATGTGCGGAAATTTGTTGGGATGGGTAATATTTCTGCAGAGTTGAGATGGGTGTGGAACAGATACTGTACACGATGACATTTCTTCGATGGTCATAGACTCAAATATGGCTTTATCGTCGTCATCTGGCTTCGCTATGAGGACGAGGTTCTGCTTGTTTCTCAAGATCTGGGTCTTCTCACACTTTCCAGATTTTCTCCAGCTGTCACTTTCCAAATCTTTCAACAGACAGAAGGCAGGTCGTAGATTTTTTTTTCCAGAATGTAAACATATGACACACAAGCAGGGGCACATTTCTATTAAAAAAACAAACCCAACCAACCAACTCATGGGCAGGCTGAATGGAACCATTTCCTGCCCTTTGAATTGTATGAGTGGCAGAATGAACATGTCCAAGCAATTTCACGCTTGAATCTGTCTGGCAGACCTAGGTCCCCCGCCCCCGTTTTCACCACTTAAGCACTTGGGAGCAGCAATTTATAATCGTCTCTGTGTGCTTACAAAAGTTGGCTGTGTTATGAATAGAGTTTAAATCCACCTGGAACTCAGGCTGATCCGAATATACGGTTTTAAATCCCAATAACTTCAAGTCACATTTTGTTAGACTTGGCATGAGCCAGGTTTTCAATCTTGTTGCACCTGTGTGTGTTTTGTCCCATGCTTTTGCACACCTTAATAGAACATTTTTCCGTTCCCCAAGCTAAATTTCCATTACATTTAAACTAGAAACCTTGCTTGCCAATCAGGATATGAAACTAGAATCTGGTTCTGGTTTCATATCCTGGGTCATTTCAGGGTAAACCACAATTTCTCGGAAAGGTGAGTGAAATGCCAAGGTTGGCTAAGTGAGCACAGATGGAGCTACAAGTCACAATGCTTGTTCCCAGTCCGATTAATTTTTTTTGGGGGGGGGTGTTGTATGATATACTGACATAATTATGTCAGAAGAGGCTAATGTGGCTGTCTCAGCAATATTCCATCTCTTGAAGTGTTTTATTTATTTTTGTCTGTGTTTTGCATTTCAGTGGTGGTATTCTATCTCCCATTGATAGACAAATCTGGCCTATATGATTTTATTTACTGAAAGTTAATTAAGTTCATCATTTCATGCCATTGCCATGGCATTTAGTTAGGCATGAGGAAGTACATGATCTTATCTACCTAAACCTTGTTGAAACAACAGACAAAGTGGACAGTGGAAAAAATGGCATAATATACTGTCGGAAAGAACTGCCTTTCCACAAAATTTGCAGAGAGCTTTACTGATCCGATCATAAAATACCCTGTGAAGGTAGTTTTGACTGAAAAATTTAATGCTGCAAAAACTAAACAGTTCCAATTTGACAGGAAGGATTAAATCAAGGCACAATTTTATGCCTACCTGTGTCATCTTTGCTCCAACCAGACAATGCAGAGAGGGCGAGAGAAGAGAAATATGTTAGAATTCCACATCCAGACAAGGGGTCCTTTGCTGGCTAGCTTAATCTCCCAAGTGAGTGAGAATCCATTTTAGTGCTCTTTCTGTCACCCATGGGATTAGAAATAGAAAAGAAATTTTGTGGCTCCCAGACTAGGATCTCCTGCAAACATATGCCAAAGTGCTGGCCAGTTTTGTGCAACATAGCCTGTGTTTTTTAGCCAGCATCCACTAAAGTATATGGATACATCAAATGAAGGTTTCTAGCTTACCCTCCCTACAAATTCTAATATCACCTCTGATCCACAAGGAGTTTTGAACATATCTATCCAAGAGTGTATCATTTTCATGTTATTGGTGATGGCAGGGAACTCTTAACGGAGCCAGATGGTGTCAATAACAGACACTGATTACCCCTTTGTTTACTTTTACTTTGTAAAAAAAAAAAAAGGGGGGGGTCTAGTGCTCCTGACTCTGAGCGTGAGAAGAGGACACTTTCTCATCCTTGGAGCCAGGACGCTAGACCAAAGGGCTCAGCCAGACAAAAAACAAAAACGAAACTTCCTCATTCATGGTATAGTGAGACAGTATACACAAGATAGTTTTGTTTATGTGAGCCTGCGGTGTCCCATCGTTTGCACTTCTGCCACCCAAAAGCTTTGAATGAGAACTGCCAGATACTGAACGTGGCACTTATGTGTGAGTGAGCTCTGCCACTAAGCTGTGGCCATTTTTCTGGTGCAAGGAATAGCCACAGCGATTGACCGAGTTTCCCTGCGCTATGGAGAACAGTTCCTTAATCACTTGCTGGTGGCAACTGGCAGTCTTTTCTCCTGTCTCTTTGTTATGTCCCCAGTTATCTGAAGAGAGCCTACGTCACGCAGTTCAGTGAGGTGAGACATGAAAGGGGTGTCTGAAAATATGTGGTGCAGAGAAAGTAGCACGTTTGTGATGGAAAGTTGTGATGGCTACCAGTCTAGATGGCTTTCAAAGGGGATGCGGAAATACCTGTGGGAGGAGATTAGCAGTGGCTATGACCCTGATTGCTAGAGGCTGTCTTAAGTATTAGTTAGTGTGCCCCTGTGCATCAGTGGCATGCAAACGCAGCGAGAGGGCGCCGTCTCACGCATGTCCTGCTGGTGGGACCCTTTGAGCAGATGGTCAGCTACTTCATGAGCAGAAGGCTCCCCTGGCTGGAATCTAGGTCTGATCCAGGTGGGCACTTTTATTATAGCTATATTTTCTTTTGCTTTATTTCTGTACTGCCCGATAGCCAAAGTTCCATGCTCCTGTGTTCTTATTTTCATTTAAATTTATTTAATTTATGCTTTCATTTATATGCTGCCTACTACCATAGTTTCAGGGTGGCTTACTATAAAGATGAAAACACAAAATACACATATAAAGATAAAACACAAAATACACATATAAAGATAAAACACAAAATACACATATAAAGATAAAAACACATATGAAATAAAATAAGAGGTCTATCAACATTCAGAACATAATAACGTAACAAATTCAGTAGCCTTCGTAAGGTGTTTTGTCTGGCTAAACTATTTCCAATCCGCCTCAGAGTTAAAAGTGCCTACACTTGTTGATTGCTATGAATTTATGAAAAATATTTCAAATTCCTCCATTTAAAACACAATGGCCCAGAATGTGCATAGGATTGCATTCTTAGGCACAGGGTGTGCTCAGTGCTAAGTCAAACATTCAAATTCCTGTAGCCAGGTAAGAGTGGCTCTTGCGCTCAGTGCCTGGAAGCAGGAGGAGTTGGGAGTCACCTGGCAGAGTGTCCCCAAAATGACGACGTAAGGCACAATCCAGTTCAACAAGCCCACAACCATTACCTTCCCAAAAGAAGATCTGGCCATTTTCAAAACGTGCTGGAATCATGCAAACTTTATCATCAGTCATCTTTGCTGTCTAGGAAAGTGGGTGGAAACGGCATGTTAGACAAGGTAACCTCTCTCCAGAGTTGGCCAAGATACAGGGTATTTCCTTGCCCACACTCATCACCCGTGCCAGAACCAGTGGGGATGTGGTACGGCAGCATTCCCCAAACTGGTGCCTTTAGGCTGCTTTGAACTACAACTCCCAGAATTCCTGCCTGGCTGGACCTAATGGGACTTGAAGTCCAAAACATCTGGTGAGTACCAGGTTGTGGGAAAGGCTGCTGTACAGAAGCAGGACAGCTGGAATTAGCAGAAAGGCATTGATGCATAAGAAGACACTTTCCCCATTCCAGTAATTTCAAATGTTAATAAGTAAATTGTATTTCAATAAATGTACCTATTGCAATGCTCGCCTTTGAAAGATCTTGGAGAGAGAACAGAGTTTCTTAAAGTGAAAATTAGCAGCTCAAAATAACAGGACAACAAAATAACAGGTGTGGTTTTAGTGGGTATCTGGTGGTGGAATTCCAGTTCAGAACTCAGCCGAGACGGTGGGATGCAGCCGACAGCAACGAGTAGAAGTGACTGCCGGATGGAGTGCCACCTCCATTTCACCATGAATTTCAGAGGGTGGAATGCTACAGCGGTGAATTAGAGCCAATATCGATGCACATGGCCTCATTTTGTAGTTAGACTTGCTCTAACTCTTTTGCTAGACCTGCTTTTGTGCTTCTAATAGTAATGGTGATATGTGGAAATGTTGCTCATGAGGCTTTACCTGGAAGGATACAAACTTAACATCAGGCAAGCAATGAAGGTGGGGAGGGGGGGTAGTTTGCAACCCAAGCTCGAGGGTGCTGCTTCCTTTGCACCTCTTTCCTGTCTGTGGCAGAAGTCTAAGCTGTGGATCAGCAGCGAATCTGTGGGAGGCCGGGCTTGGTTAAACCGCTTCTGCTCCTTTCCGTGTAGTTCACTTGGGTAAATAGCAGTATTTTTAGGATTTAGCCGAGTTCCAAGACTGCAGACTCTCGGCTATTTAATAAGAAGAGAGCTAAAGCAGATCAGTGGAAAGATGACAAGAATTTCCTGGGCTCCGATAAAAATACGTTCTGATTTCTAGTCCTGTGGGTCATGTCCCCCTGAAGGGAAATTACGGAAAGCTTTCCGTGTCAAGCATTCGCGATTACGAAACTTATTCATCATGCCGCAAGTCTACCCGCACCAGGGCTTTCCCAGATATGTGGGTTCTTGGGCAACAGCACATGTGTCACAGTTGGTGGGCATAAGTCAGTACTTCTGTTGTGAGAACTATTTTCTTCCAGCGGCACATGTGAGCGTGAAAGGGAGATGGCAAGGATTTGCTGGCTGTGTGTTTCTTAAGCAATCCATAACTTCCCTCTTTTCTGGCACAAACTGCGTAGAAGTTTTGCATTGACATCTGTCGGAATTTACTGGTGTGCATGGCCCACAAAGGTGATATACACAATCTATTGCAGGCTGTGACTAATTTGCTGCGAGTGGCAGGGTCTTCCCTTGGTGTTTAATGGAGTTGAGCCTGTAGCGCTCCGAAGCATCTGGGGCTAAGTCGGGGCACCGCTGTGCACCTGTTGCGCAGGTCTCTGTAGGAAGGGGTCCTCCTTTCCTTCCCCTGCCTCGTTCTGCCTCGGCAGAACGACGAGCCGCGGATGCCCAGGAACGATCGGCAGAAGGGAGCGGGCCGCCCGGTTCTGCGCGGCTGGAGGCACCTGCCGCTGCTCGGGTGAGCCGGCCGCCGGGGCCACCGCTGCGCGCCGACGCCGCCCGCCCGCCCGCGCAGGGGCCCCTTCCCGCCCGCCGGGAGCGCCGCGCCGCGCCGTGCCGCCTGCCTACCTGCCTCCGAGTGCCACCGCAGCGCCGACCCGAGCGAGGAGGTACGCGACCCGGCCGAGCGCCAGCCAAGACTGCGCGAAGCCGGCGCGGGCGGCGTGCCTGGGCAGGAGCGGCGTCTGGCAGGGGCGGCGCTGCAGATGCGCCTCCCGTGCGTCCCGCCCCCGCGGGGCGCCCCTGCTGCCCACGGCTGCTGGCCCCGGCGGCCCGGCTCCGTCCTGCTCGCGCCGCGGCTGCCGGGGCGCGCCCGAAGGCGCCTTCCGCGCGGCGGTGGCCGGACGCGAGGGGCGAGGCGCAGCTCCCCGGCCCCCCCGCTCTCACGAACCGGGAACTGGCAAGAGGCCAGGAAGCAGGCCTGCTCTTCCCTTCTGCCCGCACGGAGCAGTTGGAGGGTGTTCGGCTGCGTTCCAGAGAAGCAGCAGCGGGGTTGCCCCACTAACCTTGCCCGCTGGAAGTCCCAGATTCAGCCTCTGAAATACCCAGGCAGGTCTGGAGAAGACCCCCCCCCCCCGCGGCTCTGCGGGGCTGTCGCTGGCCGTCCAGGGCGGGCGCCCGGTTGGATGCCCAGTCGACCGCCTCCAAGCGACCTGAGGCGCCTCCCCGCGCTCCCGGTTTGTCGTCGGCCACCTTGGCCCCGCAGGCATCAAACCCCAGTGAGCCCAGCTACGCGCCCAGCCCAGAGGCAGTGTTTGGCACCTTGTCATCAACTGGGAGACCAGTTCAAGGGCACCCTGTTCCTCCTCCTCTTCCTCAGCCCGAAAGCACCAGGGGCTCATCTCTTGAAAGAGAAGTGATGGAGCTGGTACTTGCTTGGCAATCAGATTCTTGGACCAGAAAACCTCCTCCAGAAGTTGGCAAACCTGGATCCATGAATCTATGAAGCTTTTCAGGATGGTTTAGTCTTCGGTGGATCCTTCCTTTCCCCTGCACAGGTGTTTCCATGTTCAGACTGCATATCTGACTGAATTTGTTTAATGTCTATGCAGATTCAGCAACCTAAAGACAGAACTGCACTGGAGAAGTCCATTGAATGTTGACATTTAATTCTTCTAGCATTAATTATTTTCCATTTGCTCTTAACCGGTTAAAAAACATGTATCTGCCTTTGCCCTTACGTGCACATGAAGTATTCCCAGCTTTACCAGCATTTTTAAATGCTTATAATTCTTTATTTAACATCTTTGGGGTGCTAACTTAGACCAAGACAGGCAATATAAATGTAGTTAAACTTTAGCCAGTAAAAGCTTCCTTAATCCATAAATGCTTCCTAGAATAGGAAAATAGTTGGCATGGTTGTGAATACAGTTTAATATTAAGCTTAATGATAGCTGTTCTCTGAGCAGTAGAGTTTGCTGTGAAGAGTCATACTTCCTAAAGTTCCAAAACTCCTTTCAATTTCATGAGGAAAAACAAGTCTGTGCATGTACTGCCCCCACCAAGGCTTCACATGGTTAAAAAATTAGATTTGTTTAAAAGCTGCCTATTAGCATACACATCCTTTTTCCTCCTTTTGGGCAAAACCAGAGTTTGATAGCCAGTGGGAATTTGGAAACTGTAGGAATTTGTTCTATCAAAACACGCATAGAATGGTCAAGATGGAAGAGGCCAAGAAAGCCGTTGGGTCCTTTACTTGTACTTTCAGAAAGTTGAGCATGCACGCTTTCTCTGGGCATCTCAAATATATGCTTGGAGGGAATCTGTCCAGCTTGCATAGTAACATCAGCATTTATTTCCTATAAATAGGTTAGGCAGATAATTTATTTCGTATCATTGTTTTCATTATGATTATGTTTCAGTATGGCAAGTGTCATTGGGAGGAAAGAGAATATTATTGGCCTCAGGATGGTATTCAAAGGTGTATGTTCTGACAAGAAGTAGCTGGAAGAAGCAGAAATAGTTGGTTTTGTGGATGTTCACCCGGCCACCTGTCAGTGTGCAGGAAGTATCAGCCTGCCTGTTACGGGCAGTGGTGGAATGCGAAAAAGGAGTTTATAGACTAGAATGTTTTTCTCATCTCGTAAAAGGTTGCCTGCCATTCACTCCCTCTGCTTACTGATATTTTAGTTATGCTTTTGCAGTGGCCTAGGGCAAGATGCACTTCTGTCTTTTTAAACTGTGGTGTAGCTGAATTATAGCTAGGAGGCTTCACTCCTAGCTGGGCCAGGTTCGGTCAATGACACTCTTGTCTCTAAGATTCCTCCTGACTTTCCAGGGAATTCCATAGATGATGATGATGGTTATTATTAGTGTGTGGGAATGAGTTGTGTGTATTCAGATCAGCATATACAATAACAGTTCCTGCCAGATATTCTGCTCACTTGTTGGAAAATTTAATTTCCCTTTAGTATTTGTATTTATAAGTCTAATTATATTGGCATTGGCTCCTAGGGCACTTTATCCACAGATTAGTTATGTGGCAAACTATTCAGCAGGGAGACTATTAAAAATCCATTTGAAAGCATCTTTAAAATGCCAAGGGGAACTGTTTTACCACAGTATTAAGTTTGCAGATTCATTTAAAATGCTGCATTCATATCCACGTCTTAACAAGCATCGCTTACTGTATGCTAGAACTGTCTGCAGCATAGGAAATGGTTGCTTCCTCATCGTAACCACGTGACAGAGCCTTGGAAATTGTATTGTGAGGTTGCCGAATCTGTTAGTGTATTTTGAATTTCTGGTCTGGATTCCCAACTCAGATGCAGGTGCAAATGCTCACTTTACCAATATACATGCAGAAGCTTTCCGAGTCTACTGTCCTCATCCTTTCTTGTTATAGATACCAACAATTAACTTGTACTACCAATCTTTCGTGTGGATAGAGCCACTTTGGCCGCATAAAGACTGGCACTTAAAGAACAAGTTTGCTGTGAATAACCATCTTTCCCACTTCTCTTTGTGGGAAGAAGCTCCAGGGGGCAGTGTCACTGACTATATTTCCTGGGCACTTTATTTATTATTTATTTATTTAGTGGACTTATATGCCTCCCCATTCGCCTAAGCCTTTTGGGCAGCTTACAAATAAATAAATATCATTAATACAATAAAATGCAGTTGGAGACATCCTGGCCAAAGTTGTTAAAATCAATAAATTAAATCAACAATTAAAATGCCGTTTAAATAAAAAGGTCTTGGCCTGGCAACGAAAAGCAAATAACGACGGCGCCACTTAAGATGTGTTTGTAAATACTATAAACTTACTATATGGATATACCCTTTATTTTCAAATGCACAAGCAGCGGATGCCAAGGCCCAATTTGCTTGCAAGAGGTTGGTCCTGCACCTGCAGAGATAACCTGGTCATTAGGTAAATATTCTTTCAGGAGTCAGAGGAGGGCAAAGCCCTTTGATAGTGTTATGCACACTGATGAATTCCTAGCATAGCATTGGCTCAAAGAAGAGTATTTCCCTGCTGCGGCTTGCTGCAAAATGTCCGCGGCTACCAGCCTCCTGCTTTGTGCACAGCGTAATGTAACTTGCCGGGCCGGGCAAGCTGCCTGGGCAGAGTGAGTCAGATTGCACCATTGCTCATTCAGAACATTTATGGCACGCACGAAGCAACAGGACCGGCGCAAAGCTTGCTGCAGCATGTTTGCTGTTGACCCGGCCGACATATGTTCCCAAAGGTTCATGTTATCAAAGCGTGCAAAATTATCTTTCTCTGAATTACTCACGACTTGAGAGATGCTGCCATCGTGGTACCATTGCGGGGAGGGGGGTTGTTTTTGCTTTTTGTGTTGGGTTTTGTGTTTTGTTTTTGAGCCCCTTAAAGGAGACACGGCCAGGAAGAGGAATACATCATCAGTCAATTTCACTTCCCCCAATTCCCGCCTTGTTGCTACTTACCGATCTGGAAATGTATTTTTAAAATATGCCTAGCAAAGCAGGTTGATTCAGAGTTGGCTTGTTCAGCAACTGGCTCGTGTTTAGCTGAGTTTGAATCATGAGTCCTGGTTTGTCTGCAAGAAGCCAGGAACGGAAGAGGCGGGGAGGAGAATCGCGGCTGACGGGCGGGAGGAGGACAGGGGCGCTGCGGGAGCGGACCCGCCGGCCGAGGGGCGCCCCGCGCGGGAGGCCGCCTTCCCGGCGCTGGCCGCGGTGCTGAACCGGCGCCTGCGCAGTGGGCCCCCCGCCAGAAGGGCGGGGCACGAGGCGGCCGTTGGCGGCCGAGTGGGGGAGGGGCGGGAGGGGCCTTGCCCGCCCCTCCCCCCCCGCGGCCCGTCCTGCGCTCGCGGCTTGCCTTCCTCCGAGGGGACAGGAGGGGAGGAAGCGCGCGCGGCTCCCCCTTCACACGTGCCCCGAGCGAGCAGGTGCGGGCAGAGCCCTCCCGGCGCCCCCTTTCCCGTGCCACGCGTGTGTTCGGGGCCGCCGGCTGGCCAAAGAGTGGGGGGCATCTCGTGGGGATCCCCCCACCCCCAGCCATAGTGTTCCCATGACGCGGCTCCCCCTTCACACGTGCCCCGAGCGAGCAGGTGCGGGCAGAGCCCCTCGCAAGCATATCTGGGGCCGCCGGCTGGCCAAAGAGTGGGGCAGATCTGCAGGGGAGACGAGGGCTCCGGTGTGAATGGGGCTCCTCCTCCACTGCAGCCTTTCTTCTGAGCTACTCAGGAGCTACTCAGGTGCTGGATCCTACCCTCCAAATGCATGGACCCCCTGGATAGCTCCTATAAAGCGTAAAAGAAAAGCTGCCACGGAGGTCGGCCGGCTGGTCCCTCTTGCATTCCGCTGACATCCTGGCTTCTTGACCCTTGCAAAGGGGTCCAAGGAGGCTTTGCGGGGCTTGGCCCCCCTGATCTATCCTTGCAAAGCCCTGCAAGGAAGGCGGGTAGCCTGAGGGTCAGAGAGTGGCCCAACGGCCTGGATTCGTGGCCAAGCGCCCATGGCTCCTGAGTCCCCCCTATAGCCACTACCCCACCCTGGCTCTCACCACTTCCCCTGCCAGTATGTTTAGGCTAAATACACATGTTTGACCCTATTTCAAAATAAGGATTGTTTCGGTGTTGCCTTGCATAGATGTTCACTATTTTTTTGATTTTGGACTTGTCCGTGTTTCAAAGTACAGCATTTCCAGCTTGGTGGAATTCTAGAATCTATTAAGGGGCTATTAGGAATGGAATAATCATTAGTGACTTGAATGGTGCTTGGGGATAACTCAAATAAAGGGATTCATGGTCGTGTTTCAATTCATTTCTCGGTTCCTCTGATAGGGCTATTTTGTCACCTTTTCCTAAAGCTTCTGTCTCAATTTTGGGGAGTGAAGAGTTCCTATTTTCTCAATATGCCTTTATTTTGCAGTGCCCTAACAGGAAAACAAATCTTGTTTCTAAAATATAACGTTGAGTTTTTTGAGGTAACCATGACAAGTAATCCAATGAAGCCTGATGAAAATAGAAGTAAACGTAAGAAGGAAGCAAAGGTGAGAAGTTTTAGCAAGCTAGTGTTTTAGTTTTAAAATCACAGCGATTGACATGTCAGTTTTGATCGTTGCTGCTGTTTTGAAAGCCTATGTGGTGTATACATATGCACGTGTGTGTGTGTGTGTGTGTGTGTGTGCAGATGCAAAAACTTTGTGCATAGATCTACAAGATAAAATATCTATTCCAATGTTTTGCTGTTTGTTTTCCATTGGTAGAATGACGTTTCAGAAAATCTGCAATTGTCTCCTTTGGAAAAAACAGATACATCTCATTCTGAAAGCTTCCAGTCTCAGCACAAAACTGAAGCCCTGGAAAAGGTTTTAAATGGTGATGCTTTAAAAAGAGTACAAACCATTCTTATCTGTCACTTACAGTTAACCCATACAGCTGCATTGTAATGAAAACCCATATTTATTTTAACAGATGCCAGCAAAGAAATCAATGGTCTGTTATCAAAATATGCTCATATGTTAAGGCAAGTAAACGTCTATTTTATTTGAAGAACTTAAATGTTCTCTCAAATATCCTCAACTAAATTTAATATTTTCAAAATTGCATTTATGTCGCTTTTGTTTGTTAAAGAGCAACATGGATGAACTATTTGCTTCTTGCATTGTTAGAAAATTCTTTAGCCAGAAAAACTGCTGTAATTTGGGATTTATAATATAGCTAGCAGTGCAGTTTTAGGAACTGAATTTTTTGGCCAGCTGTGTTCCAATTCTCCACTAGGTGCATGGGCATATTTTTAGTTGCAGTATATCTCATTATACAGGAACTGCAAGACTAAAATAATTACTACTGTCATAGTATGCAGTATATATAGAACAGAGCAGAATTGGAGGGTTTTCTTTGCTCCAGTCTTACTCTACTATGATATTATAAGGAATCATATTCTATATAGGCACTAAGATTATCTCTACTTGAGGTGGTAATCTTTTAAAACACATAATGCTGGAGATCAGCATGGAGAAAATAGATTGCTCTGTTTGCTTTTTAACAGCTCAATGCCTTATTGTTGGAATGAGTAGGTATCAGCAAAACCCAGTAGAAATTAAAGATCTATGGACCTCCATGTTAACTATAGGTGTTCTTTATTTTTTGTACATAAAGTGAGAGAGCAGCAATGGATGTGTCGTATGTAGAGGAACTTCAAGAAATCCTGAAAGAAGCTGCTTCTATAGAACATCACTTGAAGTTGAAAAGGGAGAATCTAAGGCACAGGTTTGCAGTAATTGCAGCCCCCCTTCAATGTGAAAATGAGCTGTCTAGCAAATCTACCTGAAATCTGTGCAGCAGCATGCATACTCAGCACCAAATACTAAGAGAGACCACACCATCCTTTTGTCTGTCGTGTTCTTGTACTGATTCAAAACAGCCAAATGCTTTTCAAAGTGTTTTGAAAATTGCTCTTATCTACAGAGCACCAGTAGCTATGATGAAATAGTAATTAGGGTTTTGCTTATTTATTTATTTATTTATTTATTTATTTATTTATTTATTTATTTATTTTAAGGCTGTTATCTGGGGTTGACTTTCTGTGGGAAGCCTCTTGCCTTTTTTTTTCCAAGTTTGGTTGTGGATTTGTCTCTGACTGGTGATAACGTGGTATTTCAGAAGGGCAGAATGGAGAGAATTCTGGTATGCTTTCCTTAAACTTGAATGTTCAGTGAAAAAAAAGTTATGAACATTACACAATTTGATTCCAAATTTCTCTTGAAAATGACTCATTTTGACTGATGTTTCTGTATGTGGGCACAGACCAAATTACGCTCTTTGCCTCATTTCAAGAGAAAACATGCAAACACAACACTCAATAGTGTTTCCCCTGGGATGATTTGAGCTCCACATTGTTTGAAACCACATTTAAAACTAAAAAGCTGTTTGTACCTAAATAGTTTTAAAATGCTGATTTTTCTTGCTGTGTATTTTATTTTGTAATCTGAGGGAGATTCCGCAATTGAAAATAAAATAGTGAGGAAACAAAAGGGGTTTTTTTAAATATATTTTTGTGCTTGTGCATAGTGTTTGCCTGACCTACTTGTTCCCAAATAAAATCATACTCTCTTATTGGTCTCTACAAATGAGGAAAAATATTTTATGCAATGCTTAGCCAATTATTAAATGAGCATTGATTACCTCAATCTGTCAGCTCAATTTAAAATCCATTTTTCATTATAACTGAGAAATATATTTCCTGAAGGACCTGCCACTTTTCCTTCCATAATCTGCTTTCCTGTTTTAATGGGTGAGGTTTGTATGGAAAATTAATTGACCTTAAAGCTGCCCCGTCTGATCAGTAGAGTTTAGTGGGTAATTTATTTTCCCTTTAATCAGTTCCATCCTATTGTTTAACCTGCACCTTTTCTAAATAGACCAGAAACAGCTGTCAAATGGCTTAAAATGCCACAGCCAGCAGATTGCTACAGTTTCTGATGAGGCATCTCAGTCCTGTTACAGATATTAGCAGTTACAGATCTGGTCTGTACATAAAGTTAACTGATGGTTTATTGAACCCATGGGTTTTGATAGATGAACCCTCTTGTGCTAACAAATGTTATTTTGCTTATTACGAACAAGCCAGAAAGAGAGCTTGTTCCTTCTGGGCTGAGAATCATGGCTTGTCTGGTTTTGCACACTACCAAAAAGGATGAATATGGGTTGAGTATGAGTTGTTGTTGAACTGGGGGTTGCTGCTGACTCATACATTGTTTTGTTGTGTTGACCCAGTTGTGCTGAAACAACATGATTTGTTGTTAGGTTGTAAATAGTGGGTGAACTGAGAATTGTGGGACTGTTCATGACTTGTTTTTTTAAGGCTATAGAGGTGGTGACCAAGAGTAATAATAAAGAAAGACCCACCGTACGTGCCATTACTACCATGCCACAAAGGCTGTAGGGACGCAGGGAGCAGTGAACAACAGAGGAGGGGAACAAGCAACCCAGGGACTGCGAAAACAAACCATAGTTTGTCTGCTACAGAAACCCCTCATTTAGAGAGTGCTTGCGTTTGGTCACCTTCTCTTTTGTGTTCCCGACTTGAATAGTGTTTCCTCATTGTGGGCATGTCAGGATTATCCTTGACTTTCTGTCAGGGATGAATGAGAGCAGCTTGTTCGCTGCTGTCCTGGATTTTTCTTTCTATAAGAAATTATGGCTGAAAGTGTTGGAATGCACAGCATAGCCATTATCAATCCACTGCAGCAAGAACACCTCATAGACGAGTTATCGCAGCATTGGCTTTCACAGAGGCAGCCCTTGCCATACCTTTGTGAATCATCATTGCCTAATGATGGCTGTTAAGGACTGCAGGATCACAAGCAAAGCTGGGTCGCCTGAAATGTGATAGGCTTTCCCTGGCCAATTATACAAGCTCTGCTTAGGTGGGTCAGGCAGCACCTGACATGTTGCAGGGAAGGAAGGCAGTTGCGTTTATTGGTGGCCCTCAGTTTGCCGCAAGAAGGAGCCTTACTTGATGAGCCACGCTGAGCCCACGCGGGCTCCGTGATGTGCCCATCCTGCTTGCGGCGGCTGCTGCTACACATGGAAGAGGGAAAGTCATCTGGGCACGCTGCATGGGACCTGCCAGTGCTCTTTGGCCCTGGCGGCCCTGGAATGGGGCAAATTCCTTCTAGGGAAATCTGCAGGAGGCCGGAGTGCTGCCCCTCTCCCAGTTTACATCCTTGCCCCTCTCAATCCAGACTGGTTCCAATTTTTAAAACGTTGCTTCCTGTTGGCTAGTAAGAGATGGGAACCTAGTGTCTGCACTGGACTACTTGTCCATTTAAACATGCTGATGGAAAAATGACTGGAAAGTAAACCCCTCTTCCTGATGACGTGTCACAGGGTGACCATTGGAATATTTTGAGACAACTCACAATAAATATTTTTTTATTTAAAATAACTAACTGGTCTTAAATCTCATTAGAAGATTTTGAGCAATTATGCACCACTCTAAAATTATTCTGAATGCTCAGCTTCCTCCTGCTAAGAGAAAGTGAGCCATGGTAGGAAGGGAACACTGTGGACTGGCATTGCACAAGGAGCTGGCATTGCTGCTCCTGCCAGGACTGTGCAGCTTCATCCCAGCTGCTGAGGCAGATGAATCTGAGCCAGGCTTTTATTCTGAAGGGAAGTGTTCAGCCAGCCCTGCTCTGCGTTCCCATCAGTGCCAGATTCACTGTGCCATCTTTGCCACCGACAGTTCGGGCAGGTTCGCTGCCTCTGTTTGGGCTTCCCATCACGCAGATGCTTTCCTACACCCTTTCGTTCATCGGCCTCCTGCTTAGGAATGTGGCTCACTTCCTTTGGTCTGTGCTCCAATATATCCCAGGTAAGATTTGCACTTCCTCCTTGTCTCCTATCAAAGACTCCTTTCCAAGCAGCTTAAAATTATTGGATGGCCTGGACGGAGAGGTCTCTCTGGGCCTGTGAAAGAGCCTGTTATTCTTCAAAGGCCAGGCACTGATTACGGCCGGTTCTCTAATTCAGAGAATGCACCTTTGGAACGGGGATCTTATATGTAAAGAGCTGTCAGCAGCAACCTCTGCAGGCAGTCTGCTGTCTGGCTCGTTATATAAGGAAGTGGCTGTTCAAAACATGGAACATCCATGAAGTGTTTACCTAATTTCCACAGGACAGAGATAAGAAAACATGAGGACATTGACCCAGTTAACAGCAGGTGCAGTGAGCACCAGGAGCAAGGGATGGATTCCTTCGCCTAATCGATCCTTTGGTGAGGATTTCTGCCCTGAAAAGCAATGATGCAATTATCCCCAGACAATGAATTCAGCTTTGGTGCTCCGAGCTGCTCAGAGCTTTGGTGCTATTATATATCAACTACTACAATCGTTGCCAACTTAGTAAGGACAAATGCCTTCCTCAAGCAATAAATGTCCTTTTCTGTGTATTTTCCTCCGCTTATTCTCTTTCTACATCAGTTTTTCAAAACAAGAGCTTGGCAATATTGTTTCTAAGGAAGAAAAGAAATATTTGATCACAACAGTAATATAAAAAGTGATTCCTAAGACAGTCATTTTATTCTTTTTTTAGTTTTTTATTTTAGTAACAGTATAGTTTAAAAAGAAGAAAGGGAAGAAAGAAAATAAGAATATAAGTAAAATTACAGAGAAACACCAAAAGTTCTCAAACAAATGTTACGTAGAATATCAAATATTTTAAAAATTGCTATGTCAACAATTGCTATTCTTTCTACTTAGTCATTTTTAAGAACTTAGTTAAAATTCATTGCAGATTCTTCTAATCTCTAACAATTTTCTCAAAAATTCTGTTCACTTTATACCTATATTTTCCCATTGTTATTATCCCCATTAAAAAGAAGCTGTGTGTAATACAGTTTCCACTTATAGTTAATTTGTTTCTGAAAGACATTTTTGTCACTTAGTTTCCATCCCTTCTGGGGAAAGTTGCTGTTGACCTTTTTGTATGCTTGGATCACAAAACAAACAGAAACAATACACATTCTTTCTCCTCCTCTCTGCTGGAAAGCCATAGCTATTGCGTCTGTAAATTCCATGAAACAAAAGGGTTTCTGCAACGTTTACTTTCTCCTATGAAAAGCCAATCTTCCACATTGCAACAGTCAAAACATTTTCAGTTTTTTGACCATGCTATATTTAATGTATCATGTAACACTATTCTCCAGTTTTGCTAATATGCAGGGCAAGATGACTCTGACGGTCCTCTTCTCTGAGGCCTTTCAGGACTTGTCCACTCAGGGGATTGAGGCGAAGCGCACATGGTTTGCAGAGTCATTATTTTCTTTGTTGTCTATTATTAGCTGTTTTAAATGTGCTGATGTTTCCCCCCTGATTTTATGATATTTTTATTGTCTCTCTTATGGACTGTTGTAAACTGCCCAGAGACCTTCGGCTGTGGGACAATTTAGAAATTAAATAAAAACAAGGATAATGCCACTTATCGTTACTTTTTCTCTCTTCCTTACAAGGGTGCCTTCGGATTAATTCTAGAGAGAAATCTAGGCTGTATAACTTGAAAGGGCATTGCTTTTTTTGTCACCGCATGTTTTAGTGAAGTCTGAGAGCATTTGGGCAGTAGCCAAAGTCTCTGCCAAATTTCTCCCTAATTCCAATATCGTAGGCAAGGCTTCTAACATATCCCTTATTTTTTTTTCATTTTCCCCCTCTTGGTCCTGACCTCTGTTCCTTGTTTAATATTCAGGCAGAAGAGTTTAGTAAAACCAGTTCATTTATTTCTCTTGCTTCACTGATCATAACAAAGTTATGTTACTGATGCTTTTGAATTTATTCCCAATTTGTGTTACATAACAAAAATATGCATGAGAAATTTGACAACTGGATGAATGGTGGCAAGCATATTACTGTCTTATTACTGATATCTGTACACCACTCTGGGATCCTTTCTCAGTTGAAGTTCAGGGGGAAGACTCTAAAATGTAAAATAAATAATATACAGTATATAAGCTTCTTCACAGTAGCAAGCTTTCATTATAGGCACCTTCCATGGTTCTAATGCACAAAGATCACATTATTTCTCCTAGTTCTACTCTCTGATCATGGTACTTAGAAAATTTTGATTCAATTCAGAGTGAGGGAGAAAATTAACAAAATTAAGAATTGTCATTTTATAGTTAGTATGCAATTTGTTTAATCCCACTTATCTTGCTGAAATATGCAAAACAAAAGACTTGAGGTCGGATCCAAATGTAGTAATGTTTGTTGCAGACCCACTGACGTCAATTAAATCAGCAAATAATAAAACTCTTATTGATGCCAATCAATAGGCCTATTCTAAGTATAGCTATGTCTGAATCCAACCCATTAACAGAAATTTGAGGGAGAAAAGTAGCAAGTTGCCAAGCTGCAAAGTGGAAATACATTCTTCTGAAATCCCTTTAAATATCTTATATGAAATTATACTGGCAGCTCCCCCACCATTGTTCCTGGTATCAGATTTTCTGCTTTAGAGGTATTTGTCTAGGGCTTAGCTGCAAGGCATAATTGCTTTAAACCTACAAGTGGATTTTTTTCTCAGGCTTCTTGAGCCTTTAAGATATTAAGAAGGCTTTCACAGCTGATCTCTACTGGAGGATGTGTGCTCGAAGATCAGCCTCTGCTACATGCAACAAAATAATTATCCCTAAGAATTCTGCTTAAGATTTGTGTGCACGAACCACTACTTTAGATGGTCTTTGGTAGTTGATTCAAACTAGATTTTATTGTCATGTGCTGGTCAACTTATCTCCAAACACTGGTAATCCTGCGAAGGACTCTCTAAAGTACCCAGTCCTTGACAGTCCTGCTCAGCTCCTGTAAACTCCTGTTGGTCAGCAAGATATATTTTAGTTAATTGGCCTGTGTGTCTTGTGTTCTTTGATTGGAAAGGTTAACGATTGTTCATGCTTAGAACAGACCTACTGAAATCATTGGACAAATTGGGCATGAATAACTTGGGAGCTGATGAAGTCTAGGTCCAACTGTCCATTAACCCAATTCCTTTGACTTAATTTTTGTTCCTTTGTTGTGGGGGGGATTTCCCTTCTCAAGCTTAGAACTACCGTATTTTTCGCTCTATAAGATGCACTTCCCCCCGCTCAAAAGTAAGGGAAAATGTCTGTGCGTCTTATAGAGCGAATGTGTGAGTGCCCGACGCCCGGGATGCTGCTGGCCGCCTGCACCACGTGGCACCACCTGGCCGGCACACGCTCGGGGCGCCCTGTTTCTCCCCCCTCCTCCGGCACAGGTGAGAGCTGTTAATCACAGGTCGGTGTATGTTTTCAAATGGCAACCCATCTTTTAATGAAGCCCACGGGGAAGTGATGGGGAATGTGCCTGTGATTATCAGGAAGCTTTCCATGGATCAGTTATCTGTTAGTTGATCAGACACATTTTTTTTAGGATCAGTGGATATTTGAACAGCATTACCTTCATGTATGAAGTTTATTCTTCAAAGGTTACTTAGTCCGCTGTGTGTTTGATTTACCATACAATATCTCATTTTTTGTCAGAAGTTTTTTTCTATTATTTACTAGTAGGGCAGCGTGGACATTACTGGCTTTTTTAGATTTGTTATTGAATTGTCTGAAGCAGCTCTTGTATAACTGGTGTAGATTGTGGATTCCTTCAGTAATTCCACTACTGACTAAGAAAGTGATGTCAGTGATTGTGAGCAACAGAGCTTCATAAATTCTGACTCTAGTGATGATGAGTTCTATGGGTTCAATGAAAACTAGAAGAGTACTCGAACTTTAAAGTCTCTCTTTTGTTAATGACAGTGATGATGGTTGTTAATGTCACTGTTGACTGCTGTTCACTTTACAAGGTTGAAATACGGTATTACTGTATTCTGTCATAGTTGATTAAATAGTAAACCATTTGATTCAGAATATTTTTTTCTTGTTTTCCTCCTCTAAAAACTAGGTGTGTCTTATGGTCAGGTGTGTCTTATAGAGCGAAAAATACGGTAATTTCAAAAAAACTAAACTATTTCCACCTCTACCCTCATCCAAAATAAAATGCCCCAGCTTTTTAAATGGCTTGATTTATTCCAGTGCTGAGACAAACTGTGCCTCAATGTATCCACAATGATGTGATCAGGAAACCTGTGGGAACTAATTACTTTCCCCTCATAAGTCAGCACCCCCTGCCCTCCTCCACCCGCCTACCAATATCCTTGATTCTTCTTTTCCTTTGACCTTGCCAGTGGGGTAAAATGCCCTGTTTTTAAATACAGGTTCAATGCTTGGCTTAAAAGCTGTGTAACAATTAACACTGAAAGAAGAGTTTTTTCCAGCTTGGGAATAGTTCCATGCATTGGGCTGCACATAATATGTGTCAATTCCCATAAGGTTGCACTTGTAACACAGTGGAAACTGTGCTGCATATTTTGACAAAGTGCCCAGTGAAATCCTGATTAGCAAGCTAGCAAAATCTAGGCTGGATGGAACAAGGATCAGGTAGATCCACAGTTGGCTACAGAACTGGACTCAAAGACTATCCAACAAGGGCACCTGGGGAGAGGTATCAAGTGGAGTACCTCCGGATTCAGTCCTGGGCCAGCGCTCTTCAATATTTGCATTAATTACTTGGATGAGGAAGTGCAGGGAATGGTTATCAGATCTGCCGATGACCCAGAGCTGTGTGGAATATCTAATACCCTGGAAGATAGAAACAAGATCAAGCAGCACTAGAAGGGGGTAAAATTATAAGCTAGTATGGAAATGGTACCTAAGCCTGGCAAAATTGAATCCGATAGATAGTAAACATTCCAATTTATGTTGGAGATGTGGTTGGGGAGTGGGTACATATTTCCACGAGTGGTGGGAATGTGAATTTATAATGAAATGTTGGAAAGAGTTTTTAAAAGAAAGCAGTAAAACATTGAGTTTAAATATTGAAGTAACTCCTGGAATCACATTATTGTTAATATTTGATAGAGAACAATGGAGATGGAATATTGGAGAATTAGTAACAAACTTATTAACTGCTGCAAGATTAATTATAGCAAAGAATTGCCAAGTAAAACATAATTATCAGTGGAGCGATTGGTACAGGTGAAGAGTTCATCGCTCTAACTATTTAGCTGATCAGTCTTGCTAGTGGTGAGTGTGAGTCGGAATGAGAGACACACACACACACGGCTAAACACAGAGCACACTTACTGGAGTGCAACATCGATAACACTTGGGCTGCACACAAGAACTTGTTCTGGTTTTGTTCTGCTAATCTGCGACTTCCTGCTTTGCCTTCCCAGTTATAGAGAATCTTGCGCTGGGCCCCACGCCAGGGCAAGCTGCCTGCATCCAGCGGAAGGGCTTGCAGTGCATCGCACCCCTTTTCTGCAGTGTGGAAGAAACACCCCATGCCATCCCAACAAAGGTGGAAGGGCGCGTCCCCAAATGGCTGAAGGGCAAGCTGCTGAGGAATGGGCCAGGGAAGTTTGAATTTGGAAAAGATAAGTAAGTTGGGTTTGTTGCTAACTGTCATCTCCATTGATCATTGATCAACTCTAAGCCTTAGATCGAGGGTGATTAACTTGCTGACTTTCTGAAAATGCAGTTTTTTGTGCATTCAGATGGTTAGAATGCCTCTCCTTCCTTTCCATTCCTGAATTCTGAAATGATTCCATAGTTTTTCTCTCCTTCTTTCTTCCCTTAAATAAAATAAAATAAAATAAAATAAAATAAAATAAAATAAAAATGCCCCTTTGCCTTTGGCCCTGTTGGAACAGGACCTCTGAGAATGTCTACAGAATTAAATGTGGTTCTCTGCCCCAGCCTGGGCCCTGAGAAAATGAAATTAGTTTCCCTCCTTCCACATACTCCTCATCTGTTTTGCTGGTGGGGATTAAAAGGATGGCAAATCAGTTTCCTCCTCTTCCATTGCATTTATATCACAGCATTTTTCCTTCTGCAAGGAACCTAAGGTGGCTTATTTTGCCACTCTATCTTAGTCTCATAACAACAACCCTGTGAGGTAGGTCAGTCTGAGAGTGAATAGCTGGCCCAAAGTCATTCAGTGAGTTTGATTGCTGAGTGGGGACAAGAACCATGCCAGAAGAGATCTGTATTTGCATGTTTGGCTGACGTGTTTCCCCCTTTTTTGTCTGATTGAAAAAGGAAAAAGAAAAAGAAGATGGATCATAGAATCGTAGAGCTGGAAGGGGCCAAGAAGGCCATCGAGTTCAACCCCCCAGTGTCGCAGGACACCACGTCACACCATCCCACTCAGAGGGCTGCCCAGTTCCTTTTTGAATGTCTCTAGTGCAGGAGAGCCCAGCACCTCTCCGGGCAGCTGGTTCCACCGCCACATTGCCCTGACAGAAATGCATGTGTCCACTTCAGAGCTCTTTTCAGAAAGCCCGATCTTGCTTTGATGTGTGCAATTTTATATGGCTATCACACCATGTACACATTTTCGTATTTGTGATGAGCTGAGTGGCTGAACCTGGATGCTTAATGCTTGGCAGGAGCTGTGCTTAGGAAAGGAGCTTAGGGCTGGAGGTAACACAAGGTGTTCCGTTCTCCTCCTCTGATTGCATTTCTCATCTCCCCGGCAGGTACAACCACTGGTTTGATGGCATGGCTCTGCTGCACCAGTTTGAGATTGAGGATGGGACTGTGAAATACAGCAGCAAATTCCTGCGAAGTGATACCTATGTGACCAACAGCAAGAACAACCGGATTGTGATATCTGAATTTGGGACCTTGGCCATGCCGGACCCTTGTAAGACGGTTTTTGAACGTTTCATGTCAAGGTTTGAAATGCCAAGTAAGTGTTTTTCATAGAGCAGCTCTACCTACATCTGTGGTTGTTTTGATTTTTAGGAACGTGTTAAAGGAAGTTGTAGAGCTATTTCTCTTAAAGGGAGGTAGAGGTAGGAGGATTAGTGTTCAGTACCTCTGCTGGATAGTTCTGCCATTGCCTGCCCTTAAATCCCATCCTTGACAATTTAAAAATAAGATGATAATGCTTAACACTTGATTCGCATATATAAGATACAAGAACTGTTCGTAACAAAGAGAAAAGGATTGAACGTGCAAGGGTGAAGGGAGCAGAACTGGCTCTCATCTTGGACATGTGCTGTGCTGCATGAAAGTCCAGGATCTTCCAGAGCAGTCTTGTTTTGCTGCTCTAATATCCACAGCACCTTCACCGGGGACTCGGCAGACCTCCTCAGTGGCTGCTGAAGGAGGGCCATTCCGCCCTGTCTCTGATAACCTTCCATGTCGCAGAGATACCGGTTTCTGCAGAGAGGCCTTTGATTGGACTGGGGGGCAGGGACGGATGGCGCTTGGGTGCTGCAAGGGACTGGATGATGGCAAAAACATGGAGCCTTAATCCCGCCCGGCGTGGAAATGCGCTTGGCCAGTGGTTCATCCACTCATAGCAACGATGCTCAGCCTTCTCCAGATGGGGATGCATGCTTCCTCGGGCCGGGCTGGGCGGCTTGTTGCCATGCAGCTATTTCCCATCAGCTCGTGCCAGCATAGCCAGTGAGGAGGGAAGATGGTGGTTAGAGCCCAAAACACCGAGAGCGTCACAGGTTGCTCGTAATATCCTGAAGGACGAAGTTTGCAGCCTGTGGGTACTGACTGGAACCCATCAGAGACAATTTTCCCATGGAAGGGGGAAAGGCCTGGTTCTTATGTCCCTGGGCCACTTTTGTAAGCCTGGCCTTTTCAGGTCACCTCCACAAACTAAGTCAATCTGGATGATATATATATTTTTTAGAATTAACAGACAATTGCAACGTGAACTATGTGATCTACAAAGGTGACTATTACGTTAGCACAGAGACGGATGTAATGCACAAGGTGGATCTGGAAACGCTTGAAACAAAGGGGAAGGTAAGGGAACCCCGAAAGCTGCCTAATCCAGGTTGGACTATTTGTCGTTCCAATTCAGTAGTGTCTTCTGCCAAGGGTTATTGTGGCAAAGCCTGAACTGCAGCAGTTCATCAGACAGTTCCCCTAGGTGTGCCCCAAGCACAGTCCAAAAATTCATGTGGCTGTGTCGATTCACATCTGTGTGTCTGTGAGCATCACATATGTGCGCACAGAACAACTTATGGCGGTATATTGTGGCTGGAGGAATCCATTCCCACCCCAGCTAGATCCAGATGGAAGAGGGACATCTTGAGTGGGGCAGGGGTGGCAAGTCTCTTTGCCAAATGCCTGGCTTTTCAAACCAGCAAGCCCTGGTAGCCACTACAGCATGGCTACTGGTTGGCACGGGCTCTCCAGGCATTCCCAGCATAGCCACCCGATCCTGTGGAGACGCCAGAGTCTGCCCTATGTGTCCTTTTGCATGCAGAGCACATGCCCTGCCACGGAGCTGGGTTCCCTCCAGATTCAGGAAAACTTTGCTCTGTGCACAGTTGCTATGGACCATCAGCAGGAAAGGGACTACAGCACCCACTTTCCATTTTGTGCTTCCAACGGGGCCCCTGGTCGACCTCTGCAGAAAGCAGGATGCTGGGCTAGATTTAGCTTTCCATCTCTTATGTTCTTAGAGGATAAAGGAACAGGTGGGACAGGATGGTTTAGTCCCCCAGGAGAAGGAAGCATTTCCCAGGTGAGGTTGAAGGCACACAAGGGTGTGAGTTTAGTCTTGGCGTACAAGGCCAAGGAGACATGGTGATGGAGAAGCTGTCTCCATGACCGAGAGTGAAGCGGAATGAGGTGGGATAAAGTGGTAGAGTCCTGGAGAGGTAGAATACAGCACACCTTTTCCAACTGTAGATTGGAGCATCATGGCCTTTCATGTCCCCTATATAAAGATCTCATTGAAAATAGAAACGTAGAGAGAAGATTTCTTCAATACTTTTTTAATGGAGAGGACATTCAGAAATATGATTCCCCTTCTTGAACCCTGAAGCGATACAGCCCTTCTCTGCCTTAGCACTTTGCCACCTCAATCTGCTGCAAGGAAACATGAGACTGAGTCTACACTGTTAAAGATTTAAGTGCTGTGTTGACTGACTTTTGATAGCTGAGTCATCCGATCAGCAGCATTCACAGCTAACGCAAAGGTGCTGCCCCATGTCTGTTTTATGGCAGGCAGGGCTCCAAACAAGCACTTCCAAATCAATCGTTTTCTCTGAAGCACTGAAAAGAGAGATCTCCTTTCACTTGCAGGTGAACTGGAGCAAGTACATTGCCGTGAATGGAGCGACTGCTCATCCCCACTACGAGCCAGACGGGACAGCGTACAACATGGGCAACTCCTATGGGAAAGATGGTGAGAGCCCCAGACGGCTCAGGGAGGGGCAGGACTTCCTGATTAGCCTGTTGTTTGTGCAGGGTTCTCATGTTTCTCTGCCAGGGTGGGCTGGGTAGACGCTGCTCTCCATGCGCAGCTTGATCACGATCGGTGACTGCAAGCACCCAGCTAGTTCCATCTCCTCCAAATCGTTCTTGGCTTCATCAGCAGCCCTCTGACTCCAGGCTAACAGAGTTACTCATAGGTGCTTTGCTGATGCTTCTGGGCGGGACAATTCAGAGATGATACAGGAATCCAGAAGAGGCTGCTGCTTCCTTCACAAGCGGAAAGTGTCTTCATGTGTGGGACTCCCGCTTGACACTGGGCAAAACAGGGTCAGCTTCAGGGGGTGGCCATGTCTGGAATTTTGCAAGCACCCACAGCAGGAAAACCCCCATCTCCCTCATTCTCACTTTGCAGGGCACGCAAGAAGGTCAGGAGTACCATGAGATCATGTTTGGTTTCGGGCACTGTATAGAATGCCCAGGAACACCCCCTGCAAAATTCCCCAGTGCAGGCTCGGTCAGGCTGACGCAGACTGCCTGCCTGCCTGCACTGGCGCTTGCTCCCTAGGCTATGCTGGATGGGAATGATGGGGGTTGCAGTCCAGCACGTCTGGAGTATTGTGGATGGCTCCCCGAGGAAGTCCATTGCTAAGCGCCGTCTTTGTGGACTAGGAACAGTGCTGGAAAAGTTGCAATCCAGGTAAAGGAAAGGAAGAATATATTTGTATTTGGGGAATGTACTGTTCCTTCCCCACCCCCTCTGTGGACCAACAGAGCCACCTGTGCTTTCTTAGGAGGATTTACTGTAACTGGCAGTGCTGAACTGCTACAGTGAAAGGCACTGCGTGTCCTGAACAAGATTCCTTCATGTTGTTGAAGCTTAGGCAACCAGCTGGCTTCAGTTTGCCTTAAGCAACGTCTTCAACTTGCTGACGTTTCAGTATTATCCCGCTCCCTTGCTTCAATTCCTTTCTGTTAGGACGTGTGATCAGAAGGCCAAGGAGCCAGGCTGTCCTTGTTATATGAATCACCTTGGGCAAGTTCAGAAAAGCGGATAGAAATCTGTGCAAAGTTAAAGGGAAAAAAGTATCCAGAAATCTTGAGGACTTGCTTTGCCTTCTGTCCTGCTACTCGTATTTCAGTCTTGTTCAGAATAGGCTCAAATGGCCTGAGGCTAGGGGATTAGATGCTTGTTGCCCTGCTGTTCAGTTATAACTTTTAGAAGGATGGGCCCTTCACGAAGACAAGATGTATTTGCGGATTAAACACTTCAGTATACACAGTGTGCCATTTCTATGTCTTCCTTTGTTGTTGTTGTTGTTAGTCGCGAAGTCGTGTCCGACCCATCGCGACCCCATGGACCACATTCCTCCAGGCCTTCCTGTCCTCCACCATCCCCCGGAGTCCACCCAAGCTCACACCAACTGCCCCAGTGACTCCATCCAGCCACCTCATCCTCTGCCGTCCCCTCCTCCTTTTGCCATCTATTGTTCCCAGCATTAGGCTCTTCTGCAGGGAGGCCTTCCTTCTCATTAGGTGGCCAAAGTACTTGAGTTTCATGTCTTCGTATTAACAATTAAACCACGTGCTAGTTTAAAGATGCAGCAAACAGCTACAATCCTAGAAAACGAATCACTATTCGGCAACGTAAATTAGGGTTGAGATGAGATGTTTGTTCAGTCACTGTCCTGCCTCATTCATGAAATATACCATGTGGTGTGTCCCAGATGACATTTCCTTTCACTTGTAAGCCTCCTTTGTTTGCCCCATCTTTGCTCCCATTCTTAAAAACGAGGAGCAAAAGTTGGAATAGCTGCACAGGGCCTTTTGATTGTCAGCACTAGGTGCCCTCGGTACAGGAGTTCCCTTAGTGTGCCATTTTTTCAAGACTGGGGGGGTGGGTTAGAGACCCTACAGCAATAGCTGCTGCTCCCCCACTTCTGCCTTTCACACAGGGGGGAGCGGACACGAAATTCTCCCTGCAGCCCCCCTTTTCTAATCTCAGGTGTACTGCTAGTCCTGTCACAAAAGGTGACAGCAGGTGTGCATACCCTACCTGTTAAGGTGAAGGCTTGTTCACATCACTGCTCTTTCACCACCCCTAAAATCCATTTGTGGCGGGGCTGCCGGAAGGGTCTGTCCTAAGTGTTCCTTCTCTCTTTTAGGCTCCAAGTATAACATCATTTGCGTCCCGCCGCAGGGGCCCAACTCCGACGGTTCCAGCCTGCAGGGCGCGAAAGTCCTGTGCACCATTGAGCCGGACAATAAGGCAAAACCTTCCTATTATCACAGCTTCGGTGAGGCCTTCCCTTCTTTCCATCTGATAGGAATAGCCGGAAAATGTAATGAGTTGTAGGAAAGGGAGGCTTATCCAGACACGGAGAGAGTTCTTACTCTCCTCTCTCTCTTTCTGTGTGATCCCATTCCAGTGCTCCAGTCAATGCCCTCCTCCTACCCAGCTGCCAGTCCTTTTCGATCTCATTCATCATATATCACCACGTTAGAGCATACAGAAAACATTCTGAGACTGCGTCCAGACTGGTGGCTCCTCATGTGACCAGATTCAGTATTTGTTGCATTTTATAGCACTTATCATTATGATAAAATGATGCTTTATTTTAAAGCAGTATTTTAAAAGGTTTAAGGTCACCTCCATTCTAGCAACATGATTAACAGTGACACCTTGGTATTTTTAGCCATTTAAAAATAACATTATAGCACCATAGAATTAAACTGCTATGCATTCATTACAAGAAAAATTATGATGCAAATATTTAGTGCTAATTTAAAGAAAACAAACTGGAATATAAAACATTGCCCATTCTAAGTGTTACAGTGCCTGTGAGCTGAACTAGATTTACTTTCCCATGATATTACTGCCCACATTAACATGTCATCCATTTTAAAAGGTAGAAAAGTAGTGTTAATGGCACCTGCAAGGTTGAAGATGGTGCTACTCTTCTGAAAGAAGTTGTTGTTATGGTCTAAGAAGCAAAGGAAGAACTTCAGAGAACATAGACACTGAGAGAGGACAAATTCAGTCAGAAGATGCCTAGCAGTACTACGCAGGCGGCCTCGTGTGGCAATTCTGTCTTTTCCCCTTAATAGATTTCCTGTGGTAAGAAAATTTGCGAAAGAAGTGATGGAAAGCAGGAGAGAGTTATCTGAGGAAGGTGGCATTGTTCACCCCTCCCCAATAAAACTGGCAGGGTAATGATGCCAAAATACCTTTGTCTGGAAGCTCGCAGACAGATTGTTGACGGTGTGGTACAGATGCCTTTAGAAAAGTGTGAGAATAAAGCATGGCAAATTTACTACGGAAGCGCCCTGCGAGATGTATTTTAGTCAGGGCATTATGAAGGAATGATGACGTCAGCATGAGGAGAGGAGTGCGATTCATCGGTAATGGTGAAAAGTGAGGTAGCAGAGGCTTGCAAGTTCTAAGAGGAGAATTGGCCTAAAGCCCTTCTATCTCCTGCTTCTAGGAATGAGTGAAAATTACGTGATCTTGATTGAGCAGCCCCTCAAAATGAACCTGTGGAAGTTAATGGTAGCAAGGAGTCTTGGGAAATCTTTTTCGGATGTGCTCAGCTGGGAACCTCAGCAAAACACCCGTTTCCACGTCATCAACAAGCTCACTGGGCAGGTATTTCCTCTGCATCTGTTGACTTACAATCTGGGGCTTTCCCAGGCCCAGCCAAAGCTGACTTTTGGCACAGCAGAAATGCTTGGTCGCCTCGAGGGTGAACTTCTTGGGAGCTGCAGCAACAAGAGCCGTAGTTTTTACAAGCATTTGCAAATATGTTCTTCCTTCAAAGTGGGTATAAACAACAGGGAATGATCTCATTGCCTTCTTGCCCCACAAGTGGATCTCCAGAATGCTACCCTAGATATGGAACTTGGGCTGATACAGGAAGGCATTTAAAAAGTAACCCAAGTTAGATGGGCAGCCAACTTTCCTGAGGTCAATCTCTTGTCAGAGTGCTGAGATCTGCAAGTATTTGCACAGCAATTAGGATGAATCCTGCACTCTAGACAAACTTTGCAACTATCTCGGACTAAGATGTAGTAAGATTCTTGCTAGGGATTTGGTAGATCAGGTTCTTTCTTGGCTTCCTTTTGGTGAAGTACAGAATGATCCAAAAAATGATAATATTGGAAACGGCTTGGTGTGCCCATCCCTCAGATAGTTCATGAACCGCATTTTGTTGCGAGGGAGGAATGACCTGTGGAATGTTCTCTAGCGGGCGCGGAAGGGCTGAGAGTCACCTCGCATGTTTTGTCTTCCTGGCTCAGGTGTTGCCCGGGCAGTACTACAGCAAGCCCTTCTTGTTTTTCCATCAAATCAATGCCTTTGACGATCAAGGCTGTATCGTCCTTGACCTCTGCTGTCAAGATGATGGTGGTTCTGTTGACATCTACCGTCTAAAAAACCTCCGCAAAGCAGGGGAAGCGCTGGACCAGGTAATCCTTCCCTGAGGACAATGTTGTATCCAAGGCCTGGTTAAAAAAATCCTGGGGGTGGGAAATAGAAGCAAGGGGGCTTATCTGGAGGCGGCCTATTTGACTTACAGGTCACATGTTCTCATTTGCACATAAAGAGGAAAATAGGCAAATAAACTCACATTTCTGCCTGCCTCTTCCTGTCCTTTAAAATCTTCTGCAGTACAGAGAATTTTTTACATCCCCGTGCCGGCCAAGCAACAGCTTTGTGCAGTCAGAGATGGGCGCTGCTTCTCTGCTTCTGACGAGGAAAGAGGGCCTGTGTTCAAGGGCACGCAGGGAAATGGGCAGGAGTGTAGCGTAAGGGCTGGGGTCTCCACTGCGGTGCCTGCGAAAATCAGGGCGGGCACAGACACCTCCCTTGGGGCCCACCAGGCCCCTGCTCCTCCTCATTTTAATTCTATTCCTTATGAAGCACTGAAACTTTAATTTTAAAAAATGCAAGGAGACTGGGAACACTGCAAAGAAAGGTGCTGCCCTCTTGACTTAGATCTTCACTTAGATTCAAAAGAGCATTGGTATGTTTTCGGGCTCATCTCTGTCTCCATGTCTTTTACGGTTGCTACTTTATGACTAGGAAAGCTCCCCCACGCCCCATTTCATTATTTATTTATTTATTTAAAAAGGATGCAGGTGGCGCAGTGGTTTAATCCGCTGTGCTGCTGGGCTGGTTGATCCAAAGGTTGCCTGTTCGAGTTTGCACAACGGGGTGTGCTCCCGTTGCTCCGTCCCAGCTCCTGCCAACCTTGCAGTTCGAAAGCGTGCAAATGGAAGCAGGTAAAAAGGTGCCACTTCGGTGGGCAGGTAACCACGTTCCGTGCACTTTGGTGTTTAGTCATGCTGGCCACACGACCACGGAGACTATTTAAAACTTTTATATGCCGTCTGCTACCGTGGTCTCAGGCCAGTCTTACAATAAGACTGAGTGGAGTATAGCATCCAAACTGATTTTCTATACAACAAACCCCCACATTAAAATCACCGTCGAGCCTTAAAATAATGAGAAAATAAAAAGGTTTTGGCCTGGCGCTGAAAGGAATAAAGCCCGGCCATTGTGTAAGAGCGCTCACAATACTCTCTCCCAATGCCCCCCGTGCCTCCGACTCAAAGTTCTCTCTGGGGTAGATGGCTGACATCTGCTGCTGTGAAGCACAAGATCTGGCTTGTTCAATAACTGGAACACCAGAGAATTTAGGCTGCCGTCATCTGGCGTAAACCGACTTGAGCTCAGTGTAGACACATGTGGGAGTGTGTTGTAGACTGCAGAGGCAGCATCTGTGTGCGGCTTCTCCGCTGGATTGTCCGGAGTATGGGGTAAGCAGGAGCAGTGGCGCGTGGGTGACCCCTCGCTTGCCCTCACTTGTTCACTCAGGGCTAGAAATAGAACCTAAACTGGGGACTACAAAATGACGGTGTACTTGGGGTTTTCCCCTCCTTCCGGTGTGTCTGACGACAACTGCAGCCTCACTGAGCATTTTGGGCATAAGTGCTGCCATGCGGTCCATTTTATGCCCAGAGAATGTGTTGCACTGTGCTTGCGGGCATCTGGAAACTTTTTTTTTTTTTTGGTAATAAGTTTTTATTAAAATTTTAAACTAACACTAAAAACATCAATAATCAAATACATCAGACGTACTGGGTCAGCCCCCCTCTCATATTGTTTAACATTCCATAGTCATATTTAAATTAATTTATAATAGCTTAAAGACTTATTTAAATCTAAACCAAGTCCCGTTTCTCTAGCCAATAATAAAAAGAGTCCCAAGTTTGATAGAAGTCAGTATCTTCTTTCTCCTTCAGTGATAAAGTCAATCTATTCATTTCTGCACAGTCCAGAATCTTTTTTAAAATCAGTTCATCGGTGGGTAATTCCTCTTTTCCAGTGTTGAGCAAATACAATCCTCACCGTGGTTACATGCGACATCAAATACACTTCTTGTTTGCTACTGTCTTCCGGTATGAAGGCATCTGGAAGCTTTACGGTACAATCCCATGAGCTGTTTACAACAATTTAAAATCAGAAGCTCACACATCAAACAGAGCACTAAATAAAACACACTCACACAGTGATTGCAACTGGCACCATTAGTGGAATTTATATTGCAGGTTTGTGGTTGTTTACTCAGAAGCAAGTCTCGCTATGTTTAATAGGGCTCACTCCCAAGTAGGTACACATAGGATTCAGAGTTAAACTCTTCTATTTTCTACGGCTTCTCTTCCATTCTGCTTTTCCATTATGGAAGGAAGTTTGGAAAGCTCCAGTTTAGGACAAGGAGAGTTATTTTGAATGGGAAGGAGCCTTGGCTTGGAAGCAGAGAAATTATACTTCTCTCTTGAATAGTTAGTTCTTGCTCCCCTTCTCTGCACCACAGTGGCAGAATACACAATTCTTGTGTTTGTGATAACGTCCTATCTTTTTGGCAGGTCTATAATTCCGTACCAACAGCATTCCCAAGGCGCTTCGTTCTGCCCATCAACGTGAGTCCCAAGACTCCCACGGGACAGAATCTCAACCCCTTGTCCTACACATCTGCAAGAGCTGTGAAAGAGGCCGATGGGAAGGTACATGTGTGCCCAGCTGGCTGTTTAGGGGCTGCTACATTGATCTTATGCTTGGCATTTCCTCACTGGGCTGATCCAACTTTGAACTTTTCTACACGAGGCTGAACAGTTGTATCCACATCCAGTTTTGTCCTGGGACTTCAGAACACACAGAGCTGTTCCTGTCCTGTTTTTCCACCCTGTAACTTCTCCATGGTGCTGCGCTAGAGTGCAATAGCGCAATGCACAAGTGGGAAATCACCTTTACTTTCTCTTTCAGAAGTAAGACCTCCTTTTTAAACAAGTGGGAAAGTGCTCTTGGAAAGGACAAGTGAAAGTGAAGGATTATATCATCATTTAAAGAACCTGTCGACAACTGGATTGAATCCGGGGTGCCTAGAAATGCCTCAGAGCTCGCTAGGGGTGCCTTCCCCACCAAAACAGCATGCATCCCTTGAAGCGAGCACAGGCACCGCTTTCCTGGCGCACACACCAGAAGCCAGCCAGACTCTTCCATAAATTCAGATGGGTGGCTTGCAGGCATCACACAGAACGTAGCTTGCCTCCATATGTGGCAGCTGAGATGCATTTCAGAGACTCCATCTACCCTGGCGAAAGTCCCGCTACCAAGGAGCTTCGCCTTGCTACGATTTTAAGTCAACACAGTGCAGGGCTGGGCAACTAGACTGAGGTGGGGCCCCAGGGTTGATTTCTCGAGGCGACGCGACGTGGGCAGGCACAGCCAGCAGCGGAAGGGCGAAGACGAAAGTGGGCCCAGGGATGGCCAGGGCCACCTATTTTCTATTTGCCATTCACTGTTTCCTCTCCCTGCCACTCCCTTGTTTCTTGCTCTCAGCCGTCACTTATCTCTCTTCCTGCCCTTCCCTTCCTGCCCAAAGGTGAGCACAGCAAGGAGCCCGAGGGGCCGAAAAGGTAAAACCATGACAGAGAGGTGGGCACCAAAGACCATCTCTGTACATCCCACGCAGGAAAGAGGTGTTCCTGTTGTACATGCAGCCAGCGGTCTCTGCTGCTACGCACGGAAACTGGTCCTCTGAGCTTTATTGCCATGCGGGGAGGGACTTTTGGGAGGAGCGGCTGGCATACAGTTCTCTGCCACCCCACAACGCCCCCCCCCCCCCGACACACACAAGTGGCAACGAGGCTTGCTTGCAGGAAGAGGACTTTTCCTCTGCCTAATTGGCAAGAACGGGCTGAGGAAGGGAGGTGTCACGCCGGACTTCGTTTAACAATAACCACAACAGAATGATGTTTTCCATATACATTTGCTGTTGAATGGACTTCTGTGCAAAAAGACTGAACCCAATTCAGTTCTGGTTCTGAAAAATAATCCGCAGACTTAGAATTTGCTGAGCGCGCCCTGTTCCTTAATTCTAAGTGCATTGCTTTTGTGCTCGCTCCTACTTGGTCGATTCTGAGGCCATCCTCTAAGTCTCCCATCCCTGGAGATGCAAACATGGGCTGAACAGACTCATGGCCCCTCTCGTAAGACAACTTCCAGTGTGCAGTAATACGCCGATTCCTTTTCTAGATCTGGTGCACCCATGAAAGTCTCCATGGCGAAAACCTCAAGGAAGCGGGGGGAATAGAATTTCCCCAGATTAACTATGCTCTTTGCAATGGGAAGAAATACCGTTTCTTCTACGGCTGTGGCTTCGGACATATGGTTGGCGACTCCTTGATCAAGACTGATGTAAAGACCAAAGAGATAAAGGTGAAAACCTGCGGCTTCTCTGTACCATAACCTCTGTTATGGCAGTGTTGGGAGTGGGGAATCCAGCCCTAAAAGCCAAAATCAAGCACTTTGCCTTGTTTCTGCTAACTAGATTTGGCAAGAAGATGGCATGTATCCTTCTGAACCAGTGTTTGTGCCGGAACCGAACTCTGCTGCAGAAGACGGCGGCGTCCTTCTGTCAATAGTGCTCACACCGAAGCAGGTAATGTACTCTCACTAGCTGTGGAAATGGTCACCCTTTGAGGATTCCCGAAACCCAGTTTCGTCATGCCCTCTAGTGAAGAGTGACATGCACAGCAGGGTATTGCGTCTGTTTCCGCTCTCCAGCCGCAATGGGCAACTTGTGGCCTTCCTTGTTGAACCACAGTTCCCATCAGCCCTCACCACTGGCTGTGCTGCCTAAGGCTGATGGAGGTTGGCGTCCAACAACATCTGGAGCACCGTAAGTCGTCCAACCCTGTTCTGTAGCTTTCACGGTCCCATGTCCGTTGTCCTAATCAATGATGTAGAAGAGTGTGGTAAGGGGACGTTTTCAGATGGAAGTACGGCTGCACTTGAGTATTGCTGCTAGACTTTGTTCTTGTTTCAGAATCAAGGCAGTTTCTTGCTCATCCTGGATGCTGAGAGTTTCACTGAACTGGGTCGGGCAGAAGTTCCTGTACAAATGCCGTACGGTTTCCATGGCATCTTTGTCCCACATTAACCAAGAAACTGTTAGTGAAGGACCACCAGTCGATGCTCTGTGCGTAACACTTCCCCTTTGTGACCTTGGACGAATCACTCCATCTTAACACCACAGCGATGCTGTGAGGAAGAATATATGTGATGGAGAACACATGCATATATTGCCCGTTTATATAAATGCTGGGGAGGGTGTTGAAGGAGGCACCTGAAGATTATAAAATGTAAAGTTATTTTGGGGACAAATGTAATCTTTTATGATTTACCTTTGGGTTAATTATCTGTACAGTGTTTCAATTATATAAATACAGTTAAAAGCCTTTGGGCATTTCCTAAAGTTTTAGAAATTTTCACAGTAAAAACAAACACCCTTTAAAATGGTTTGCACTTTTTGTGAAGAGGTTGGGGAAAAACAGAACACTCGCCACATTTTCACTTCAACTTTTCTGGTAGTCGGTTCCATTTTATGACCCCATTTTTAAGCCAGTCTTTAAATTAGTACTAAAATACTTTCCTGTATATATTTAGTGAAAGGGTAACACTAATTGTGTTAAAAATAAAATAACAACAATAACAACTGCCCACTGTCTTCCTGGTTACCGTCATCTGAGCAGTGTGCACACATGCTAAACTGTTCTCATCCAAAACAAACCTCACACACACCTCTCCCTCTTCCGCTCTTACATTCACAAGCAATGAGCAGGTAGTCCTGCTTAAATTAATATGTGCTTATTCAGTTATTGATTTTTTAAAAAAATGTTTGCTTGGATTTTATCTTTAATAGCTACTCATATGAATGAATCATAGCAGAAGATAAAAACAGGAATTGTGCAATGCACCAGAGTGTATGGAAGGCCAATTACGATTCTGCTTGTCGCTTGCCCTGGAAGAGCCATTATTCGTACTGCTAGGACAGGTCATCTGGATTTAGCACAGATGTGAAGGTCAGCTGGGGAGGTCCTAGGAAGGACAAGCAACAGACTATGTTGGCAGCTGTAGTTCTTCCATCTCCTTCATGACAAGCCGCACATACTGGCTTTCCCTCTTCTACCCAACCTTAAAAGCAGAGGTGTCCCTCCATCCTCGCTTGCATCCGATGGCGCTCTTCTCAATGCACAGAAGGCTGCCTTCGGTATTCTGGCACACTGGAAAGTTGTGCTGAGTCCGGTTCCCTTCTTCTTGTTGCTCCATTCAGTCTCTTGCTCATCACCAAGGTATCTCCATGCTGAGAAACCAGAGTCGACCTTCTCCTTGACTTTGCTACTGCTCCCATCAACCATATTGTTGTGGCAACAAGAAACATTTTCAGCAAAAGTACACTACTCCCCGAGTTGGCTCCCAGTCTGGGGAAGGGCCCTGGGCAAGATGCGCCTCCGTGGGCTCCCTCCTCTACAAGGCCCAACTTGGGAATGCCCTCTTTCCACGGAGATATCCCAAAAGGACTAATGAATATTTTCGCCTTGGAACAGTCTTAGAAACAAGCACACAAAGGTTTCCTATGCCTTTTTTATTGTCTCTCTGCCCAAGATATACTTGTCTCGTGCCAGCCATTTGTGACTTAAAATAAAACAACACCAAAGCACATGATTTTGTTAATGTTTCCTTGCTTGGTTTCCCGGGGGCTATTTTTACACAGCTCAGGAGGCCAGGTGACCAGTTGTGCACAAGATGCTGCAGCTGCAGCAGCAAATGAGACCAATTCCTATCCATTCGAGCAGGCTTGCACCACCGGTCCCTTACCCAGCTCCGCTGTACGCGCCTCTTGCCGTCTTGAAAAGCAAGGCCAGAAAATAGTGTCTTCCGTGTGAATGCAGCCCTGAATCTTCCCCACATTCACCGTTTCCAGAAGGCTGCTCAGGCTGGGCACGGGACAGGGCGGTTGTGGCTGATGGTGAGCGGGTTTTGTTAAGACAGGCCTTCATTCAGGAGTGCAGAGCCACCTGCCATGAACGCCGATGGGGCTGGCGACTCCCCTCGGTAGACGACACTGCTCTCATCCGTGTCGTAGAGTTTTATTTTATACAGCGCTTTCACCGGCAAGTGCTTCTGCAGGTTCTCCCAGATAAACACGGCAAGGTTCTCAGTTGTACTGGAGATTGACAAGGATGGTAGCAGTTCATTAGGCTTGTTGAATCTTTTTAAATATGCACTTTTGATGATTACAAGAGAGCATGGTGGGTCTGTTTTAATGAACGGAACTGCAAGTCAGTCTTGCAGCTCAATAGTAAAAATATTACTATCTTAGGGCAAGTGACTAGTAAAACTGATTTAACCCACATAAATGAGGCCCCCACAGTCACCTGGTCTTACCTTACAACATTGGCAAAATACGGGACATCTTCATCCAGGTCCTTTTTGTCAAGGGGCTTTGTGATTACTTCCTGGACAGGAGCAGAGAGGTATACTGGATAAGCTGTATTCGAAATTACTGAGTGAGTAGCAATGGAGTTTAACTGTGACAAAAACTCTTCAAAGGTGCACTAAAGGAATTAGAATTCTGTACCTCCAGCAGCCAAAACTTATGCCAAGAATAGCTTGATTCTTCAAGCTGATTAAAACTATGTAAAGGTGCAAATATCTGGTGGGAGCAGGCATGCCTTGCTTCTTTGATTTTTACTAAGTGGCACAGAACAATGTTGAATATTGAGGATTTAGCCACAGCATATAGCCACAGTATATTCCCTCCTTCTTCTGCTCTGACTCCAGAGATTTCACCAAACAGTTTCAAGTCTGCATTCAAGGAACAGAAATGTGCCTTTTTATTTTAAAATTTAAGAAAGCAAGAGTCTTAGGATGTCAGTCTGGTTCAGTGCCAAATAATGAACTGACGGAATACACTATTCCGGAATACAGATCTACCTATTAGAAGGGTTTTGCCCAGCCACACACTCCATGGTGTTTTTTAAGCAATTTATTTTGAATGACCTGTTTTCATTTTGGGTATCTTCTCTTCCTGGAAAAACAGGGTGCTTATAATCGTTTGAAGGCTTTCAATATACAGTGTATCGGCGTTAACTTACAGCATCTGATGGCTGTAAGACACTCCCTGCCAGAGGAATTATGCCTCTGAACACGAGTCACTGAGCAAGAAGAGTGGAGCAGGGCCACTTGTTCTCCCTTGGGTTTCCCATTTGGGCATCCGGCTGGTCACTCCGGAAAAGCAGATGCTGGACAAAGCAAGCCTTTGGTCCAATCCAGAAGGGCACTTGCATTCCTATTCTGTACTGATGTTTCCTTCCCATCTGATCTCCCCACAGCGGAGAAGCATTGCAACGCTGCCTAAAATTGCAGAGGCTTAAGTTTGCATTTCAGGCTTGGTGGATCAGGATTTACAAGTCCGCGCAGAGCCGTGCAGCTGCCAATCTCCTCTCCGAAGCAACACCGAATGGGCCAGAGGACCACCTCCCTCACGCCTGCAGTTTTATTCCATGCTGCCTCCCATGCCTTACCTTCATGCATGCCTTCAAATCGGTCAGGTTTATCACCATCCCAGAAATGGGATTAATCTGAAAGGAAGACCAGTGAGCATCTCAGCAATCTGTGGACGGATTATTTAGGAGAACGGACATCGCACTTGGGATTCTAGATGGCGTCAGGGAAGAATGGCTGCGGGTGACAAGCGCTAAAATCAAGCGAGCTCGGGAATGTCTGGAGACTGAGGGGGTCCCGCTGCATGCGGTGATCCCACCAAGTGTTCCCCCATTTCTTTCCCAGGTCTGGTTTGTAAGAGCCCCAGCACCACTCGGAACATCTAAGAGGATGCGATGGTGGTGGAAGAATCAGCTTTCTTCGCCACCTTCACTGCCACGGCATAGGCTCGATAATGAGCTCTAAGCCACGTTTGGTCAGATCCATCATGAGTTGTCCTCCATCTGTGTGCCAGGCCATCTTCCTGCCTGCTTCATCGACCTCAGCGCCAGGGTGCACCATGGGGCTGTTTGGGCTCCACACAGGGGAAGAGGACGCTTGGGTACCACTGTGTCAACCGCCAGGGCCCTCTCCATACTCTCTCCACCCATCAAGCAAGCACAATGGGAAACAGGAGAAGAATAGCTTCTGGTAACAATGGCAGTGAACTGGCATCCTCACTAAGGGATGGGGCCCATTGATAGTGTCTCGTCCAACACTCCAGTTGGCTCCAGTTCCATACGTTTCACGAGCGGTTCATAACAAGGAGCCTAAAAGACTCATCCCAGAGCCAAATGCCCCCAAGCCTCTCCCACTCACACCAGCCACCCACCAGCCATTGCTTCACTTACTTCTCCGTGGACCGACACCACAACTAGAAGGAAGGAGGAGAGAAGAACAGGTCACACAAGACCACACTTGCTTGGTCTTGTCTGTGAGTATGGGAATGGGGCGGGGTTGCAGTCTTAAGGCAGACCTATGAAAATATGGACTTCAGCAAGAGCTGGGTCAGGCAAGCGGGCAGAATGCAGATGCGCCCTTGCTAAGAGCCCAGCACCCGGATGGGAGAACAGGTGCGATGGTGGCGGGAATACTCATCCAGGTTTCACCTCCAGGGATCCCTCTAAATTGGGACTTCCCCTCTCCTGTTGATTTCTGCTTAAGGTTTCCTTCCATGCACCTTGCTTCTGAATTGAGCACTATCTGCTACTCTGGCCCATCTTTTTCCATCTTGCCTGAATGTGCAGGCTCCAGCTTCTCTCTGTTAATCCAGCCCAGCCTTGTTGTTCCCCTTCTCTACCTCCAGAGACCCAACCCAAGGCATCTGATGTTTCCTGTTCAGGGCTTCCCCACTGATCTCCAAACCCCCGTTTGTGTGACTCTACCCTGGGGCATCTAAGGGCTTTCTGATCTCCACAGGGACTTGCTGGAACTTCAGCACATCAGACTGGGATCTGCAGCTCGTGCAGCCCTCCATCTGCACTGCAGAGGGTGAGGACAGCAGAGCTACTGGCAGTTAGAACAACAGAGAGAGAAAATTCAGGTACGTGTTCTTGATACCTTTTCAGCTCGGGGGTATCGAAAGAAAGCAGAGCAGGGCATATGAGGCCGCCCACTTCCTCACCTTTGTAATTGTGCCCATGCCTCTGATTACTTTGCTGAAACAGCTTCTTATTCTCTGCATCACTCAGTGACCTGCTGGGGAAAACAAAACAAAACGCAGGGTTGTGAATGTGCACAACAGGACAAACAACTCCGCTAACCATGCTGTTTGTCGTCTTGGTTTCCTTGGTTAATTTGCTGCAACAAGTGCAAACAGAATTCCCTTTTTCTGGAGGGGTCCCAACCTGGTGGTGCAGCCAAGCGGATGCTTCAGCACCTGGCACCAGCGGTTCCTATGAAGACAACAGACATCCACGCTAGTGGCCTTTTGGCTGCTCGACCAGGCCATCTAGAGCCGGACTCTCTAGGAATGCTTGCTACGGATTTGGAAGCGGCTCTTGATATCCACGGAAAGAAACTTTCCGCTTGCCTTCAAGCCAAGCAGACTCTCCCTGCACTTAAAAAAAACTACAACCAGTGGGTGTAAATTGCAGGGGAGCAGATTCTGACTGGAGCAGCATTTTCTTAACAATGAGAGCAGGGGAACAGAATCTAGACTCTAGAGGCAGTGAGTTCAGTGGGGGGGGGGGGGGGAACGACCTGCCATGCGGAGCTTGCATTGATCAGAAGGTCACACTAAATGATCTTTGATTTTTGATATTCTAAAAATCAACTTTGCAGCAATTTGATGGCAAAGGAAAGCGGCGAGTGCAGGACATCTTGAGGAGAAAAGAGTCATTCTCAAATGATGAAACTCGGCAGAGAGAGTACAGAGCCTCTCCCACCCACCTTCCATTTTCTTTCCTTCTCTTGTCTCACCCTCTGTTGCAACACAGAGTGCAAATTCCCCGGGACAAAGGACGTTCTTCTTTGCCTATCCTGCTCTGCCGACTGCCATATCCATCGATGGCAAAGAGTAACATCATCAGTAACAACCGCCGAGGGAGCAAGCCCTTCAGCTAATGCTGCTTTCCTTTTTGCTGCCTCAATCCAGCCCAATACTATTTCCAGTTTTTACATGCTGGCATCGAATGTTAGACACACCAGCCTCCAAATGCTCGTTTTCCTCCTGCCTTGGCCTCAGCATTTCAGCCGCTCTGTTCCAGTGCTCCAGAGAGATCCTGTCAACTGTCAGAAACCACTTAGTGTGGAAAACCTGGCATGTCACGGTGGTTAGATGGTTCATCTAGGACCAGGGAGGCCGGGTTACCATTCTCCGCTCAGCTGTGCTGCTCCCTGGATAACCTTTGGTCTGTCACCCAACTTCAGTCAAACCGCCTTCACGGGACTGCCAGATAATGCATGCCATTGTGAGCTTCTGAGAAGAAAGACAGGGTATAAATGGCACATGTAAATAAAGCAATACAGAGTAAAGAGTAAGTTACCAGGCCAGCCTGTGGGAAGCACTAAATGTCTCTATCCTGGAGAAGGTAGCTGTCCCCAGCAGGGAGGTCACCAGGCGAGGTTCTGAAGTCCCGGAGATCTGCATTGCCCCAGTGAAGCCGAGCTTTGGTTGGAGGGCAGGGAGATGCTCGTAATGACAGCGGGAGAGGCTCCTATTTCAAGAGCGGCTGGCCATCATGTGATCAAGCCAAGAAGGATCATGTGTGCTCGAGCCTGAATGGCAAGACCACGGGATGGAGAGAGGAACTAATCGATTCACTTTCGAGGACCATAGCTTGGTGTTCAAGCACATGCTCTCACTGCTGAAGGTCGGGGACGGGAGCATGCAGAGTGCAATTCCCATCAGCCCAAGCCACCACGGCCAACAGTGAGAGGTGATGGGAGGGTGCAGTTTGAGAGCATTTGAGAAAGGGTCAAGCATGATCTCAGGTAAAAGCTCTCAGGTAAAAGCTGGGCTGGGGAAGAGCTCTCCCTTTGCAAACAGAACCCCAACCAGCTGCTGCTGAAAGCAAACGCAGGATTAGGACCGTGCAAACAGGAACATGCGATCAGATACACTCTTGATGCTCAGACTGGAAATGGTGCACAGAGTGCAGTTCTGGGCTCACCGTCTATCAGACATTGACAGAGGTGCTCCACCTGGATGGTGAGTGGTCTGGAAACCAAGTCACGGGAGGAATGCTTGAAAGAGCTGGGTCTATATTTAGTCTGGAGTGGAGAAAAAGATTTTGCGGGTCTCACGGAAGGTGTCCTCAAGTCCCTGAAGAAGGAGCCAGCTTTCACATTTATTCCCCTTTCCTAGGAACTGTAATTCTTCCATAGGCAAACTGGAAGAGCATCTCAGAATTTCGGGTGAGAAAACTGACAATTCAACGGGTATAACACCGACAGAGATGTGGACCTGACTGCACAGAGATGGGTGGAAGGATTATGCGGCTGCAAGTCTCCCAGCCCCAAAGTCCCAAGTGGGAAGTGTCTCCCAGCAGCTCGAGCACATAGCCACATGGCCTCTGACCCTGGGAGGAGCCTAGAGCCATCAAGGTGAGCAGCCACGGGCGGCCTTCTCCTTTGCGGACCTGCACAGTTCCTTAGACTGGCAGCCATGGGTACTTCTCCTGGCAGCAAATTGCTTACTTTAGGTACACCTTATGGGAAGAAGCGTACTTCCTTTTCTCTCTCCTGGATCTCCCTCCAATCAACTTCTCGGGATGATTTCTGTACCGCTGAGCAGCTTGAAGCTTCCTGGGTGGTTCATGACAGTTCACAGCGGTGCATAAACCTGGCCGCTTCCTCCACATCGCGTGTAACTGCATGCGCTCTTATTCGGCAGTTTTGCAAGCTGCCCGGCTCTGAGGCTGCCCTCGTCCTCCCAAGGGAGAAGCGCCAAGCCTTTGGCCGCCCTCTTCCGCCCCTTCTCCATTTCAGCAGCATCCCTTTCCCGGCCGCGCCGTGCACCGCATTCCACGCGCGGTCGCGCCGCACGGGCGGTCCGGCCGAGGGGCCGCGCGGGTCGGGCACGGCTCTGCGCCGGCCGGCGGGGTTTTCCTCCAGGCCGTCCCCGGCTGCGGCCAGCACGGAGCGGGCCTCCCGAGCTCCCCATCGAGCTCTCCGGGGCAGCCGGGACCCTCGGCCGGGCGCCGCGCGCAGACGTGACGCTGGGCCTCCCGCACGCGCTGCCCCTTCGCGCGGCAGCCTTCTGCAAAGGAGGGCGGGAAGCGCGCGGCGGGAGACGGCGCGGCGTCAGTCCTGCCACTGGGCATGCGCCGCGCGCACGCGCGGTGCCACTCTGCGGGAGCCCGGCGTCCCCGGGCCTCGCAGGGCATGGCGCCGCCTCTGCGCCCCGCCGGGCCTCGTCGCCTGGCCAGGGTGACCCGCAGCCTCAGCTTCAGCGCCTCGCACCGGCTGCACAGGTGACGGCGCAGGAAGGCCCCCGCCACGGCTCGCACCCCACGCTGGGCCGGGCCGGGGGGGGGGAGGAGAGCGTCTCTGCACATGGGCAGAGTGCCGAGCAAATAAGCCCCGGGGAGGCGCTGCAGTAAAGTAACACACGGGTTGGATTGACGGGGAAGGGCGTTTTTGTTCGCGCGAAGCTGCCGGGCAGGGACGGCAGGTGTTTGCCGTCTGAGAAGGCGGATGCTAGGCTGGCTGCGCATAGTTAAGGGTGAGGGAGGCTTCCTGGAGGCACGTGCAGGAGAATAGGAAGGTAGTGCCGCTTGTTTGGTTGGTTGGTTGGTTGGTTGCCGGGCTTGGGATGCGTATTCATGGCTTCGTTTAGTGCCTTGCAGTGCCCAAGCGAAGCATGAAAATGAGACGGGAGCGCGCTTGGAGCTTGTGCAGGCCGGAGACTGGCCCCGCTCCAGGAGTGACGAGACAGTCAGTTGCATGTGTGCCAGGCAAGGAGAAGGAGGCGCTTTTTACACCCCACTTGCACGGTGCACACGCCCCAGCTGGGAAGGGTGCTGTGCATTTTGCAAAACTTGCTGCCTACCAAGAAGTATGCATTTTGGGCACTTGGGGGCTGCAAGCCACAAATGGGAAAATACGCTCCAAATGAATTGTGCGGTGAGTCGTGCAGCTGCTCTGGTCCCTTCTGGAAGCCCGAGTTGCTTCTTTTTACTGTGTTCAATTGTGGAATGTCCTTTTGCCAGTAGGAACCCCTGTGATTTATAAAGTAAAATGTTGGAAAGGGCCTTCTGGAGCTCACCTTTTTTGATCTTGTTTTTGTTTCTGTTTTATCTTTGTAAAAAAGGAAAAACTGTTTCCATCCCGCACAAAAGTCATCTCTGCGATGAGGTTGGAAATGACACTCAAAGAACCTGCCTGGAGTTGGGTGTTAACTGACTTTAAGCTGTATCTTGTATAAAAGCTATAACGGGGACAGTAGCCCTGCTGCATTAGGAGCTGTGTGTTTGCCTGCATGCTCATTATATCACCCTTTCCCAATGTGATCCCTTACAACTCCCATTCGCCAGTCCATGGCAGTTCCGTACATCAAGAGCTTGGTAAAGGCCTCCAACCTTATTTTAAAGGGATAGAAATTGGCAGACAGTTTCTTCCCTTTCTTTGTGGACATGTTTAAATGTGGCTTAGAGTTGTTTAGACTTTTTTCTGTCTAAACTTGTGCACAATTATGCCCTAAATTGGTAAAAAGCACAACCAGTAACTAGTTCCTTGATGCATTTCTTCTCCATAGCAAGTTGCTGAGTGATGAAGAAAATCAGAAACTTTTTGGAAAATGCAATAACCCCAATGGACATGGGCACAACTACAAAGGTACGAAGTGACTAAATTGAGTCTTTATACACAACCAGAGAGATAGTGATCTATAGTAGAGAAGAAAATACTGCTGTGTATTGGTAATTTCTTTCCAAATATATGGGACATCTTATGTTGTAATGGAAAATCCAATTGTAAAACACTATTTGGCTGGCTTTTTCTGCATGCAAACATCTGTATAAACCTTGCATTATTGATGCAAGTTACTGCTTATTCCTTTATAGAGGAAAAGCATTGCATTGTGGTTAAGTGCTTTGTAGGTTTACCTTCTGTTTAGTCACCTATAAAGTTTGTGATGGACTCTGTAGTTCTCTTGATGACGCTTTGCAAACTCTCCAACATTCATAGGATCCTGCTTATGCAAGCTTTCTGGATGCAACATCTACTCCAGTTCCCCCCCATCTCCCCTCCCCCACCTACAGCTAACTGGCTTTTCTAGCATTTTGTCTGTTACAGAGGTCTGCAGTTTTCAAAACCCCAGTTTTCTAAGAAGAGTGTTAAACTTGGTTACTGATGTTGGAGACAAACAACCAGATAGAACTATTGTGCTGCTGGTTCTCCTCCTCATCACTGCATTGCATTTGTATCTTGCCTTTTTCCTTCTTGTGAGGAACCCAAGGCATAGTCTGCCCCCTTTCCTTTTTATCCTTGCCCCGTGGGGGAGGTTAGGCTGAGAGGGGTCTAGAACCTGGCTAGTTACAGCCCAGCACTTTAACCACTGCGCCAGTCTGGCTGGCTGGCTGGCTGGCTTCTCAGAAACATGAGTGGCCGTGGATGGAAACACGTGGCCCACCAAACTGGCCTCACCATTATGCTGTTTTTTGTGGGTGGCAAAATTTAGGGGGCCCTCCGTACTCCTGGAGAGTCCACTTCTTATGTCCTTCTTGTGCACTTCCCGCAGATGGCTTGTTTGCCACTGTGTGAACAGACCACTGGGCTAGACAGGGCTTCCCTCTGATTCCGCAGAAAATGTTGAAAGGTGAAAAGGAAAGGTGTAGACAAAAGAATCTTTTAGTCAATAAAGTAAAAGGGTGTTTCCAATAAAATCCTGTTTTCGCCTTTTAATCTTTTATTGTTTGCTACTCTGCAATCTGCTTAAATGTAGTGGGGTATAGAAATGTTGTAAATCAGAAAAAATGCACTTGGAAGTAGATAGGAACTTTTTCCTTTCCTTTGTTTTGCCCAGCCATTCACTTCTGACTGCTCGGAAGGTTCCGCTTTCTGTTGGCTGTTGATTCAGCAAGCTTTTCTCACACTCCTTGGTGCACAGGAAGCATGCATCTATTTTGAACACTCACAAAATTTCTTCAAATTATTTTTGGTGGTGATCATGGCAGTGGCTCATGCATTCTTAGTTAAATGCAGCATGGCAGTGCACCGTCTCTCTGCCTTTTTCCCTCAAAGAAGTAGGACATTAGTCTGTTTTTCCCTTTGCTTGGAAGTACCTATTGTTTTCAGGTAGCACTTCTATTAAGATGGGCAGAGGAAGATGAATTAAGGAAGGTTTTTCCTCCAAAGAATCTTTCTGAGGTTGATCAGTCTCTTGTGCATGTGTCTTCATAGTCGGCGATCTAACTTGAAGCCTGGCATTTTCGTTCTTGTTCCCCTTCTTCTTTTCATAGTGGAAGTAACTGTACGTGGTGAGGTGAGTGTCGAAACGTATCTGGGATTGTTAGCCTCAGCACCACATTTCCAGGTCACAAGGAACAACTATGCTAAGTTTTATCTAGTATGCACTTGGCGACCTTTTGGTAAGCTCTGAAAAAGTTTTTGCCATTCCGTACTTTTGGGATGTTGACTTAAAAAAGAGGAAGGAGGAGGAGGGGATTTCCTTCACAACTGGTGTCCCACAAATCTCCAAAGTGCGCACACGTGTGCTGCGCACAACCAGCCCACTCTGCCCTTGCTTCCAGGAAGTGGGGCTCAGCCCTCTGAACTCGGAGCTTGGTGTTTGCCGCGAAGACCAACTGTCCTGACAAGCTTCTGCACCACGTGGGCTGCAGTCACACACACAGCGTTTGGCTGCCCTTGCCTGCCTTGGACGGCCTGCTTTCACAGCGGTTGTTGACGTGGAAACAAAAACGGGAGACAAGGCAAATTAGTATGACCCGAGGAGCCCAGCTGGGGAAGGAAGGGAGCCTGGAGAGGATCCCGATTCGCCCTCCAGTGGGCGGATTCCAAGGGATGGGTAAGGGGGAGGACCTGGAAGCGCACCACCCGTAACGGCACACAAAACCGGGCTCAGTGAACAAATGGACGGACTTCCTGTGGGACAGCTTTGTATCCCGGCCGCCAAGGCGATTGGAGGGAGCTGGTGAACTGGACGGCCGGCTCTTGCTGGCTGCGTGCCTCGGCTTCCCCCTTTCTGGCATAAAGCACCAAAAATGCGCACAGTTGCAATGCTTTTGACGTATCTGACTGAAAAAAGAATGATTCGATTCTTACATTACTTAGGTCCACTTCTGTTGGGAAACAGTACACAAATTCTTGTTATCCGGAAGGCGTCTGGTTCCAAAATTATAACTGTGTCTTTCATGGAGGAGGAATTAACACACATTAAATGCCTGAAAGAAGAATCTTGTTTTGGGGGCAGGAAGAAGCGCCAGTCATTGTAAACCATTTCCATTTTCTTCCTCACTTCCCTCTCCTGATTTGTGGTTTTAAAAAAAGGGTCAGGATAGCAAACTGCTACCGTCCATACTGTGTAGAGTTTCCTCTTCTCTTACCAACTGTGGGAGACCAAAGTCCTTTCGGATAAACTGCCAGTCAGCGTTGACTCTCAAGATGGTGTCCTGGCCTTCTGCTAGAGGCCTTCAGAAGAAGACGAGAGCAGTACGGGATTTCTCTGCCCGGGATGTGTGTTGTCTTTAGGGTGTCGCCTAAAGGGGGTAGAAAGGCGAATCTTTTTGCGGGCTCCATTCTTGAGAAGGTAGCTTGCAGCCGGACACCAGCCCAGCCGGGGCCACCAAATGTGGCCGGGTGTTGTGGGCTGATCCACCCTTTCTCCTCGGGAGCTTCTGTGCTCTCCCCCATTCTAAACATCAGAGGCGCCATCCCCAAAGGGTCTCCGGCTTGCAAGCTGAGCAGGTGCCATTGGGCTGGGTTTTGGAGGCCCTGTGGGCTCTTTGCCCAGGTTGGCAGGAGCGATCGAGAAGCTTTGACCTTGGCTGCCCAGCTCTGCTCTGTGTTTCCCTTCCAGATTGACCCCACGACAGGGATGGTGATCAACCTGGCAGACCTGAAAGACCACCTGGAGGTATGCCTGCTCTGCTTTTGCAGGGATGGCCAGGGGTGCCTTCTGGATGTGGTGGGCAGGAGCCCTGGTGCTGCCGTGGGGGAGGAATCTCACGCCGGGTGGGGGTGGGTGCAGCGGGGGACACATCTTCCAAAACAGGCTGGGCTGGGGTGATGGCTTCTTTCCCAGGAGAGGAAATGTGAGGAAATCTTCCCACTGGGAAAGACTCGGTTGGAGACCGCCGTCCTCTGTATTCTGGACCCTGCGACGTGGCCCAGGCAGTGCAATAGACCATGTATGTCAGGCAGATCTCCAACACCATTATAGGAAGCAGCCTGTTGAAATGGTTCTCAATGATCGTGCATCAAGATTCTGACATACAAAACCCTAAATGTTCTAGGGCCTGGGTATTTGAGGGAACGTCTCCTTCCATATACACTTGCCTGCGGTCCTCTAAGATCTTCCACTGAGGGCTTCTTTGGGAGCCCTCTCTGAAGGAGCTTAGATGAGTGGCTACCTGGGGAACAGCCTTTTCTGTTGTGTCACCGTGGCTTTGGAACATGCTCCCCAAAGAGGCGTACCCGGCACTGACGCTTTGTTCTTTTCGGTGCCCTGCCAAAACCTTTCTATTCACCCAGTATTTTAGAGGTTGAATGTTTTATCAGACAGTTGGGATTATCTTACTGAATAGTTTTATACTGTATTTGTATTTTAATTGTGCTGTTAGGCTTCTGGTGTGTAAGTTGCCTTGAGATCTGTTTGGGAGAAAGACAGGATAGAAATGCTTTAACTAAATAAATCAAATGAATAGACGGAACAGCCAAGCTACAAACAGAGCAGGCTTTTCCTCCCTTCTGGAGCACTGTTCGTGGATGTAACTACCCGACTTTCTACCCTTAGGAAGCCATCATGCAGCCCCTGGACCACAAGAACCTCGACAAGGACGTTCCCTACTTTGCTGACGTCGTCAGGTAGGTGTTGCTTATTGCTCTGGGACCGCTGAGTTTCTCTTACTCAAACTGGAGTTGCTCACACGTTTTGAGCCAATGAATGTGACTTCTGTCTGTGTAAATCCCATTGCGTCAGCAGGAGGAAGTTCCTCTGTTTTTCCTTTTATTTCACAACTTCTGGCGCACAGTGGCTGCACGCATGGACACTATTGTGTGCCAGAGGCTTGTTTTAAACTCCCTGTTGGCTCTCCAGAGGCTGTTCTGCCCTTCCTCTGACTCCCCTGTCCAAGGGGGTGTTTCCTGGTCCCCCCATTCTGTGCACCACACGCTGCCTTTAGATGCGAGTGCAGATGTATTTGTACTTGATTAAAGAGGGCTAAGCTGTCCGAGTCACCTTTTTCATACGAGCATCCAGATACCTTTTCTCTGCTTTTGATGAGCACAGAAACTTGTAACTTCGTGAAGCTCATGAATAATCTGAGAAAATCTTCAAGGAAGTGCTGGCACATGCCAGTGCAGGTCGTTACGCAACCCTCCTTTGAAGCAACTGGCATAACAAACCAGCACTGCTTCTCCCTGTGATGTTGGCACATTTCTCGCCTCAGTGAGGTCATCGGGACTGTAACGGAAAAAACAAAAGCTAACTCCCGTGGTTTTCCTTGCAGTACAACTGAGAACGTTGCCGTGTTCATCTGGGGAAACCTTCTGAAACACCTTCCTGAGGGCAGCCTTTATAAAGTCAAAATCTATGAAACAGACAAGAACAGTGTTGTGTACAAGGGGGAGGAGAAATGAATTCTGTTGCTTGAGGTGTTCGGTCCATGGTTTGGGAAAGAGTCCAATCAGTCCAGTCAATCAGTGGATTTCTGAACTTGATCAAGTATAGCCATCCAAAATGTAGAACACACCTATTTCTTAAAATCGGGGGAAAGCGGCAACGATGCGCTCAAGCCAGAAGCCAGTCTCCCATGTGGCTCTGTGCCGTCAGGACGTGCCCCTGTTGAGTCGAAGCATTCCATCCGTTCAGACACTGCGGCCTGTGGAGCTGCCCAGCAGGGTCCGTGGCCTCGGATGGTCCAGCTCAGCATTGCCTGCAGGGGCTGGCAGCCGAGGCCTTTTTCTGCCCTGCTTGGAGACCTGGGCGGCATTGCTCTGCTTCTGTTGAGATGGCACTGCGAGGATCTGCAAATGTCCAAAGGATATTGTACGCCTCTTGTTTATTCTAGCTGGCAGCAAATTCCCCAGCCTCAGGCCCGGTTTTTGTCTCTCTCGCTGTCGACCCCTTGTGGCTGGAGGGGCAGAAAGCTGAACCTGGAGTTCTTTGCATGCAAAGCGAATGCAGCTCCTTTGAGCCACTGGGCTCTCTTCCTGTTGTTCTTCTCTGCTAAGGATGTGAGCTGTGGAAGGCGGGGGGGGGGGGCGCATCTAGGTGTCGCTTTCCCTGTGAGGTCAGTCGATCGTCTTCAGCGCACTGCTTTTCCAGCTTCACCTTTGCCACTTAAAGAGAATCGCTTTGCCGTCTTCTCTACGGTTGCCGAAAGGAGCAGTTGATCTGAAAGTTAAGCACTTTGGAAAAGAAATAACTTCTGTTACTGTTTATGCCAAGATATAATTCTTCTGAAATGTGGTAATTAAATGTTTCCTTTGCTGGATTTGGATTCTTTTTTCCTCCGAAGAAAAAAGGAGAGCAAGAAATGTGAAGCTAGCTCATGTGTTATGCTTAAAAAAAGATTAATGCAAAGGCTGATAAGATGGTTCATGGTTTTTAAATAAGAAGCAAACAGAGTGTTCCAAAGACCCCTCCTGGCAAACACCAGGGTACAGTTCTCTCAGGCAGAGGGAAGGCCACTTTGGGGGCTTATCTTTCCCAGCCTGGGCTTCTGGGCGCCTGCCGTGCCTCAGGGCACAGTGGTCTTGAGCTGTCCCAGGGAAGGTCGAGTGCCAAACCCCCGAGCTCCTCTCGGGCTCTGCAGGAGCCAGTGGCACCCGCTCTGCAGGCTTGACTTGGTCTTCTCCCTTCCAGCTGCCAGCTTGGCAAGTCCCAAGAGCGAGCACTTGAGTGTTGCTGTTTAAGTCCTTGTTGTAGGTATTAGGGTATTAAGCACTGTGCCTCTTAGGTATTGCCGAAGGAGAGATCCGCCCCAGCAGAGGGTGCCACTGTGGATCTGAAAGTGTGGCTGGATCATTCATTTGGCAGGTCTGCCTCCTAGTGGCCTTTTCCCTCTGCAAGGGCAGGAGGCCCATTTCGAAGGGCGGGTGTTCTGCCCATTCAGTGGCGTTGTGCCTCTGACAAGTAGCGAGGCTTGGCTCCTGCTGCCTTGCACACAACCGGATGCGCAGCTGGGGCAGTGGGTCTGGGGAAACCTGTCCAGTGAACTGGCTCTCCTGCGTGCTTGAGATTTCCCGTGGTGCAAGAAGCTCATCGCACCTGAGCTGGTTGGAAACAGAGGTGCTTCCAGGAGGCCCATAAGGTCAAACAGTGTCCGGAACCACAAGGGCAAAAGAAGGCGCTTCCTGAGCTCCCAATCTCGCATTACATGGAATAGTCCAGAGTTTCTGGGTTGGTTTACCAATGGATTGCCACTAAATGCCGCAGGCAAGTCCGAACAGCAGCTTTGCAGCAAGGAAGGATGAACCTGTGCTCCAGCTGCTGCCTGCCAGTGGCTGGAAGCTCATCCATATGCATATATGCAGATGCACACAGTTTATTATGCACCTACATAGCTGTGCAGCGGTAAATAACTAGAAGGCGTTGCTTAATTGTCAGGCAAAATCACAACTGCACAGATGTGCACGATGGCTGTGCTTGGTGGACAAATCAATTGGAGAGTTAACTTCTCTTTCCCCATTCCCATTTTTTTTTAAGAAAGGGAATATATATAGTTTGGGACAACTGATCAAACCTTCCCCGTTACCTCCTTTTTTCATTTCCCTGACCCAAAGAACTGGCAGCGCGGGTGTAATCCACTCAGGAGTGAGTCTGAGTGAGCTTAAGGCACTGGATTTCTTCTTTCATTTACAGCACCTTTACCAAGACTTTCAGTGAACAGGTGGCTTGCCAAGACGACCAAGGAAGGGGGTTCGTGCCGCGAAAGGAAAAGAGAAGCAAAATGCAGGCACTTGCTCTTTTTGGTAGGGAAGGGTGGAATCTCGTTCTGGCTGCTGCTTGTTCTCTGTGATGTGTCCTGGGCAGAGAATGGGCCAGGCTGGGCTCCCTCGGCTTCCTGCAGGGCAGGGGACGAGGCCTCCAAATGGACTTTGGTTCTTTGGCCGATGGATAAGGCCCGGGCGCGTGGTCTCCGGGCACTCTGTTGGAGCTGCAATGGAGGCATTGGGTTCTCATGTCCAGGTGGGGTGGTGGCCTTCCCATTGGGTTGGAGAGGGCTTTTTGGTGGAGGAGAGAGGTGAGCGTGTGGTGGACTTTAGGGGAATGGGGAAGAGAAGAAACTCCCCAGGCTTAATGCCAAGAACGGCTCCTCCCACTTCCAGTTTGCGGCAGACGAGAGCAAGGACCCTGGAAAGGCAACACGAGAGCAAAGAAGAAGAAAGCCAGTGCTGGAGAATGGTTGGCAGTGGGTTGTGGGGAAGGGACAAGGTCGCCCCGCGGCTCCACAGCCAGGCTTGGTCTTGCTTCGGCTCTGACAGCCGCTCAGCAGAAGGGAAGATTTCTCTGGCAAAGGTGTTTTTATGGTGTTCCCAGAGGGGAGGGCTGCTTTGCCCCGGCTGCACCTGTTTAAAATAAGGATGAGAGCCTTCTGTGTTGGGTGACTGCGTGTGTGCATTTGTGAATGAAAGCGAGAGAAGGGAAGGAATCGGCTGGGAAGGTAATGGTGGAGATCTGGGGTGCCTGCAGGAGCCTGGGCTGCTTTTTTATTCGGAGGCGTTTTGACAAAGGAGGAGAGCAAGGTCGGCTTCGTCACACCCTAAGAAGTTGCCATGAACCCACTGACAAACTCTCTCCACCGTTCTCCGCACAGCAGCTCACGCATTTACCGGGGGGGCCAGTAAGGTGCAGGCAGCAGGTCGGGCCAGTTGCCTAGGGAGCACCTGCTGCCTTCAGGAGAAGACACTCAGGTAAGTGGACAGATGCTGGTTTCCCCCCTCTCCCCTCCTTCCCGACCTTTCTCTCTGGCAGCCATGCCTCAAATGACTAAAGCCACCGTGTGCGGAAGCTTAGGCCAGTAATAGTGCTCCGGATTCACTTGCAAGGCAGAATTAACTTTTTTCAAAGTCCTTTTGCCTGGAAGTGCAACCGGAAGTGCTTTTTTCAGTGCTCCCTTTGCCTGTTCCTGGTTTCTCCTCTTTGTATTTGTATTCAAACAACTAAGTATCTTTGTGCCAGTTGAATGGGCAGCAATGGGATGGTTGCCCTGTATGGGAACCGACTCTGACCCTGGCTCTGTTGTAGACTTCCAAGGCACCTGGGCAAGTTGTTCTCGCTGCACCTCGTTCTTCCCAGTGTTAAATCTGTCATGGCCACAGGGGAAGGGCAGTTCTTAGAGGGCGGGAGTGGCTGGGAACGGCCCTCAGTACCCATCAGCCAGATTTCTAACTGAGAATAAATGGCAAGCCCTTTTTATGGGTGGAAAACCAGGGTAAACTGCTCCACCAAATCAATGTTATTGTATAGCTTGCGCTGTGCCCTTTGCTTAGAATGGAATGCAACAAAAACTAGTCTGTGTAACTAGCAGGGATCACGCACCGCACCTTGCACATGAAATGAATGTGCACTAGCAGCCATTGAGGCTCTTGGTGACGGATTTCTGAGGATTTTGGACTGTTTGCTGTGCATCACATGGAAAGACCAGTGCTGTCTTTTCATGAAGAATGTTCACCTTTCAGACTGAGCAGCCCGGTGGTGTTCCCAGGGGCCTGAGTGGGATGGTGCGACTTGGTGTCCTGCAGCAGCAGCGGGCTGGACCCGATGGCCTCCCTGGCCCCTGCCAGCTCTTCTGTGATTCTGTGGTTCTACGAATAGGGATGATCGGGGGTCCAAGCTGCGTGGGCTCCAAGGGGTGAGCACTGAGTCCCTCGCATTCAGAGCCTCCTCTCTGATGGACCGGTTTACTTGCACTTGCTCCTCCTCCCTTTTCTAACCACGATGCCAATCACATCACGAAATAATGGACTGCGTGGCGTGGTTTGCAGAAGTGATGGCAGAAAATGCTTTCTGGCATTAACCCCGCAAAGCGTTTCCTGCTGGACCAGGTCTGCTGCAGTCCACCAGCTTTACGGAGCTCGAAGTGTTCAGCGTTCAGTTTTTGTTTATTCAGTCACAAAACATCTGCGAAACATCTTGCACTATACATACTGTGCTAGCAAGCTCGGCGTTATAAAACCACCCAACCAGCTGTTCCAGGCATGCATCTTTATTCAGGCATGTCCATCTTTATTGGGCTTATAAGGTCTTACAAGGACGACATCTTTGTCGGCAACATCTTTTGATAGCTTTTGCACATGTAGCAACAGCTCGTAACAGATACAACAACACAGAAGTTTTGCATCTCTTCCTCTCCGTACACAAAGCTTTACCACCTCGTCAGTCCAAATATTTATTGGGAGTCATCCTTGCCTGTCGGCCTTACAGAAACTGCTGGTTCCTTGCATGATACTGTAACAAAGGGCAAGATAACATACGGTAATGAACTTTTCTTTTGCAGTTCTTCCCACCACCAAGTAAGAAAAATGTGCAGTGTTATGTGAATTTATGTAAAATTGCCCCACCCAGCATTGGCTCAGAAACATGTGCAAACGTTCCTATAGGATGTGTCCGCCTTGAACTCACAATGAGCATTCCCATGATCCATGGGGAATAGTGCTCTCACCCCATCCCCTCCTACGACTTACACACATTTAGTTTCCCTTGTAGACAATGAAGTTTCTGTCGGATTCATAGACCTTGACCTTGTACAGGCATCCAGCTGGAAGGATTTTTTCAAGGTTGTTCCAGATGTACACAGCCACGTTCTCTGTCGTACTGAAAAAAGCATGGGAGGCTGGTGAGAGGGAAGTCCGACAGGGAGCCACGGTTTTGTATAAAGGCATCTCGGGGAGCATCAGTCGCTTCTTGTCTGGGACTGCAAAGCACCTCCGTGTGGACTCTGGTGCAAGCTCCTCGTGATCCTGGGGAAGTGGATAAAGCTGCTGGTGTCAGAGAAGCCAGCTGGGCACCTTCTGTGTCCCCTTCTGCATTGCAAGAAGAAGCCTTTGGACGCTTCTCTACCACGCTTCAGTTATCGTGAATGGGGCAGGTCTGTAGGTGGCTTTGTGGCTTCGGCTCAGCCCACAGTCAGTTTTACCCCAACAGGGCCAGTTGGGTTCCTTGCGGCCTTACAAAACAGAAGCCCTCTGCCTGGCTTTTCTGTCTGAACAGCCTGTTCCTGGGGCACAGATTGGCATTTCTGACTTCAGAGGCCGTGTGGTGCTTATTTAGCCTGAGCTGTCCCCACACTAAGTTGTCTCTGCTGCCCAGAGAACTTTGGCTACAGGCAGTATAGAAATGCAACAAATAATAATGTGTACATCACAGTTTGGATAACTTGCCTTGCTAATCACAGGAAAGATGGGAGTTTCGCTGGGTGCTGAAGCTCAGTAGGAAGTGTACTGGACTGCTCAGCCTTGTGCGGAGGAGGGGGAACACAGCTGGCAGATCCGGTCCTCTGTGGACGGGAGACTTGGCCACTTTTTGCCATGCTCATTCAAGAGCATCTGGCCTAGCTGCCCTCCCCCACCCATGGTGTCCCTCAGATGTTGCCCCTCCTCTGTGCAGTCGCATTGGATTGCTGATGCCACATGCCTCCTCGGACCGTGGTGGACAGCTGAACGGTCCACCCGCTGTCCCTCTCCAAGGACTCACCTTATGACATCCGCAAAGTAATCCACATCCTGGTCCAGGTTCTTGTGGTCAAGAGGCTTCATGATGGCTTCCTGAAGGCAAGAGCAACATGCAAGAGGGTGGCCTTTTCCCCAGACACGTCTCTCCAGTAAATTCTAAGTCCTGAGGTTTTGAACTAGGATCGCCCGCAACGGGTGCGGAGGCTTGGTGGTGGCGGGAAGGTGGTCTGGCCCGAGGAATGGAGGGTGGGTGGGCTGGAACCCGGGGGGGCTGAATGTGTTCCTCGGAGCTTTGTGGCGTTGCTCCTGGTCAAGAGCACAGGTCTTGCTTTTGGTGGGAAGAGACTGGGGACCTAATTCCATGGGCCTTTTCTACTTCGGGAACCCACCCCATGCTAGTGCAGCCAGTTTTCATTTCCTCTATTTATTCCCCACCTTTCTCCAGTTGCAGAAGTCGAGGTGGCCACGGGGTTCCCAGGGGGTCTCCCCTCCAAGCTCAGGCTAGCCCCAGGCCTGCTTAGCTTCAACAAGGGGGCGCCGTTGTGCCTTCAGACCATCTTCTGGGCTTTGCACACACTCAGAGGGCAGTGTGCCAGAGTGGAACGCCAAAGGGCTGGGCCCACCAAAAAGTGCCTTACATGCTCATACTTCCCAGTCCCCGAGTCGTATGGCTCAATGCTTTAATCAAGAAGCCGCCCTGCAAAATCTGAAATGTGCTTTCAACACCCTCTTACAGCTTCCCTCGATGATGTGGGAACCTTTATCCTGGAGTTATTTGCTGCTCTTCTCTTCCTTTCCAAACCAGCCTCAGGCTGGTTCACACATGTACCACCCTCCCTGACTTACTTGACATTTGCTGAATATGGACTCTGACCCTGGGGTGAAGCTTTGGCTGGATTTAGGAACAAGCGGTGACTCAACCTGGGTTGTTGCTGAACTGTGAGTTGCATCCAAAATGTTGGGTTACGGTGCCGTCCGGACCCTGTGCTAACAAACCCCGGAAGGAACTCCTGGTTTGTTGTTTGTTAATTATGACACGGCAGCTCGGTCATCACAGTTTGTTGTCCCAACTCGCTGGCTATTTTATTGGTAGCTTTACTAAAATAAAACAGATCCCCTTTCATAAGGTCCCCAAGGCAGTGGGCAGGGCAAACATTCGAGCAACTGAGGCAACAGCAAAGATCCAGAACAGTACACCAGAAATCTCCGGAAACAAACAAACAAACAGCCATCCACATTTAAAGCCCAACTAACGCAGTGCAGAGGTCTCTTTTTTGCCCACTGGGACATGATCAAAAAAGGGACCAATTTAGTGACTCAGTGCCCTACAGATGTGTTGCACCCCAACTCCCAGCCCGTCCCAGCCAGCCAGTGGATGCTGGGATGGAGTGGGGGAACGAGAGCAGGACAGGGGAGCTGCACTCGTGTTCTGCTTGTGGACTTCCCTGCTGGTGCATCCGGCCGTGCATGGAGCAGGTGGCACTTTGGTTGACCCCCCCAGTGTAGCTCTTCTCTTATTTTGCTCCTTGGTTAGCGTATCAGCTTAGTCCTCCTGCTGGCATCTCCATCTCCTCCCTTTTCTGGCCCAGGAGTTAGGTCTGGCTGCGCGCAGCAGCAATGGGCAGAAAGGGCTTACCTGGAAACCTGGAATTACCTGCATATATTCCTGAAGCTTGAAAATATTCATGAACATGCCACTGATGGGGTCGATCTGGAAAAAATATTTTTAAGAAGCCAATAGCGGCCCCATCCAGTCCTTGGCAATATCACAAGGCATCGCGATGGCTGTTCATTGGGCTTAGACTGCTCCACACCCAATGAGGACAGATTGGCCCATGGCTCCCAGGAGCATCAGAAGAGGCCTTGGAGGGGCTGTTGGAGCAGGTCAGGCCTCTGAGACTCCTTGGGTGCTACGTGGGGAATGTTTTGGGGTGTTGCCCCCCCTTTAGATTCTTCCCAGCAATGGTTTTTAGACTTTTGCAAACCTGGGGCTCTTAGCTTGCTGACCTCCCCCTCCCCCTCCCTCTCCCTGTGTGTGTGTGTGGGGGGGCGGGGATCCCGCAGGGCTCATGCCATGAAAGGAAGGGCTTTGTCGGTAGAAGCTGAGATCAGATTTGTAAAAGAAAACAGGGAGATGGAGCAAAGATGCTTACCTTTCCACAGATGGTCACTACCACTGAAAAACAAAGAGGAGAGCAAATGAAGGCAGAAATTGGTCAACATGGACCGCGTTCGGAGTTGAGTGCCGCGATCGGGTGGCAGTGAGTCAGCGAAGCCCTTTGGCCAAAGCCCATCTCCCCTTCGGCAGGGGGAGTGGCAGGTGCGGTTGGAACGGGTGCTCTTGCCCCAGACTGTGCCACTCACTTCTTTGAGTGGTACAAGAAAGCAGTTTATTCACATGGAAAATTAGCTCGTCAGGGTCATGCTGCTAGTTTTCTACATGCTGGGATTCCCTTCCCATATGAGAGCATTCAGATACACGACATCAGCTTAAAGAGGTACCATCCAGGACCTCCGCCTTCGCTCTGCTAGCTGCCCACCCTGGTGTGTCACGACGTCTGTTCATATTCCAGGCGTGGGACGGAGGTCTCTTTCTAAAGGGTTAGTGGTGCCCTTCTCTGCTTCAGTTGCATAATAATTCACTTGAATCCCAACGCCGGTTTCTGCTCCTTACCTTTATAGTTGTGCCCATGGCTTTGGTTACATTTTCCAAACAGCTTTCTGTTCTCGTCCTCATTCAGGGATTTGCTGGAAGAGAGAAGGGCACTTGGGGAGAGAGAAACCACCAGCAAGGATAAACCAAGGCCAAATGAGTGAGTGACCTACATGCTCATGCACCTTCCTTTTTAATTTAATCCACATTTAATTCTAGAATCCATACTGACCAAAGCATGATCTGTCACTTTTATCAAGCCAATATTCAGTTCATAAACTCTAGTAAACAAATCTTTGGACACAAATATAGAATTTATTCTAGAAAAAGTTTTGTGAACTGAGGAGTAGAAAGTAAACCCTTTTTATTTGCATTTAACTCTCCACACATCTTTCGAACCATTTTCATTTACCAGTTTACTCAATATTGTAATATTATGCCCTTTCCCCTCTTTCATAAGATGTTGCTTGTCCTTTGCTTTATTCTTTACTATGTTGAAATCTCCAGCCAGTATTAGAGATCCTTTCTTTTCTACTATTTACAATTCTTTAAACCCCTTAGGAAAAAAAAATCTGATTTTCATTTGGTGCATAAATATTAAGTAATGTATAGTTTTTTCTTATTTTGCCCTGTAAAATCAAGTATTTTTCTCTTCCTTTACTTTCGTTACCGTAAACTCTGCTTTCTTCGAGATAATAATTGCCACTCCGCTTGATTTTGAACTTCCAAAGGCTTTTCATAGATAGTTGACCATGTTACCTTGAGTTCATTTGCCCCATCCTTTTTTTGATGGGTCTATGGTAAAAATACAATATTTGCTTTTTCTTTATCATTGCTTCAATTCATCTCCTTTTAATTACACTCCTTAGACCTTTAACTTTCAAAGTTATTGATCTCATAGCTTTGACCATATCCTCATAAAAGCACGCATCTTTGTTGGTCCCCAGTATACTCTCTAAACCTATATATAAAGAAAAACAAAAACTTGATCAGGAGCCTCTTTGATTTTCAGTTGTCCTGTCTCATCTCAATTTTCTTACAAACAACCCTTTCTTATAATAATTAGCAAGCTTGAGCGGTATATCTCTGGGGAACATCTGGATACATGCTTAGGATGGGTCCTGTGTATTCTTTTGGTGTCTTCCCATTCCTATTTTTTTCACCAGGGGCAATTCTTTAAGCCATTCCAGCCCATCACCTCTCTCTCTCTCTTCTATATATGCCCGTTCCAGAATTCTGCGTACTTGAATATTGGTTCTGCAATTTTGGGCCTGCAATGAAATTATCCTTTCCCCCTGCTCTGTGATACTTCTGGGTTGGTGATGTATCTCCACTTTATTAGCTTTGGTCAGTATTTCTGTCTGTTTAGTTTTAACTGTTACAGCTGTAATTCGTTCCTCCAAAGCCTTTAACATTTTTTGCTTTCAACTTTCATCTGTGTTACAATCAGATTTGCCAGCTCTTGTGTTGACTCGGTTCCTCTTGTTACCTTTTGCTTTCAATCATTCCAATCCTGGTTTCAAGACCTTTCAAATGTTGATTGACCCTTTCGGTCTCTTCTCCTAACTCTGTAATGCCTCTCAAGCATTTTTCCAAGGCCTTCCATTTCTGATTCCGTCTTTTTCTTCCCTTGGAATCCTGATGTTTTCCCCTCCAATTCTGAAGAGACAATTCCCATTAAAGACAGATCTGGTGGCTTTCTGGTTTCCCGCCTTGGGTTTCCACATGACACCTGCTTATTTAATCCTACATGGTATTTACTTATTCGTTCTTGTGTGACATTCAATTAATTGACCAGTAGAGGGAACTCTTTAACCATATTTTTTTCTTCCAATTCTAGTCACAACGTTTCCCCCCTTTTTTCTCTCCTTCCCCTTTTTATCTATAAAAATTTTCCTAACTCTTAAGTTATTAAATGCTCATATTTATGTCTTATTTTGTATTCAATTCAAATTAGCCAAAGCTATTGCAGGATTTAACTTTTTTAGTCTGAAAACAAACTTTCAGAACCCTTTCTAAGATCTTTCCCACACTGGGCTGAGGCACCCCAACAGAAAAGGCTGTTTTCTTATGATGTAATTAATGCTGCTTCCTTTTCCCTTTAACTCCACTTAAAGCTGAAATGTTCCCCTTTGACTTACCCCAAAATTGGGCTTTTTACACAGGGATAAGCTCATAATTTTTCTTTGAAGGCAAAGGGAAGAGCAAGATTAAGATGTTTCTTGGATCACACCAGAAGTCCTTCCCCGCTGCCAAAGTTTCAGACTAGGAACCCTTCTTGGCCAGATGGTGTCTATTAGCTGTCCCTCTTAGATTTCTCCTGCCTCCTTGGCCTCCTGTCTGCCTTCCTTTCCACAAGTTCTCTCATGCTCTCATTCTCTTCAATCCTAAATTGTCCTAGAACCCCGTCCGACCTTAAAGACATAGTCCAGTGGTGGGGACACGGGGGTCTGCAGATGTGGCTCAGCTGTAATTCCCATTATGCTTGATGATTGTCCATGAGTCTGGGGTTGAGTTGTAGTCCCACAACATGGAGTGACCCCAGGTTCCCCTATCTGGCATTAGCTAGTAATTTTCTTCAGTTGGTGGAAGTGGACAGAGAAGAAAAACTTTGCAGCTCGTGGGAAACAGGAACCTGGCAAAATGAGAGGAGGGCCTTTGGCGCTCCTTTGGCTGGGGGATCTGGCCAGAGACCTTCCAGATGTTGCAACTGCAGTACTCTTATCTTTTGCACATCTCTACCACCTAACAGCTGAAGCCAACGAAGAACCATAAGCAAGAAAGTCCCATAAGCCCTGCTGTCAGTAGCAAGGGATTATGGGAACCAGTGGCAAGGGATTATGGGAGCTTCAGCAGAAAACATTGGATTGCCTTATCCCTGTTTGCACAGCATGGCAACCCAAGCTGCTCAAATGGGTGGGAGCAAATAGGCATGCCAGCTCCTGGGCTTCACTCCTGCCCCCACTGAACTAAATCCACTCAAGGGTGCTGGGTCCCTCGGTCATTTACCATGATATCTGAAGCCAGGTTTTTATATTGTTGGAGGCACTTGTCGCCCAAGGAGACAACCTCCAACAGCAGCCTGCACATCTGGGTTTGGATGTAATTATAAATAACCCAGGGATGTAACCTCTCTGGGTTGTTTGGCTCCACCCAACTGCCGTGGCAGCAATCCAAGCCTTCAGGAAGCAGCCATCTTGTTTACTCCCGCTTTTTCCCAGCAAGCATGATTTAGCACATTCAGCCACTGCGATGGGCAAGCTGAGTCTTGGTCTTTGCTGTAGCTGAGCAGCGGGATTCCAAGATAACGCATTACCAAGTCCAACATTTCACCCCCTAGTTAAAATAAACGCTCTGGGTGGCTTGAAGTTGGGTGGGAAATGGCAAAAACAAACCCAGCTCTTCTTCCCCTTCAAACCAAGCCCAGTTAGAATTTACCCCTTGGCTGCCCATTGACCTTTCAAATGCTATGATCGCAGAGGTACCATCTTGACCAACAGCTTCCTCGCGCCCAGGAGGCTTGGGACAGTGTGTCAGCCATCAGGCATCCACTGAGCAGCCACTATTCCGTAAGGCTGCACCTCCCCTTCCTCCCGGGATACCTAGGCACCCAAATACCTGTGAGCCTGAAACACTCTCCTGGCTTTCAAGTCCTGCAGCCACCCTCCCTTCTCCCCCATCTTTACCTGCTCAGCCTGTGAGCTGCTGCAAAGGTTTCGGTGCGAGAAAGGAAGGTCATCTTGCCCGCATTGTTCGGTGCGCTGGCTTTTGGGACACCCTGCATTGTTATGAACCGTCGGGAGCCGAGCTATGACTTGAACTAGAAGCCGTCCCGCAGACCCCTGATAAATATACTCGCAACTTATCATATGATTAACAGCAGAGTGACCAGCCGGATGTAGAAACAGCAGATTTCCTAGCCTAAACCTCTTTGAACCAATGACCACCGCCTTTGTTTTCATCTTCTAGATTTATCCGTTAATTCACCATATCTCCCCTAAGCATAAGGCTGCGATTCACGTGGTCCATTTCTTCAACTCTGCAATTAGCCATGTTGCATGTGTGGTTGGGGGTCTCTTGCATTTGGCTTTGAGTTTTAGGGCTATTTAATCTTTTTAAAGAAATACTCAAAGGTTCAATTGTAAGCTTCACCAGTGGTTCACGATGTCAGCGTAAAATGCAACATTAGTTGTACTTCGAGGAATTCTATTGAAAGAATGGGGCTTATGTTAGACAGGAGCAGCTTGTGTTGAATTTACATTTACTTTCAGTGATTAAATAAATGGCAGCCAAGACATATTTTAATTATTGCATGTTCTATACTGCCTCATAGCCCACAAGCTCTCTGGGCACTTTGTAGTTACTAAAATTATTTATGCAATCAATACATATTCACACTAAAATTATACATACGATCAATACATAAAACCATAACACAAATAATAGGACAGCAACAGAGCAATTATAATAAATTAGCCCTCCAGCACAGTAGCAGATAAACAATATTTAAAACATTATTGCAAATCTAACTGTTAAAATAACTGGAAAATAAAAAGGGTTTTTACCTGGCTCCAAAAGGAAGGTGCTAGGCACATTGCTCTGGGGAGCGTGTTCCAGACATGGGGTCCCACTGCTGAAAAGACTCCCCTCCTGGTTTCCATCCCCTTATTCTTTTGGGGTGGGGTTTCCCTAGGAAGGACCTTGGTGGATGATCTTAAAGGTCAGTTAGGAACGCGTGGGACAAGGCGTCTTTTGGAGAACCTGGCCCCAAGTTGCTTAGGGCTTTAATTGTTAGAACAAGCACTTAGAATTTGGCCCAGACTTCGACTGGCAGTCACCCCAGCTGGAAGAGGACTGGCGTGATGTGATCTCATGGCCCATCTTCATTCATAGCCACGCTGTCCTCCTTTGAATCAGTTGACATTTCTGGACCGTTTTCAGAGGCAATCCCATGTGGCATGTGCTGCATTAGTCCAGATGAGAGATCACCAGAGCACTGCGCTGGCATTCGGCCGCACCTCTGGGCCTGAGGGCAGATGTTTAGGGCAGGAGCCCTGCGCAAACAGGAGCATACAATTACTATGAAACACACAAAAGCAGTAGCAGAAAAAGGGACCGTGTTTGGGCCAGGAGGTACATTTCTCCAGAGCAGAGTTCTTTGTAACCCTCGTCAAAGTTATTGGGCTTTAAAAAAAAATCTTCCCAAATTCTGTCATGGCTGAGATAAGCATCCCTGCGATTTTGCTTTATGGTGGAACTCCAGAGTGTGGTTATGACAACTTCAAGGTGCGATTCTAGTCATATTTAGACAGAAGCGCCTTGCAGCGTGTCCCAGCCAGCACACTTTAGCTGCCTGGGACATTCTGGAAGTTGTAGCCCCTTTTTGTGTCCACACACACAGGGACACACGATTGTGCCCTGAGCAGTTCGGAACTCATTTTTTGTCAGCACGGGGGCCGCGATGGACCGCCTGGCCGAACGAGGTGGGTGCTTTGGGTGTGGTGTAGGGATGGCTGTCCCGTCACCAGGGCTGAAGAAAGAGTTGGACTGCCAGGCCAGATGGTTCCTGCAAATGGAGTGAGAGGACTCTGTCCCGTCCTTTGGCCCAGGCCTGGAAGCTCTAGGATTTTTTTGGAGAGAAGCTCAGCTTTATCCTCCAAGGCAAGAAATTGGATAGCTTTGTTATATAACAAAATTCGTTATAGCTTCCTTAACAAATACCCAGGAACTAGCAATCCCTTGATATCGTTTTGCGGTTTCCTAGGCAGCCAGAACACAGGGAGACAATGGGAGCTTTCCAAACTCGGAGGGAGGGATAGTGCTTCTCTTGCGACTCGGGAGCAGTCACCACTGCCTCAGGGAAGCGCTGCCCAGGGGTGGCCTCGGTGGGACTCCAGCTTCTTCAGACAGAAGAGGCTTTCCTGGGCGTTGATTGAAAAGCTCCTGCTGGTGGAGGATGCTGTGAACCAGCATCCCACAGAATGGTGTTGCTGCGAGAAGAGTGCTCCACCTTCTGGTGCCTGCACCGATTTGCATTATCCAACTGGTTGGCCAAGAGAGGACGGCACCCGTGGCCCGTGGCCAAAGCACACGTGGCGAGGGATGGAGCAGTTCCGGCCAGGTGCCACCTGCCCTGCAAAGCTGCCTTCTCCCTCTCCTCAGGGCATTCACAGCAACACATGCCCCCTGCGCATCGCACAGACATTTGCTGCCAGTCTTGTGGCCGGCCGAGGGCATGGCTTGGAAGCAGGACACCCCGTCAGCTGCCTTCTTAAAAATAAGGGAACGCTGCCAAATGGTGCGTCCCATTGGCCTTTGGCCTGAAAAATGGGAAATGCTGGAAAATGCTGCATTTGTCTGTGGCAAATGGATTTCTCTGTGGCAAATCCACTCTGCCATTCAGAGACTTCTGCTGTGGATAAAATGTACTCCCTGTTTCCCCAGTTAGACAAGGCTTGGAGTGGCAAACAAGAACCGGAACACAATTCTCCAAAGCCAGGTAGGTGGGATGAGGAGTGCTTTGTATGTATGGAGGTCCTGCAGGGTCCGCCCAGTTCTGGTATGCCAGAATTCCTGGGACCACAATTCTTCAATTCGAAGTACGCATCTTGCTCGCCAGTGAGTGGATCTTGATTGTTGACCCTCCAGTGGTTAATCAGGAGGCATGAGCCTCAAACAAACAAACAACCCTGATGCCCACCCCAGGAAGGACTGAATCACTGGAGGGAAAGCACAACTTCCAAGCCTATGGATAGTGTGATGATTGTATTTTTCAAAAGAGTCCTTTTTGTCAGTCCTGGATCCCTTTCAGCTTCAGCGGGTTACCCTAACTTCTAAGCAGCCGGAGTAAAAATAAATGTCTTCCACTCTTACTCTGTAATTTGATGTATCTTTGTATCTCCTTCCCTTTCTTCTGAATCCTCTAGACTAGAGGGCCTTCAGCACTTGAACTGAGGTGGCCGTAAGGAAGATCCAGGCAGTTTCAACATCCAAATTAATATTCTGTGCTTGTCAACAGAATAAAAGAGTCTCTTTTCTTAAGAACAAGCTTCGGCTTTTAAAAGGACTCCGCCATTCCTGCTTTCTAGACATCGTTAGCGGTCCTTGTAAAAGCAACATGTGAGAGAATCAAAGGGCTTCAAAAGAATAAAAGCCCTGCAAAAGGCAAGTTGGATTTCCTGGTTCCCAGGGACCTACTGCAAGGATGCAAGGCGGTCTGTGGTGGCTGCGGATTTACCTTCCACCTGAGTTGCTGAGCTGGGCAGGACCTGCTGAACTGGCCAGGTGTGGGGGAGATGCCGGGTGGGGGCATGTGAGTCACTTGTGATCCAGGTTAAACAGTTTTGGAATCTGGGCATAGCTGGGAATTCCCTTGGGAGGAGAAAGAATGTGATTTCAATTCCATTTTTGGGGTGTGAATTGAGGAGGAGGAAGCGTTAGAATCAAAGCAGGAGTTTATGCAATTTCTGAGTTTATGCAATTAGGATATACTTTTTGTGCATTAGGTAATGCATTGAGATTCCACTTTTCTGGCAATTATTGTCTCTCAAATCAGTAAAAAGGAGTGGGGGAAATTGTCCCATCTGCATTACAAACTAGAATGGCACGGCATGGAAGGGACAGAGAGTGGTGAGAAATGGAAGCGGTTGGAGGTCAGATTCTGCAGGCCTGAGGAGCTCCGTATAAGTAGGCATTTGCATGCGCTTTTGGCTTGGCTGAATCAGACTCTTGTTCCTTAGGCTGGTGGACTGGTGCCAGAGCATCCTTTCCCCTTCCTTGTGCTTCCTGACTCCCAGTGTATGGATGGGCTGGGCTGGGCTGGGCTGGGCTGGGCTGGGCTGGGCGCCATCTCTGGGGAGCAGTGAGTGCCCCTCCCCATGGCCCTGGTTGACGTGGCTGGACATGATGGTCCATGGGTGAAGGGTAATTTTGCAGCTGAGTCGGCTGACAGCCGGGGCCAAGGAAGGCGGAGGTTTTACAGGCATCCCTGATGGGTCTCTCCCTGATGGGTCCAGGTTTTTCTTGATATTGGCAAGAGCGATGTCTGATGTTCTCTGCTTTTGATTTCAGCAAGAAGTTTCACGGGTGTTAGTACAATTGCTCTCCCAAAGAGCAAAACAGAGATGGGTGTGGCAGAGGGGATGGTAGACCGAAGCTGTGGAGACCCAAGTCCAAATCCCCAAGCAGCCATGGGATTCTGTGGATGATCTTGGACCACCTGTGCTCTCCTGGTCCTATCGACCTCGCAGAGTCTTCTGAGGATGGATTAAGGGGCGGGAGGAGGCCCCATAGCAGATGATTGAGTCTCTTGCAAAGAAGAGCAGAATAGAAATGCAACCCATTTAAAAACCTCTGATGGCACAATTCTGTAGATGCCTACCCAAAAGTAAGCCCCACTGACTTCAATAGGGCTTCCTCTCAGGTCAGCGTGGTTAAGATGCCGGCCTGTTTGTTTTTGATGGTTTTTAATGAACAAGACTGGTCCTTTAAGACCTAATTTTGAAGTTCTTCATCCAACATAACTTCCCCGTCAGCCTGTGGAACTGGACTGGCGTGCGTCCTGCCCTCCCTCGCCTCAGGCTTCAGTCCCTGTTTCCAGAGAGAGCGCATGCGCTTCCAGGCCCTGCCTGCCAATCCCTCCCAGAGGAATCATCTGCTGGGGATGCAGAAGGCAGGCCCGGGCAGGGCTGGGGGAATCGGTGCGGATCTGGGAGCCACACGCGAGGCACAACCTCACGGAGGCCGGCGGAGAGGCGCGCGCAGCTGGCGAGAGCTGCAGGATAGGTCCTGCCCACGGTGGAGTGTGCAGCGCCAGCGCCTTCACGGGCTCCCGGCAGGCCTCCCTGTACCTGGGGCCGGCCCACCCATGAAGCAGGACGAGCCCCATGACGTGGGACGACGCGTCGCGCCACGGCCTGCTCCCAGACTGAGCCCAGCCCAGAGAGCTCAGTGCCACCCCCAGTGACCAGCACCCCCTGGCGTGTCAGCTGTGAGCTGAGTTCGGGAGAGTGCCTGGAGCCCCCCAGGCCTCGGGGCACACCCCTCCCTCCCCACCATGGCCAGGCGCAGCCCAGAGAGCTTGGGGTCTTTCCGTGGCGGCCACACAGGGGCCTGGGCAGGCGGAGTGTTTGTGGTGGATTCTTTGGTTCACACGGAGGAGGTCTTGTGCCGGGCCTGTGCAGGCTCCATCTCGCCGGGATCCTTGCCAAGCATCAGCATTTCGGACGGTGAGGTAGAGCGAGGGCAGCAGCAATGGAAGCCCCAACTGCAGTGGGCGGGCAAAGGGTTTTGCCAGTGCTGAAGCCAAGTTGGGCTGCAGCGATAATGAATTGCCCCTAAGCATGAACAGAGTGCCATGCCTGTGCCTTCCGGGAACCAAACCAGTTTCCTCTCATGCAGCCGTAGATTTTGTAGGGGTCACCGAAGTCATCGATCCGACCACCGTGCTCGGCGCAAGGACCCTGCTTCAAGCATTCATGACAGGTGGCTGTTCAGTCAGTACCTGAACAGCTCCGGCGGCAAAGAGCCCGGCCAACTCTACACTCTGATTCTGTGAATCCAGGCCAGGGTGTGCCGCCTCTGTCTGCCAAGGACCACATTCCGATGGTGTGGGGAGCCAAAAGCACCAGCCTGTTCCTGCTTCAGCAGGCGGGGAGGTGAGTCGATAGGCGAGCATCCCATTGCCCCCGAAGGCAGCAGCCACCCCAGGAAGCCCACGGCAGGCTGCCTGGCACCTGGCTCCCCTCCAGCGCTCTGGTGCTGCTCCTGGCATCTGCCTCCCGAGGCCGCCGCTTCTGCCTGCCTCCCTCAGGGGAGGGCCGGCCCTGGGAAATGACCACCCTGAGCGGCTGAGAAATGGGCCACTGCTGCCAGCTGCCATCAGGCAAGCCGATGAAGACACCTGATCGGAATGCACGATAAAGACACACCTGGCCGGCCCGGCCCGCTTTGCAACATGTTCCTGTTGTTTACGTGTCCAGTAACATCCCCTCTGTGTGTGTGTGTGTGTGTGTGTGTGTGTGTGTGTGTGTGAGAGAGAGAGAGAGAGAGAGAGAGAGAGAGAGAGAGAGAGAGAGAGAGAGAGATTTATTTCTGTGGTTATGTGAGGCAGGATGGTCTCCCGCACTGCTCTGTTGAAAGTGTGAACCAGTTGAAAATAGTTATGAGGCTGGGGGCGATATTTGATATGAATCCTGCCCTATCCTTGTCTGACATCAGGGAACTTTTCCTTGCCAGAACCCTCATGGTTAGGGGACCAGAGACGGTACACCAGCCCATGAGCAAGGCCCGCGGGAGTTTCCCAGCAGCCTCGCTCTGTCCCGCTCACCACGGCTCTTTGCGGGGTGCTCTGGCTTTGCCGTCAGCGCTTCACTCCTGAGGCAGAGCGAGTGGCAGTGAGCCACGTGTTTTCCCTTTGGCCAGCGGGGATGCAGCCCCCGAGAAGTCCTCTGACATGGAATTTGACCTTCTGGCCGAAAGAGGTTCAGGGTCCCTTCTCTGAGATGGGTGCAGAGGGCATGTGTTTCCGTGCTGGCCCTTTTTGGAGGTTCACTTTAAGTCCTTTCGTACTGCACAATAGAACAATCGCATTGCTGTGTCACAGGAGGGCTTTGGGTTGAGGAAGACAGCTGGAGGCGATCCTTAGACTGCTTGCTTGAAGGTGAATGCCATCAAGATGGGTAGAAGCACTTCCAAGGAGATCTGATTAGGGTGGAAAGGTTTTCACAAAACACAGCCAGTTTTTTCTCTTTCCGAAAGCCGACACCGTGGTGCTGTGGCTGAGAGTGCGGGACCGAGATCCTTGCAATTTGTCCCCAATTAGCCGTGGAGCTCACTGTGTGACTCTCAGCCCAGCCTCCCTTGCAGGGGTGTTGTTGTGAGGAAAAGACTGAGAAGGTTGCCTTGAGTTTCTTGGAAGGGGAAGGGTGCTGAGTGGAAAGCAAGGGTGCTGGCCCTCTGCTTGGCATCCCCAGCGATCTGTAGAATTGCACCCTTCATTAAAGTGCACTCAGTGTCCCACCGTGCCAATAAATCAGGTTGTTATTCTGGGCACCAGATGCCTGTCGTCACGAAGTGTGTGTGAGGGAGGTTTCTGGCTGAAACTGGCCAAGAATGCACTTAGCAAGAGGGCAAGCGCAACCCTTAGGGTGCAAAAAACGAATTCAGAGTCATGTCTGCAGCTCTGAACCGAAGCAGCATCCAAGGGGGTGCGGTGAGTGGAATTCAACAGTCGCTCTTTCCAGAGGTCATTTCCTCCCTGACCTTGAGAAAGTCAAACCTTACTCTTGTTCGTGTTGTATTCCTAACAACTCACGTGGCCATCCCGCTCTTTTACCCAAAGAGAAAAAGGCCACACTTGTATGGGAAGTTACAAAGAAATTTTAATGGCACCCAGGTCTTTAGGATAAGACAGAATTCCAAATACATCTCCCAGAGAAGCACAGTCTGTACAAAACACATCAGCAATCAAAGAAGCTCTCTTCGAAGTCCAGGATCTGCAGTGCAGAAAAGTCCCTGGCCCACGGGGCCCAAACCCTTCCCTTCCCTTTTCCTTTCTCCCCAGCCCTCAATTCCCTCTCTAAACACGTCAGGTGGTGTTTCCAGGAAGAATTGAGAGACCTGGACATTTTGGAGCATGCAAAATATTTTACTGTCTTGGTGAGAAGTCCCTGCCAGCAGGGCGACACCGCTGAACAGCTAAAGTCAGTAAGGAGGTTTGTCTCTCCCTGAACCCTGCTCGGGGGAAGAAAGACTATGATTGTCATATGGGTGCCCAAGTCATAATTTAATTTCATGCTCAGGCTTCTGCAACAGGCTCTTCCCCTTCCTGCAGGAACCACAAGCACTGCTCGGCTTGTCCGCTGGGTTCCCAGCCGGCACGCGTGCCGAAAACAGCTTTAAAACGGGGCCGTGGTGTTCATCATGGCCTCCTCTCCTATTCCTCAGGTCTGGCCCATATCCAAAATTCAAGGCCTTTCCTTCTACAAGGAGAACTGGAGAAACTTTGGAGCAACTTTTTCTAAGACCGAATTTGTTTGTGCTCATATACTAATGTGAACCATCTCTTTTCAAAGTCTGCCCCTGGCTTTTGCAGTGGGACATCTTCGTGGCACTGAGGCCCGGGTGGCCCTGGGGTCATGCAGCCTGTTTGGGTTACTACGCTGGAGGCAGTTGTTTGTGGAGCCCTTGGTACGTTGCTACGTTTGCCCCTGTGGTGGGTCTAAAAAGGCATGGTTTGGGTTTCTTTAAATCCGCCATGCTCTGCCTGGCTTTTGGAGTCCCGTAACAGATGCCATAGCATCTCTTGTATCAAAAGTTGGGCTACACAGGGCTTAAAATAAGGAATGTGCAATTATAAATATGCATGCCTATTAGCAGCGGAGAGGGGAGGAAAGGGTGGGGTGGGCAGGGAAGGACCCTGTCCTGCCAGAGATCCGCTGCCCACTCTTCACGTTCAGGTTGGAGGCGGAGACGGAAGTATGTGCGGAGCTGTTTGGATCTGTGTCTCAGCACAGAAGCTTGTAGCCGAGGGAGATGGAGAGGAGCTGCAGGGCTGCCAGGAGGACATTGCTGCTCTGAGCCACGGAGACGGAGCTGTGCGGGCCCTTCGTCCCTTGGTGGGCGGAGGCGAAGTTGTGGTGGGCCGCCGTTGCGTTGAGGAGGTCGTGGCTGTTGGGTGCGCTGTTGTGGCGAGTCGGCTGGCGGGCGGGCGGCAAGTCCGTGGCCGTGGCCGGGGTGGAGGCTACGGCGGCTGTTTGCAAGTCTGAAAGGAAGTGAGATAAATGGAACTCAGTGTGGTTTAACTCAGAGATCTGGGAAAGGAATCAGGGAAGTCTTGGTTTCGGAGCCCAAACGTCTGTGGCGCAGTCCTGATCTGGCCCGGCACAAATGTTTGTCTCGCGGGCTAAGTGGGAGAGGGCCGTTGCGCAGCGGTACAGTCCTAGCTTTGCATGCAGAATGCCTCGGGGTGATCCCTGCCATCTCCTGGGAGAGCTAGGACAGAGCCTTCCTAAGCTGTTGTGGCTGCCGGCCAGTGTTGGCAGTACTGGGCTAGAAGGACTGAGAAGCTGATGCCGTGTAAGAGAGCTCCCCGCTTCCCAGCTGCTGATGGGGACAGCAGTAGCTCCTCTCACAAGGGGTTTCCCAAGGTGAGAGACAAGGATCCACCTTGAGCTGGAGAACTAAGGAGGCAGGGATTGAGTTTGAAAAGGGGCGATTAACACTGGCCTTTTCTCAGAGGGCAAAGACTGTTGGGCGTATTCTCACGAGTTACCTTTTAGCAGGCTCCGGGTCTGCAGCAGTGTTGTGCCGTTGGAAAAGGAGACGAAGGCCCTGTTGTGTGGTAAAGGAGAAGGGCATGAATGGGAGAAAAGAACGGCACAATTCTCCACTACTCAGCTAACAATTTGGGATGAGAAAGGGGGTTCTGTAGAAGAGCATCTCCCACCCTCCAGTTCTGTGGGATGACAGTTCCCATCAGCACAACCAGCATGGCTATTGGCCTTGTTGGCTGGGAACGATGTGAGTTGCCAAGCTCTTGTGGCATTAGGCAAACAAGAAATCCGTTTTTTTAAATGTATGTATTTCAAAGGCAATAGGACCAAAGCAAAGAATTTGATGGTTATACCAGATGGTTTGTAAATACATCTGTGTTTCCTTGTGTCCACCAAGAAATAAGGGAGACTGATCTTTAAGATTGCAGTAGAGGAAATAACAAAGATTAAAAGCAAACGAATCATAAAATCACTGGGTGGATGGCACCCTTGCATAAGACTGTCCTCGTTCTGTATTTTGCGCTTATGAGTCACGCGTCCCGCCTGGCCGGGAGTTGCAGGATTGTGTCTGAGTCTGCAGAGGATGGTGCTCTTAAACTCCCTGAGAACAAAGCCCCATCCTGGATACAGGAGTCTTATTAAAATTGAGGTTTAATGCAGTGGAGGCCTGATGCTGAATCATTCACCTGGGGCTTGTCGACCTTTGTGTTTTAGAAAAAGATGGATTAAATGACAAGGAAGACGATAACGTGAGCCATGGATGTGTCCAGGGACTGCGTGCTAACTCTAAAAGCTTTTTAAAAATAAGGCCCAGGGATGCTGTGCTGAGCATCCAGCCGGGGCGTAGAAGGACAGGCTGGGTGCTGCTGCCCTTCACCCGGCAGCCTGCAGAGGGTCAATCGGGGGGTCCCTGGCTCTTTCTATGGGGCTTCTGGTGAGGTGGAAGGCAAGGCCGCGGTTCCTCGGGGCAGGGCCCCTCCTGTGTGCAAAGCGGCCCCTCCCAGCCACGGTGGGGGTCTCACCTGATGAGAGCAGATGCCACGTGGGCATCACTGGGGGAGGTCCAGCGCGTTCGGGTGCCACTGCCTGAGATGTTTCTCTGCACGACGTTCTCAGAGTTGCCGCAAGTAAGCAGCTTGTTTTTGCTTTCCCACAGGCCTCCAGAACTGTTTTCTGTGGGTGCGGCTTGCAGGATGACAGAGGTCCCATTTTCTACCCCGGTAATGGACACTGCAGAAAGAGAGAATAGGGGAACAGAGGTTTAATTATTTTTTATTTTAGTGGGAAGACAGCCTTTCTCCAGTTGTGTTGGACTACAACACCCAGCATCCCCCAGCTAGCATGGTCTTTGGCAGTGACTGCCCTGTGAAGCTCAGGAGGTGGGAGGAAACTCCAGAAAGGGCTGGTTGGGACGTGCTAGGATTACAGGCTTTTCGTCTAAACCTCCGTAGCAATCTGCCCCTAACATGCATTCCGAATACCCTGAGATCTTTCCCATCCTTTGCTGCTATTTGTGTTAATAACAATGCACACATGCTGTTTTTCCAGTTCCTTTGTCGTTAACCATCCAAAACTAGGGAATTTCAAGTGCCTGCTTCTCGTGGTGTCCAATTGAATGTCTTCAGGAAGCATTTCTCTTGCTTTGCCTGTCCGTGAGGTGGCTTATAATACCAATAGTGTAACTATAGGGCAGAATTTCACTTTTTTTCTTAAAAAAACATAGAATGGGATGCAGCTGCATTTTAAAAAAGGCTCCAGAGCTGAGTCTTCATGAGGACCAGGTCCTTCACCCATCGACTCCACCCTCTGGGGAGGACGGTTTGTGTTGATTCGGGGTTTCCGGTATTGTTTCCCCTCCTTCCCCCATGGAAGGTGGTCCAGGGGCTCCCTTTGCCCCTGCCTACCCTGTGTCCCAATAGAAGCCCTGTGCAGTCGGCTTGGATGAGGGAGAGAAGAGCTGGTCCAGGCTGGAGCAGGGCTTCGAGGCCCCGCATTGCTGGTGAAAAGCAGAACCCATTGTCCTCTCTGTAGCTGAGCAAACCTTCCCGCCCAGAGAAGAAATGTGGTCTGTGGGCATCCTAGGAGCATCATCAGGCACTTTCCCAGGGCTCCCTGGCACGAGCAGCATGGAGTAGCTCTTCTCTTCCCGGCCGCCGGCCTCTCCCTCTGGTCCAGAGAAGACCAGGTGCCAGGCTGCTCTGCTCTCTGGTGATGGGGGGGGGGCATCGTGGGTGCCTTGCACGAGGGAGCAGGCACTGCTAACTGCACATGACAGTCAGGACCCCGAGGGTGTGGAAGGGGCTTCCACGAGAGGTCGTTGAGGCCCCATCGGTGCGGGTGTTCAAGGACAGGCTGGACGTTCACATGGTGGGCGTGTCGTGAGTGGAGCCGGCTGGTGCCAGAGGTCAGACTAGATGGCCCGTGAGACCCCTTCTGACTTGCTCTGTTTTCTGTTTCTATGTTTCTATGAAGTGCATGAAGCATAAGGATACTCGGCTCTCTGCTGGCGCACCCGTGCCTTGTTCCTCCAGCTTCCCAGCTCTGCTTTCTCCCACTTCCTGACCTATGGCACAGTTGCCATCCTTTGGGGCACATGCATCCCCCCACTGCTTGCACCCCCCAGGACTGCCTCACGCACACCACATTTTTCATCAAAGGATGTGCAAAGTTTTTGTGGCAAACCAGCCCTGGAGGGGAAACCCCCCCTGTAGCAGACATCGGTGCTTTCCAGAGAACTGGGTGCTGGGAGTGCATTCAGTTTCCTTGCTCTTGGTAAAGGGTGAAAGATCTCTCAGACTCTGTCAGTCATGCTTTGGCTTTCATATGCTTAGGCAGGAAAAGTGATTGCCCTCTTTCCTGTCAGAGGAAGCATCCTAAAGGTTGTTTGCAGTGCGGGCTGTTAAATTCTGGCTCCTGCAGGGCACCGTGGCAGCATGGAGTTGGAGGGCCTGGGGGTCCAGCCGCTGCCCAGCGCAGGGCTTCGAGTCAAGCCATCCCTCTCGGGCAGCTGCCCAGCCAGGCTTTCACTGGGAGAGACTCAAAAATGCATTGGCATCTCTCCTGCAGTGTACAACAGATATTCTGGGATGGCAAGGGTGACGCCGTAGACTGCACTCTCCATTTGGTAGCGGGACCAAATGCCTCGCCAGCCTGACTAAAGGTACCGGGCAGCTTTAGGCAAATTCCTATGCGGCAATCGGAGGGCAAGAAGCTGCACGATCAAAGGCGTGACATTCTTGGGCACTGGAAAATGCACTAGGCCTGATGCTTCAGTGGTGCAAGTCCACACTTTGCTCCCTTCCAATAAGGCTCACTTGTGTGCCCTTCCAGGCATCTGTGTGGTAGTTTTAGGGTCGATCCTCTCTTTGTACAACTTTTCCCTGGAATGGAGGGATTCCAGAAAAGGCTTTTATCACAAAATGTCCTGTTGTCCTGATAGGAATTCCCAGGGAATTCCAGACACTACTGCCTTCTGCTTGCAACAATCCTTTTCTGCTCTTCAACCCTGTCCCCCAAATTGTTTTCTTCCCACTGAAAATCCACAAAGCAGGGAAAGATGGAAAAGCGCTGTCTTTTAACTAGCAGCACTAGAAACTCTGCCTGGGAGCGCCGGCTAGAAATGGCACAACAACTTCACCTTTTCTTAGGATCAGGGCACTTTTCCCCCTGTACAAACCACGAATCATTCTTCCTCACAACAGGAAACCCTTGAGGCGATCCACCTATTTTACAGATGGGAGACTGAGGCCAACAAACACTGGCGGGTGCCCAAGCGAGTCTAGGCAGATTGGAATCCGAGCGCAGCCCGGGCGCTTGCGCAACACCAGAACGTCCCCTTCTACGAGCGAATCTAACTGCAGTGCCGCTGGGAAGAAGAAACCCGGCTCGGGCAGCGGGACGGTCCACTCCTTTGGCCCTGTTCTGCAACAGCACCGACGGAACTCCACTCCTCGCAGTGTCCTTTCTTACCTCGCTGCTCCCTTCAACCAAGCGGACCTTGCACTGCTGCGGAAGCTGCTGAGATGCCTTTTGCTCATTCAGGAAGTGCAATTGAGCCGAACAAAGTTTGCCCTGCAAGCAAGCAAGCAAGCGAGCGAGCGGTCCCTACTTACCGACATAAATGTTCCCCGGCTTGTAGGTCGCGGGCTCCACATCCAGCTTGAACGAGCCTCGTGCAACCGTGTTCCTGACAAGGTCACAAGGCGGCTGCTGGAAGTGTGCGGGAGCGACCAACAGCGCTCCCAGGAAAAGAAGCTGCAACATGGTCTGCATGATCAGGCCTTCCCTCGTGGACGGTTATGCTCCGAGAGCCTGGACCCAAGAACTGGAGAGAGGCTGCAGGCGGCAGAGCTATTTATGTCGTCCGGATGATGCAAATTCCCCCCTGCCACGCCCCCATCTGTGGGAGTTTTCGTGGCAGTGACACACTGGATGGGCTAGTTCCTCCGAGGTGCTGGAGAACATGCATGCCCAGTTCGTCACTCCCTGGGGAGATGAAGGGTCACTGAAGGCAGGGGAGGTTTCCCGGAAGGGTTGGGCAGGGATGTGGCCTGGACCCGCTGCCTGCTTGAGGCCAGGCATGGGCCGGGAGACGGACGGACAAACCATCCAACCCACATCAATCCACACGTGCGTTAAAACCGAGCACTCAGAGAACTTGGTGTGCTTCCCCCAGTGAACCTTTCAACGCCCTTCCTCCACCTGTGCCCTCCAGGTGAGTTAAGCTCCAGCTCCCATCACCCACAGCCTGTAGGAGGAAGAGGGCCGTGGGTGTTGATGATGGGCATTGGGGTGCAATTGGGAGGCTGCCAAGATGAGGAAGGTTCGCCTTCTGAGAACCTGCAAAGTAGATTGGCGCCAATATTTAATTATTCCCAAAGTTGGTTTGGGGGAAGTGGCCCAGTGGGCAGAGCCATGAAACGGATGCAGAGAACAAAGACATGACACAGGAAAAGTGGCTCTCTCTCTCTTTCTCTCCCTCCCGCCGCCTCTCCACCCCATAATTCTTGAATCTAGGGAAATGGGGAGACAGGAGAGTCAGAGGATGGACTTCTTGATGCAGTTCACTGCCACAGGATGCTTTTGGAAAGTGTCAGAATTTCTGGAGGATCAGCGGTTATTAGCTGAATGGAACCTCCATGTTTAGGGGCAGTGTATCTAAGAAGAGCATCTGCTGGAGTGGTTGTTGCCTTCAGGTCCTGGCTGGGCTTCCACTCATATGGGAATCACTAAACCAGGATCCAGGCTACCTCACAACTTCCTCGTCAGAGGGACATTACTAAACCACAAAGGAGAGGACTCCCCAACACGGCTAGTGGATGCTGGGAATTGTAGTCCAGCACACCTGGAGGGCAGCAGCCTGGGGAGGGCTGAGGTGCTTCTGTGCTGCTTCATTTGCTTCCAGTCCTTTAAAAAAAATGCTCACGTTCTTTTTAATTATTTTTTGATTTGCATGTCCCAGCAAAAGTTTCGTGTTTGTATATTGCAGGAGAGGGCCTGAGAAATTAATTAGAAGGGAAGAAAGGCAAGCTGCTTTGTCTCAACCTGTCCTCTCACCCCATGCAATATATGGATAATAAACAATTACTGACCTACATCGCAGGGTTGTTGTGAATACACAGTAGAGGAAATACTCAAACTGGCTGGTTCTTGATTGGTAGTTTAAAGGCTTGGCTACTATAGTCTGTGCTGGTCTTACCCAATGCAGTACCCTCCACCTGAGCTGGACCACAACTCCCATCATCCTCAGCTACCATGGCTCTTGATAGGAGATAGTAGTACAAGACAGCTGGAACAGGCCTGATTAGGGAAGACTGGCCTATTCCTTAATGCCACTATAAATGCAATCCGCTCCACAGGAATCCTTGCCTTGCTCCTTCTCTCTTTGGGAAATCCGTGGCAGGGCAGCTTGCCTTCAGAAGGAGCTGTGAAGTTGCAAAAAGCCTCCATCCGCTGCATGTCTAACCCTCACGCAGCTGCTAAATGAGAAGAACTTCTGCCAGGATAAAAAGCAAGCTTAAAACCCCCCAAATACCGCAGAGCTGAGTAAGATTCTTCCACTGAGACATGTTGGTTAGAAGCAGACCAGAAAAAGACGATACCAGGCATGTGGTTACTCAGGAAGCTATACAGACAGTAAGCTCCGTTTCCGAACTTTCCCCATCATCTGGCCCTAAAAAGCTAACCCACCTTCCTCCCTGCCTTTTCCCAGAGCAATTACCAGGCTGCGATGCATTGACACCCGGAAAGCCCACCAAAGCCAGCAAGCTGCAAGCAGATTGCACTCTTTTTCCGCAATATGAAGCCGGAGTGTACAGCGGCCATGCGTTTCTCAAGCTCTGCTGTCGCCTGCACGATCCTGGGCTTCAGAAGTATCAGACCAGTTTCCTCCCTCCTGTGAGCCCTCATCTGGGACTCCCAGAGAAAGAGAGATGGTTCTCTCTCCTTTTCGGGGCCCACACCGTGACTTCTTGCATGTCGAAATGTGCTAATGTAGCGCCCTGCAGTGCTGGACCCAAAGTCCACCTGAAACAGCTTAGCCCACCCCAGTCTTTGGCCAGGTATTGATCTTCTGCTTATCAGATCCCACTTCCTCCTTTCTAATATTCTCCCCGGGAGATGCTGCAGCCCCAGAGGTGCCCAGTCTCGGTTGTGGAATGGTGGGACTGATGGGGCATTTCCATGACCGCGCAGACACTCAGGTTGGGCAAGACTTTGTGCCCCGCTGTGAAGCCGAGGTGCAGTGCGTGTCCCTGTGGGGAATGGCCCTCCCAAAACGGTGTTTGTTTGAAAATGAAGGCCATGGTTCCTCTGTGGCTTTCCAGGCAGCCACCTGGCCGATCCCTCCTCCCTCCCTCCCTCCCTCCCTCCCAGAGTAGCAGCTCCATCCCCCGCTTAATTATACCCCGCCGCCACCCCTCCAGTCTTTGAAGCGGATCATTAACTTTTCCTCTGGGTTCTTTGCAGAGCAAGTGACTTTCCATTCGTCAGGCTTGCCTGTTACCCGGCCGGTGCAGGATGGCAGGTGAGCTGCCTCGCTCGGCACCTTGCCCAGCTGCACCAGAAGGCTGGCTGCAGAGTCCCAGGTGAGGCACCAACCAGGGCCAGGCGAGCCCTCCCCGCTCCCCCGTGGATCCTCTGCCCTTCACGCCTGCTGCCTTCCTGTTCCGGCTTCTTTGGGGCCAGGTGCAATACCTTGTTTGGCTCAGCGGCAAATGATTCAGAGTAAATGTAGGTGGAAGATGCGGAGGAGGACAGAGCAGCCAGCAGCCCCAAGTGGGAAAGCCCCACTTCCGGGAGGCACTGCTGGGCAGAGCCAAAGGGGGAAAACCCACCTGCTTTGGGAATAAACGGCAATGCACCCAAAGCCTCAAAAAGCTCAGCTTTGTGCTGGGACCTCTTGGGCTGTGGGGTTGGAACGGTGGCCGCGATGGGCTCAGCCTCTGGGTGCATCTGGCAGCTGCATCTCCTGCCAAGTTAGTCTTGAGGAAGCCACGGGACTTGTTGTTGCTTTTGGTGGGGTGCGGTGATTCCCCGGGACATCCGTGGTGACAGAGGCCTTGTATTTCTGCTTCAGTTTCTGCTAGCCAAAGGGCTCTTCCGTCCGGAAGATCCACAAGCATTCATGTGCACACAGCTGCTATAACGCTTCCTTGTGCGGTGTCATCTTTGGACACCACAACTGTGTGACAGTGAGTGAGGTATCGGTGCATCTTAGCAGCAGTGCTCGTGGCAATGCGTTAAAGGTCAGGGAAATTCCAGACCCTGAACAGCAAAAGGCTTCAAGACAAGTGGACTTATCTGCAGTCGATCAAACGGCCTGTGCACCAGTCATCTGCAGAAACGGGTTCAGTGGGCACCCTCAGCCAGTCTCTCAACTCACAGTGGGCCATTGATAAGCTGAGTCACCTCTCCCCTTCCGGCATTCGTGCCCCCCGGTCTTTCCTGCCCTTATTTATGCATTTTGAAAACACCACCAGCACATTTGTACCTTCCCTTTTTCCTCCTGCAAGGGATCCAAGGCAGGCTGTCCGTATCGAGCCCATCTCTACACCACAAAACGCCTGAGGACCAGACAAAAATAACAAGGGCGTTTTGCGACAAAATGTTATTCAGCTTCATTTCCGGTCTCTGAGCGATTACAGGTGTGCGTTGAGCTGTCACCCGCTTTTTCCTTTCCATTTTTACCGCTGAGGAAGAAGAAGGTGCAGGTTGCAAGCTCGTTTCCCATTTGGCTCCATTTGGTTTCCCATTTGGCTCCATTCCTGTTGGCGCCACCCCATCTCGGTTGGCTATCAGAACCAATCCGTGTGATCCCAGTTCTTCCTCCCATTTGGCTGCGAACCTCACTTTGGGCTGGGCACCGATTCGCAGCCTAACCTACCTCACAAAGTTGTGAGGATCCAACAAGCAGGAGGAGAGTCCTCTGAGCTGCTTTGGGCTCTTTGGGGGAAAAGGCAGGATCCAAAGAAGCAGCTGCTACCAAGATCGGAAATAAGCACACTTCTCCCCTCTCTCTACAGCTGCCGCCTTTTGTTGTCTGCACAGTGCTGAAATTCAGATTTTAAGTACTTCCGCTCATGCACCTTTTTAAAAGTGCTGCAATGGTGATATATCAGTTCTTATCAAAGCCTCCGTAGACCGCAGCGATGCCGAGAGAGGCATGCCGACGGCACCAGTTAAGTAACGAGTCAGAAGCAAATTTAATCTGGCGAGCTACGCAGCATCATGTGCGTTCATGCAACGTTTGTGGCATGATAGAGGTGAAAGGCCGCCTCGCCTCGACCTTGGGAGCTTCCAGGCGAAGGTCAGGCAGTGTCAGTGGGTGGGAGCAGCTGTGTGCGATCAGGATTGTTCAGGATGTTGTGCTGTGAGGAAGGGTTTGTGGCCACAGCAGAAAGTCCTTTCACCTCCAGTGCCTCCAGGCCGTGGCTACCACGGGCAATGCCACCATGAGCCACAGAGAGGTCAAGAAGAGAATCGGCTGGGCCACGCATCCCCTTTCCTTTCCGGCTTCTGGCCAAGGACCTCCCACCGGGCAGCTGAGGCGGTTTCTGTTTCAAAAGCAGCACTACGGTCCTATCAAAACAGATTGAGACAATCGGTTCACCCAGAAGCACCTGGACTTGACTGGCAGCAGCTTTCGTGAGCCTCTTGCCAAGGGATTTGCCTTGCTGCTGGCAGGCTTGTTACGTTTAGCTCTCTGAAACAGATCTGCAGGGTGTCTTAAGACATGGTGCAAAGGGAAGGGAATTGCTCCACACCGCTTTCCCAATGTTTGTCAGCCAAA